AATTTTTGAGGGTAATATCTTCGACTGGATACGATTTGTGATCTTTTGACGTATCATTGAAAGAAATCGGTTCAGTGAGAGCTGAGAAAAAGTGGTAACAGACACAAAAANAAAATGTAAAAAAATTTTATTGATCCATATACTTTTCAATAAGTTATAGCATTATAAAGTTATAAATTTTAAAAATAAAATCGATAATTTTCACACAAAAGAAGTATTCGATAGCCATTTTCACCGTGAAGATAAAAAAAAGTTCGAATTTTTTTTTTCCATAATAAAGTACGTTTAATTTAAGATATATATAAAAGTGTCAGTATTTCGGGAACACTTTCAAAAATTAAGTATTTATAATGAAAGAATTATATAAATATTATTTCTTATAAAAAAATTGTATTGATCCATACATTTTTCAAAAAGTTATAACATTTTAAAGTTAAAAATGTATGAATGAATACAATTTTTTTATGAGAATTATATTTATATACCTCTTTAATTCGACATACTTTTTTTTTAAATCGGACCATTTCCCTTAATACAGGGGGGATTCAAAACATAAAAATGCATATAGAAAGTAGAACTTTTTCAACTTAACTTTTGAAAGTGTTCCGGAAGGTCTGACACTTTTATATATATCTTAAATTAAAGCTAATGTAATATAATTTATAATGGTAAAAAAAAATTTCGGACTTTATTTTGTCTTCACGGTGAAAATGGCTACCAAATGCTATTATTGTGTGAAAATTCTCAATTTTATTTTTTACATTTTTAACTTTATAATGCTATAACTTATTGAAAAGTGTATTGATTAATATATTTTTTTATGGGAAATACTATTTTTTAATAATCCCTTTTTCATTCGACATACTTTATCTTAATCAGGATATTAATAAGGAACTAGCAGTTTATGAAGCTTTTGGAATAATCCGCCTATTTTTTAAAATGAAACACTATCTAAAGATTTGCATCGAAGCATTCTTTTTTGATAGTGATTTTAATCACTGTCAGATATCATTATACTTGATCCAACTATGCCACGTCACCACTGTGCCGCGACGCCCCTGTGCTGGGTTGGATTTTTTTTATTATTTTTTTTTGGGTCTGTTAATAATTTTTTCTCAGCTCTCACCAAACCGATTTCTTTCAACGATACGTCAAAAGATCACAAATCGTATCTAGTCAAAGACATTACACTCAAAAATTGAAAAAATTCCCTCGTTCCCCGTAAATGGGGGAACTCTCCAAAAAAATTACAAATTTAAAAATTGCTATTTTTTGACATTTTTTTTACTTAAAACTGCCATAACTTTTTGAAAAATGACCAAATCAATATAATTTTTTTTATAGATGCTTGATGTCTTTACCTTTCATTAGGTAAATTTTTTTTAAATCTGACTTTTTACCTGCCCACAGGGGGGGATTAAAATGACAACTTTTTCACAAAAAATTAACTTTTTCAACTTAATTTTTGAAAGCGTTCCCGAATGTCTGACAATTTTATATATATCTTAAAAAAATGTAAAAAAATTTTATTGATCCATATACTTTTCAATAAGTTATAGCATTTTAAAGTTAAAAATGTATGAATGAATACAATTTTTTTATGAGAATTATATTTATATACCTCTTTAATTCGACATACTTGTTTTTTAAATGGGACAATATCCCTTAATACAGAAGGGGTTCAAAACTTAAAAATGCATAGAGGAAGTAGAATTTTTTCAACTTATTTTTTGAAAGTGTTCCGGAAATACTGACACTTTTATATATATCTTAAATTAAAGCTTATGTAATATACTTTAATATTAAAAAAAAGAATTCGGACTTTATTTTGTTTTTATGATGAAAATAGCTACCGTATTCAATAATATGTTATTTTTGTATTAAAATTCTTGGTTTTGTATTTTATTTTAATATAAAGGGATTACACTGATTTTCATAAATATTATATCAATCTAATTGACATAGTATAAAAAGTTAAACATATTTAAATTTTTTTTTTCTTTGAAGTCGAGAAAAATAACTTTAAAATTTAAACTAGCTAAATTTCCATATTTATTAAGTGATGAATGCAACATACGGTTTCTGAGAAGGTAACACTTGGGTCTTTCACGCCTGTGGCACTGAATTTTTTTTTAATTCTTTTTGAGTTTAAAAAATGTTTAACTCATTTAGATTCAATAACTTAAATATATATCAAGGATCCCATTACTGTAGTCTACTCTCGTGAGAAGAAATTCTTATTAATATTATTTTATTATGTGGTATTTTTGTAGCTATTATTTATTTTCTCAGCTCTCACTTGACCTACTTTTTTGACAAACTTTTTTTTTAAATTAAACACTATCTACAGATTTGCATCGAAGCGATTTTTATGATAGTGATTTTAATCACTGCAAATATCATCCATACTGGATCCAACTATGCCACAACCCCACTGTGATGGGTTTTTTAATTCTGAGTTAAACATTTTTAATTTCCATTTTTAGCAAACACGAGGTTTAATTAAAGTTTGTCTTATATAATAATTCTTAGGAAATTGAATTTTAACGAAATAATAGAAAAATGATATATGATAAAGCGATTCTTGATTTTTTTAATAAATGGGAAATGACGTTTATTTTATGGGTTCCTATATCTGTTTGAGTTTGATTTTTTTTCGCTTCCATGCTAACTATTTGCAAGGTAAAATCGGTCTCACTAAAAACTTATAGATTACTGCAAAGGTGATGGTCGTGAAAAGATTCATAAAAAGATATAAAATTTTTTTTTTTCACTATTCTCGGACGAAAAGAATCGATTCTCAATCAGCTAAAATTTAAATAATTAATTTCTCAACAATTTCAATTATATCCAATATTTTTACTTAACTAACAAGTAAGTACCAACTACATACATATTATTAGGTATTATTATTATAGATTACTTGTAACATAAAAAAACTACTTTAACGTTTAATAAGCGGTAGAATTCGAGAGAATATCATTATATAATATTATGATATTTTATTATAATTATATATTCATTTTGTTTTATATTATGTGCGCTTTATCGCCTTAAGAAATGAAAATAATATGTAACGCACAGCATAATAGTCAGTAGTAGAATTTTATGGCCCTCCAAAATAATATACAAGGGCGCGCATCCTATCTGGAATGATCGACAGGAGGTGATTGAAGAATTTGGTTGTAAAACATCTAAAAACGCATTCTATTGGTCATATATCGTTGTTTCGTTTGCTCATATGGCGTTCTCTTAAGGTTAACACTTTTGCGTTTTGTATAAAAATTTCACCGAAATGAATAGAGCACTAGGCTAAAAAATTTATTGTGAATTAAATAATATTCAAATATGATTTTTTATTTTTTATACAAAATATGGATATTTTGGACGATTAATAAAAGGTAGATTGTAAGAAATATATTTTTAGATAATTTATAAACATATTAGTTATCATGTAAATGTTTTCCTTCTTTTATTTGTATATATCGGTTATTTCTATCATTCACTTAACCAATTATTATGAGTAATTTTACGTTGACATTTAAATTGTTTATAAATATTTAATGTTAGTCATTTATAGACTAAATATTTATTTTATTTTATTAACAGTCTTTTAAAATATAATAAAACAGTTATATCACTGTTATTGAGAGTTTTATATAAAGATAACATTTTTTTGAGAAAATAACTAACTGTTATTTTGAAAGTAACAATAACAGTTTGTAACAGTTATTAAGATTGATAACAAGTTGCCATCACTAGTTGATGAAAAAATCGTCAAATTCATTTTATTTTAGCACTTAATCCGTAAGTTCTAAATTATGTCAAATGACGAAGTAGAAATAATTGCGTCATTTCTTTGGGTAACATCGAAAGTAATCGTAATTGTATCACTTGGCATTCTCATCTCCCGCCATTTTAAAATTTAATTTCTTCTAGCACGTGTGACTGTGATAAGGTAAGTCATACTCGCAGATAAATGTTGTATTATAATATGTATCAACACAGACTTATTGAAAATGTAACTAACTATTAATTAATATAGTTTGTGGTATCACTTTTATAATACTAGCAACTAAATAATATAAATGACGCATCAGCGCTGTAGCACTTTCATTTAAAACATAACAAAATGTTGTCATGATTGATTATTTAATCATTTTTCTATGGACATACCTTTATTTAAATTTTTTGGTAAAATATAGAATTGATAATATTTAACAATAAATGACTCTTAGACTTAAAACCCTACTATGTTTTCGTTACCTAAACTAGGTATTTGTGTTAGCGTCGTGTTCTTATTTATATCATTTTCGAATCCTAATAACGTTTTCATTAGTCATAAAAAAAATTCACTATTAAACCTTTAGTTTATTTATGACTTAAATTTAGTGAAAAATTATATGATTATTAATTTAAAAGTGTTTATAAATGAACACTTTAATTTTTCTTAAAGTTCATGTCAGGCACCAAACTCCTAAAAACAACAAATTTAATTTCGAATAGCAAGTGTTAATCTACATAATTTTTTTATCTGTTGTTAAAAATGTTGAAGTTATCTTTAATATTTGGTATTATTGCAGCTCTGTCCTCGTGTTTATAGTATGTTATTTGGAAACGTTAAGTTATTTTTTGAATAAAAAGTAGATTGGTAAAGTATGTATTATTTAATCATTGGTACTTGCTAAAAATGTATAGTTAAAATTAAAAAAGATTTTGCTTTAAGTAATTAAATTTTTTTATGTTTTAACATAAATAGTCATTGATTTGAAGAACAAGTATCAAAAAATATTGTACTGACTTGACATTTATAAGGTTATTGACTAACAATGCCTTACAAATTAAGATGTTTGAATATCATTATTATTTATTCATTTAAAATCTAGAAATTATTAAAAATCCTAATGAAATAATTTTATTTTTCAAATATTTTATGTAATTAGTGTAGTTTAATTAAAATTTCTCATGTTGCTATTTTTTCAGTGCTATAGGTCTAAATTTCTTTTAAAGGTGTAATTTACAAATTCATCAAATTATTGCTCTATGTAATGAGCCAAAAAAAATTCTATAATTTGTTTGTAAATTATCGATTGCTACTATATTGGGAGCAAACTACTTTTGTCTGAAATAGTATTAATAAAATTGTTGTAGTTTTTCAGTAGCTAAAATATAATATTACTAAATAGTATTTAGCATAATTATTTATATTCCTTAGATTTGATTTGTAAAAAAAAATACTAATAAAATTTTTAAAAATAATTTAAATTGTAGTAATCACTAATTTTTGAAACCACAATCTTAGATTAAAACCTAAGATAATATTACATTAATCATCAATATAATGATCAAAATAATTTTATTAAAAGATATGGTTTAAATTTGAAAAATACATGATATATTAATTTAAAATAAATTTTACATCTGTTCCGGCTTATCTTTTAGTATCTTTGTTAATAAATCCAATGGACACTGGCTATTTATTTGCAATGTGTTGAGCTAATGTCAAAACTGGAATAGGCAATTCATTGTTATCTTGTTTAGACATAAAATGTTTTATTTATATACTATTCTGTATACATATTTGCATCTTTATATTAGCTATTTTATCGTCTTATACCAGTATCATACATATAGACATAATGTGAACAAATGTTTGAGGCATCTAACTTAAATTCTCCTTTTAGAATATTTCTATTAATATGTAATTTTCATCAATTTTGGGGGAGCTGCTACAAATTAGAGGAAACTAAGTCCCTCTAGAATTCTAGATTGCACCTATGTGACGTATGTAGTACTAAAGTGAGTGTCAATTCACATATGAGTAGATAATTTTATTAAAATCAAATCTCCTAGATAATGATAATGATATTTTATCTTTAAATAAAATATATTTTTTAATTTTTCTGATAAATTTACCAAGTTAAAGGCTTTTTTAGTTTTGTTACTAATGTAATATAGTATCAACTTTTTGAGCGGTGTCATAACGTCCTTATACCACTTTTAAATATCCCACTATCTCATACTTTGACAAATTACTTTTTTTTTTGAAAATAAATTTTAAAATTTATCTTTTAGTTATGTTTTCCTTTATTTAGAATATTGGATTAATATTATTCTTACGTAATATTAATATATTCTTTTACATTTTATTTATAATGTTTCATAAATTTTATGTAACAAAATATAATTTTAATATTATAATATTTTAGGTGAAAGAGACAGGATTATACTTAGCTTTGCCTATTTTTAACATTATTGCCCTATACTAATATTAAGAAAATATAAAATAGAGAAGTTAATTATTTTCTTACTTGTAATGCAATATTTTGAAACTAACCATTAATTTCTAACCATTACTAAATAAAGATTTATATTAATAATAAAATTTTAAATAAATAATTTAAAATTAACTTTGTAGTGCATTATTACACTTATTTTTCAAATATTTTCTATCCTTTCTCTCCTAAAAGTACCTACATAATAAATTTATTATTATTAGATATATTAGATACATTTTTACTACTTTGATTCAATAAAGCAATAAAAAAAATTTAACATGCTATTGTATTATGCTACTATTAATATTTTTAAAGCAATTAATTTATAAAAATAAAATAGCTGTGTAATCTCATATTGCTATATTATTTTCCAGGTGCTAAAATATGTCAGAAAATTCATTAGTACCTTTGTACAATAAAGAAATTTATATCACTAATGCTGAGTTTGAAGGCTGTTTTATAAAAATATGGGGCCATTTTTTTTGCCCCAAAAGGTCTAATATGGAAAAATCATTGCAAAACTATGAATCATATTCTCGGGTAATAATTTTAAATTAAAAATTAATCAATGTTTTATTCATAAGCAAGTGACTTTTTTCTTTATTTTTTCTGTTATATTTCTTTGTGTCTTGACAAAATCTCTTACCATTGTGTAACAATAAACATATCAAACCTCAAAGTATATAAAATAAGATATAAAGAACCTGTTGTATAATGTCAAATAAAAAAAAATTTATTTACACAATTTTTAATTAAAACCACCAAAAAATTATAATTTTTGTTTTAGGATATGAAGACTATTGATTTGTATGGAAATACTCCTTATATTTATGTTTGGAAGTTAGGTATAGAAGTGAGAGTTTATAGATGCAAAATTATTAGCTCAGATTTTCAAACGAAAATCCATACTATACTTCTTATTGACTATGGAAGAACAATGGTTGCATCATTTGTAGATGTTCGTGAGATATCGATGGATGTAAACAAATCTATTATCAATGGGCTAACACAAAGAGCATCTGTGTATACCTATTTATTAAGTGGTTATATTAGTAAATCAAAATCGAATTCAGAATTGAATGAATTACTATCAAATCAATACTATTCTTATCGTACAGATTTTGAAATTGAGGGAGTGTCATTTATAACATTACTTAATCTTGATAACAAAATACTTCTAGAAACTGGTATGGCAGATACTATAGAGTTATCAAAAATAATTATTATTGCTAATAATATGTCAAAAGTTTTATCGCTGAACAAAAAACGTGATATTAAAAATAGTTGCCCTATTCCAGCTAAAGAATCAGATCTACAATACTTAAGATCTCAACAGTTAGATAACTTAACAATACAAAATATATTTGTTACAAAAGTGTCTGTTGGTGAAGATACTATACTATTAACAGTCAGGACAGTTGTGAGTTTTAAATTATTTTATTATAAAAAAACAATAGCTACCTCATTAAACATGTACCTAAAAGTTTTATAAATATAATTTGTATATTTTTTAATACTTATTAAAATGTTTCAGGACTATGAATCTGAATATTTACAAAAAATGCTACAGTCAATTGATCGTCAAAATTTAGTATTATCTCCTGTTCTTGAAGTTCACACTCCTTGTTTAATACTTGTGCAAAATAAGTTTGCTCGTGCAGTAATATTGGATGTAAAAATTAATGGATTATTGGTTGATTTGATTGATTATGGAATTCATGAATTTGTACTTCGCACGACTGTTTTTCAAATACCTACTGAGTAAATTTATATAAAAAAAAAATTGATTACTAATTAATCTATTAACTTTTAAAAGGTGTAATGTAATTGAAATGCGTTCTTTGAATGTAATTTTGGATAAACCTAAAGACTTTTCACAAGAAACTATCAAAAAGTTGCTGCTTAATCAAAATTTTGGAATGTTACCAAAAAAAATTGATCCTAATTATGGATTATACAAAATTGAATTGTTTAGTAAAAAAGGAAACGAAATATGTGACGTATTTGTTAATCAACGAAATGAAAATGAAAATTCTGTTTCCAAGTGTTCACTATCACCTAAATCTTCTAATGATTACTTAATTACTGAGATTCAAGTACATATATCTATATATTATTCTATTCTTAGTTAAATATTTATATATTTTACTTTTAATGTATTAAATTAGAAAACTGTTTTTTATATTTTTGTGGTACTTAATGCTTATAAGTTATAAACATTTGAACTTAAATAATAACTTTATTTTGAATTACCAATAATTTAACATTTTATTTTAGTATTATTAAGTGAAGACTTTATTTTTCTATCGAAGTTACCACAGATTTATTTTAGTGTTAATTAATAGATTAAACAGATTTGTGAAATTTCTTAAAGAAAGCTATTTGGTTGTATATTATACTAATTGGCATATTCTTGTAGTTTATTATTTTAAGAGATAATCAATTCAAATACTTTTTTGTATTGCTTTAGTTATTTATCTTCCAAGAAAAAAAAATTTAATGTAGAATGTTTTTAATTGACCCTATATAATCTAAAAATGTATAGTTTTATTTAAAAAAATATATTTAATCTTAATATTTTGAGATTTATGTTTAAGGCTACTGAAGTTAATTTGAGTAATTTGTAAGTATGACCATAGGCATTAATTAATTGAGGCAACTTGGAGAAACATGGTTAATGGGTATGGACCTTTGTGTCCATTTTCCAGTAGTAAATATCTATTATTATTTTGATGTAATTTCATAGAAGAACACTGATTATTAGTATTAATTTTGCTTTTTTATTTTAAGGTATAGCTTAATAGGTAATTTAGGTTTTCTATTAAAAAGAATATATATATACAGAGTGATTAGCTAACTATATCTCACACAATATCTTTAAAAATACAAGTGTTATAACAATTTTTTTTTTAACCATTATGGATTTTTGATGAGGTGTTTCATAAGAAAATTTTTATTTCTCCACCATTCCTTATGTTTAAAAATTGTATCAACTTCAGATTTTCAAATGACAACCCTATTTTTTTACACCATTAGATTTAGTTTAATAAAATTGTTTTGTAAAAAAAGTATTTTATTTTATTTAATAAGGGCTTCACGGCTCTCTAAAGTTTAGGGTCTATTAAGAAAAAGTTATAACAGACTCAATTGTTATTGGTCGTAAATCTATAAGCACTACCAGTTTTATAAATTAACATACCAAGCTTACCTTAGTTATTCTGTCTATGTGCATTGACAAAATAAACCAATAGCTCTTATCACTACTTAAAATAATAATGTGACTGTTGTTGGAAGACTACTGAATTTTTTCATCAAATATCCTAAATTTTAAAGTAGCGCATTTAGTTTAAAATTCCTAGTTTTTTATTATCTTTTTACTAAATTTTTTTTTTTATGAAATACATAAAAATAATATTTGTTGGTATTCGAAAATCTGAAGTTGATACAAGTTCTAAATATGAGGGATGATGATAGAAATTTATTTTTCTTGTGAAACAGCTCATCAAAGGTCCATAATGATTTAAAAAAAAAAATTATTTATAACACTTTTAAAGATATTACGTGAGACATAGTTAGTCGATCATTCTGTATATTAAAAGTAATAAGCCAAAGTGGTTTTTTTCTTGAATTATTGTATTATTATTTAACATGTACAAGTAAATAAACTAAATTTTTATTGATATCTGTAGGACTCTTTTTTTTGTATTAGTTTAAATTTTAACTTTTCATTAAAATAACCAGTAATAATAGTTTTCTTATGAAATTTTATATTTAATGAATTCAATATAATATTAATTGGTTCTATATTAATAATTATTCCAAAAATATATATTTGTAAGTTATTTAATAACGATAATATTTTCAAAACTAATGTAATGTTTTAGGATGATGACAAAATTTCAACTACTGGTTCTTGTAGCTTTACCATACTACATCAATCAAATGTACGTATTGTTTTTATAATTAAATTATTAACTAAATATATAAGTATTTATTTTTTTTTCATATATTTTTATATTTAGTAATAATTAAAACAGTATTTATAATTTTTAACATAGCTTTACTGTTTTTCTTTCATTTTTACTTAAATTTTTCATCTATTAATGTTTAATCCATGACATGTTTTTTTTACTTTTTCAGAATGATCAGATCACTATAGATAGTCAAGAAGAGAGGATAAGTAGTGTAAGTAAAATTTTGTGCTAATAATTATAGCTACTAACATTACAACACATTAAAATGTTATATGTAATTTTTCTGAAGATTAGTGGCATTATAGATGTGTAGCTTTTTTTAAGTTTCTTATGTCTAATGTTTCATTATAGCTCTTTTAGTTTGTTCTGTTAATATGTATGTATTTTTTTTTTAAATTATAATAATTTTATTTCTTTAGTATTTGATAGAGGTTATAATATACAGATATGCATAATACAATACAACCAACCATAATTTTACTCTCGTGGTAAATCATGTATGTTATAATTATGAGATTGTCCTTAAGACCTAAAGTTTGTGTCTATTGTACTTAAGACAATTTCAAATATATTGTATTTGATAAAATATGTATCATAAACTTTTAAATAATCCTATTTTTATGTATGCCTGTACATAAAATTCCAATAATTTAGTAATAAATTAAAATGTATTTATTATCAATTTAGATTGAAAAAATAACGTGTTTACAAGTAGAAAAACTTTCAAATAAAAGTGAGTTGCTCTGTGTACTACTGACTTACAAATCACCAATGCATTTTTTTGTGAGACAATATAACGCAGACTTCCATTGTTATTTTGAAAATATTAAGTCTTCTTTAGAAGAAAGGTATATTTTGAAAAAGTTTGATATCATCAAAAATATGTATGTGATCTTAAAACATTATTCTGGCTTAATATACCGTGCACAAGTTGTCAATATGGATTCAATTGTTGAAAGTAAATATTATTTGAATTTAAATAAATTAATAAATGAATTGTTTTACTATTAAATAATTACCTTGCCCAATAATTGTTTATATTTTTATTTTACAATATTTCACTTATGTGTTATATATTATGTTTTAAGGCACCCAGAATGTGTAAGAATGTAATTTTGATTGAAAAAAAAAAAATTAGAGAAGTACAAAAATAAAAAGTAAAATAATCATACTTCTGAGTGTATTAAAGATTTAAGAGAATTTTTCAATTATAATACTGCTTGTCATTGACTAAACCAAATTTGGAAAAATAGCATTTCTCAATTTTTAACTCATTTTTTTATCCTTTCAGCTCTGGGTGTATCAATTATATAATTACTATTGATTTTTAATTAACTAGTTTAAGCCTTATAATAATTAGCATGTTTTTGACAACTATTCAATATTATTAAATTAAATCAATAAAGTTAACAAAGTAATTTTTTATTATTACTAAGTCCAAAACTCAAAAATACTTTATAAAATGTTCAAAAACACTTGTCTTATAAGTATAAAAAATAATTAAAAAATTACACATAAAATATCTATATATGTTCCATAAAATTAGCTTTAAATAAAAAAATACTCTCTTAAAATGCCTTACTTATGTTTATTAAAAGAAAAATAATGCTATAAATTTTTTTTTTAATACATTGATAATATTTTGTATTAAACATATTATAACACTTTAAAAAGTATTTTAATTTTATTGTACTTCGAACAAAATATTTTGATTATAACAACATTTTTAAAATACAGATAATTTTCATAATTTTTGAGAAGCTAAGACCTCAAATTGTGCATATGAATATTTTTATACATAACACTAAAGAGTAATACATAATTAAAAAAAAGCACCTCTCATAAATTTTATTCTGAAATGTGGTAAATACTTATGTCTATCTATAATAGTTTTTGCTAGATTACTCTAAAGTTTAATAAAGTATAAAGGTAAAGTATAAATCAAATATCAAAGTGTATTCAGCAAATCACTTGTAAACCTTGATTTTAATTATAATGTCGTATTATTATTTATGTAATTATTATAGAAATAATTAATTATACAATTGTCATTCTTTAAAATTAATTATACCATCATATTTATCATTGAGAAATATATAAAATTTTATTATGTTATTAGTTTCAAAATAAAAATTGTTTTAAAAATTAAATTAAATTTTAAATTATTTCAAAATAAAACAACACTGAAAAAGTATATAAAAAAACCATGGTTAGTTACGAATTTTCGAAATGTTTATATATTATTTGTATTAAAAGCCTTTTTTTGCTTTATATTTACTAAAAAAGTACAAAGTTAATGTTTTTAATTCTTATAATATTATATATTTGTTGGTTAAAGTTCAATAATTGTAAGTTAAATCAATAAAAAAAATAATAATACTTGAAAATTCAGCTTTTATTTTGAAAAATGACACTCAAACTCAACTTAAAAGATTAAAAAAATCAGTTAAAAATGATGGAATCTTCCTAAAATGTTCACAAGTCTTATTAAAAACCATAAAATCATTTAAGAAAGTTAAAAAAAAATTGATTTTTTTATTATGTTTTTGATATAATTTTTGCATCATTACTCATTAGTAATTATCTCAAAAACTAGATGTGATAGATAAAATCTGAGGCCAAATTCGGAATCAACATTGAAATTTCTTTAAAAATTCATATAAAAGTTGAAAACAATAAAATAGCTGTTGTCCTGTGTTATTTCTAAAAAACACAAATTTTAATGAATTAAAATAATTTAAATTTAAAATACAGAAAAAATAAACTAAAATCTATTACATAGTATCATGAATATAATTTTTATTTCTAGGAATTGAATTAAAGTTAGTTGATGAAGGCAATGAAATTGTAAATGAAGAGTTTGATAAAATTGTATTGTATAATTTTTTGGAGAGTGATTGTATAATGCCTGCTCAATTAGTATTGGAATGTTCATTAAGTGATATGTGGTTTCCCCTATTGAATATTGATGTTGCTATGATAGTGAAATCACATTTTCACAATGCATCCATATATAAATGTATTATAACTGGTAAAGACGAAATTGGACGAAATTCAGTAAAAATGATTGAAAAAGATTCAAACATTGATATTGCTGATTCTATTCTTAAATCTGGTTTTGGTCAACGTTTAGAATCTGTAATGAAAACTGGTAAAAAATTATTTATATATCTTTTTTTTAATATTTTCGGTTGTCTTTATTTTTCTACTCCTTAATTTATGATAAGATTTATTTACTCTTTCTATCATCACAAGTTGTACCATTTTAAAAACAATTCACTAAAACTTCCTCCATAATAAGCAAAAAAACAACTTAAAGTATTCAATTTTATAGGTTATAAAATATTACAGGCCTAATGTTTTTATTTTAAAATTAGGTAAATTTATTAATAGAACTATTTATATTATAATCTCTAAAGTCAATAAAAATTCCCGCATGGTATACCTAATTTTGGTAACGGTGTGACAAGCCTGCGGACCTCAGTCATTGGCGTAGGAAGGTGGCACTCCCATCGCCCAATGCAATAAGGTGCATTGCAGTTGTCCTACCCTGATTTTAGTTAATTGGAGTAGTCTGGTTCTCCAGGTTGGAGGTTATGCGTTGAGCCAATAACCCAGCCATATAAAAAAAAGTTATGTTCAGGACTCGAAAATAAGCCTTGGAATAGATTTTACGGAAAAAAAAAGGAAACTAGTAATAGGAATTACTATGAGGTACATGGAACATAAGAACCTTGTACAAACCAGGAGCGACTTTGGATTTAGTAAGAGAAGTAGAAAAATATAAGATGAAATGTGTGATCTTACAAGAAATTAGATGGGAAGATACTGGAACAACTAAAGTATCCCAAACAGCCATTTTTAATGGTAAATGTGAACATCCTCACAAATTGGGGACTGGATTTGCTATATACGAGTCAATAATCCACACAGTCCAAGAATTTAGACCATAACAATAACAACCGAAAAATTTTATGTAGTTTGGATTATAGGCCAGTCAACGAAGGAGTAATATTAGCAAATAGCAGAAAAAAATTCCCATCCAAATTTTTTTTTTTTAAAGTTGAATTAAGATATGTATAATGACATATTAAAAGTCCTCATTGATTGGAATTGAGCCTTTTTTTTACAGCCTCGCAAAAGTTAAAAAATATGAGCTTTTTTAATTTTCTCAAAAAATATTTAACTTACAAAAAAAAGTTTCGTACAAAAGTTGTTTAAAAGACAATTATAAACAAAAAAAGTATCTTATATTTTTTCATTTAAACAAATATTTTTCGAGTTACATTACATTTAATATGAGTTCTAAAATTTATTTTTCATTTTTTTCATTTTACGGTTACTTTTTATCATGTTATACTTACATTAGACACAATTTTATAAATGCATATGTGTGTATGTGTGAGTTTATTTATTTATAGTATCATTAAAGTGTAGTGTTTATTAAGATACAACCGATAGAGTAGGTAATTGATTTAACGCTAAATTGATTAAACCCAACTAAACGTTAAATTGTACATTCTTAAACAACAATTATATTATGTCAATTGCCACCGGAATTTCTGGTAATCTTTTTCTTTGCCTTAATCCCAACTACTTGGGGTCGCCCACCCTTATCCTAAGCTTCCACTTGACACAATCTCTCACATTTTCTACGCTCACATCATCTGTCCTCATATCGCATTCAATAACATCTCTTTCTTGGGCTTCCTCTATCTCTTTTTCCTTCAACTTTTATTTCTATAACTATTCTTACGGCTTCCGATTTTTCTCTTCTCATAACATGATCAAACCATCTAAGTCTACTTTCTCTCATCTTATCCACGATTCACAATTCTACGAAATTCTGGCTGGGTTGACAAAAGAGAACATGAGGTAGGTGAAAATCATAAATCACCTGGAGAGGATCAAACTCATGCAGAACTCCTCAAAAAAGGAGGAGAAGAAATGACGCCCAGGTTGTGCAACCAAAAAGTTACCGGAAGATTGGAAAATAGCATTACTATGTCCAGTTTATAAGAAGGAAATAAACAAGAATTATCGCGGAATTGACCTTTTAAGTGTTGCTTATAAAGTTTTCGCGAACTGTGTTTTGTTAAGGATAAAAACAAAATCGGAACAAATCATTGACGATTATCAAGGAGGCTTTAGACCAGGAAGATCTACGGTAGACCAAATATTTATTCTCTGACAACTATTCCAAAAGACATGAGAGTTTGACAAGGAAATGCATGTACTCTATTGATTTCAAGAAGGCATACCACAGTATCCATCGCAAAAGCTTAATAAATATTTTTAGAGAGTATAACTTCCCACAAAAATTAGTAAAGCTAGTCAAAACAAGCATTATGGAAACATTCATTAAAGTAATAGTAGGAGAAGCTGAAACCGACCCAATAATAGTGAAATCAGGCCTAAGACAGGGGGACTCTATGTCACCTGTTCTATTTAATGTAGTATTAGAAAAATTTTTAAGGGAGACTAATATCAGACCCCAGGTAGGGTGTCACTACAAGATTCTTCCATAGCATTATTGGTATATGCAGACGATTTGGTCTTCATAGAAAAATCACACGATGGCCTCAGAACACTATTTGGCTTTTTGGAGGAGACAGCGACAAAGGTTGGTTTACAAATAAATGAAGGCAAAACCGAATACATGGTGGTGGGGAGAAGAGATAGTATGAGAATATATCCTTCCTTAGGAGTGGATTCAATTGAGTTAAGCAATTTAAATATTTAGGTTCAGTATTGACCGAAAAAAATGAAACTGAAAAGGAAGTAGCAACAAAAATCCTGTCGGAAAACAAATGTCTTTTCGGACTCACAAACATACTAGGGTCACGGTCCCTGTCGATTAATTTGTTAATTAATTTGTTGATTTTACTTGTATTATACTATAACTATAACTACTCTTGATTCAGATTTTTTATTGTTTTAACAATTTAGATTATGTTCTTATCATTTCTATGGGTCATTTTGATGGCCTATACAGCTAATTTAAAAATAAATTACAGTAATTAGCGCACAAACTGGTTAGGAACATATAGGCCCACAGAGATATCTGAATTTTCTGGTAACTTGCTCTTATTTTTATTTAATGAATCACAATTTGGCAATATAATTTATCCCATTATATTCTATTGGTCTCTCGAAATGGTTTTGATTTTGTTACTCAAAACTATATTTTTTGTCCACCTTAAGCAAAAGCTTACTATAAATAGCATAAAATAATCATCTAAGAATATTATACAATAACTATGCTTAGTAATTTAAGGTATTAGATATTTTAGCTTCGATCCTAAGTTGAGATAATATTAATTTAACATTATGTGTATATTATTATTTTTATTTTTCATGTCTGTTGCTACATTTTTTTAACTTTCATGAACTAATTTTTTTTAATGTTGCATCAATAGATTTCAAATCATGTATAGAAGAAGAAGGCTTAAAAAATGATAAAAATTCCCTGTTTAGTTTTAAATAAGAAAGCCAACTATATTTTTTAATTGGCAACATACATAATATATATATAAATAAGATGTATGTTGCTAGTATAATATTATTCAACTATTTATTAATTTAAAAAAACTTTATAATAGATAAATTGAGAAATAAATAAAATTAAAAGTACAAAAATAATCTTCTTGATATAATTATTATTTTAAGAGAACTCAAGTGGCTTAATAAATTTTTATGATTTCTTCTTAAAATAACAAAAAAAATTTTTATTTCACTACATTAATTTAATTTACTTGATATTTTTTTATTATTTTGCAGAAGAAACACCATATGAAGAATCTGTTTTAAATGGTCAAAGTTTCTTGTCATATGTGGTTTATTCTCATTACAAATTATTTATTCAACCAGAACCTTATACAGTAGATGAACTAGAAGAGGAAATAAAAAATTATATAACTGACAATCCAGTAAAAATTTTTAATTAATTATGTTTTTTTAGCTTCGATACGAAGCTGAGAAGATATTGGTTTTACTATGATGTGTTTTTTTTTTTTTTGTGTCTGTTACCACTTTTTCTCATCTCTCACCAAACCGATTTCTTTCAACGATATGTCAAAAGATCACAAATCGTATCTAGTCAAAGACATTACACTCAAAAATTGAAAAAATTTCCCTCGTTCCCCGTAAATGGGGGAACTCTCCAAAAAAATTACAAATTTAAAAATTGCTAATTTTTGACATTTTTTTTACTTAAAACTGCCATAACTTTTTGAAAAATGACCAAATCAATATAATTTTTTTTTTATAGATGCTTGATGTCTTTACCTTTCATTAGGTATATTTTTTTATAAATCTGACCTTTTACCTGCCCACAGGGGGGGATTAAAATAACAAAAATTCTGGATTTTATTTTTTACATTTTTAACTTTATAATGCTTTAACTTATTGAAAAGTGTATAAATCAATACAATTTTTTTATGAGAAATAATATTTATATCCCTCTTTCATTTGACATACTTTATCTTAATTAGGATATAAATAAGAAAATGGCAGATCACGTAGCTTTTTAATAATCCACCAATTTTTTAAAATTAAACACTAAAGATTTGCATCGAAGTGTTCTTTATGATAGTGATTTTAATCACTGTCAGATATCATTATACTTGACCCAACTATGCCACGTCACCACTATGCTGGGTTTTTTTTTATGTTATTTATATATTGATGTATAAATAAATGACCCAATAAATATCTGACCAGACATTTGTTGGTTGAACATTTAAAAGACCGTAAACAATGCTTATTTTGTTTGTTGGTAAAATCCAAATGGTTCAGATTGTCATTAAAATGAATTAATGAAACATTAGTACATTTTCAACCTTTTCATACCTCATATCACTGGTAATAAATACAAGTATTTATCATTAATGAAAGTACTTATTTGTTTTGTTTGTCTTTTCGATATTAAATAATGTGTTATGGTTATATTAATAATAAACGTCCTACAGGTCTCTACCGTCTAAACCACGTCTCAACTATGCCATGTCACCACTGTGCAGTGACCCCCCTGTGCTGATTTTTTTAAACTTATACATTATATTGGTATATGAGATATACAGGGGTAATCGGTTTTTCATAAACCACTCAATTGCTCTCAAAATAAATACAATATTGAAAAAAATAATTTTGCTTATATTTAGTTACATATGTTTCTTGATTTATCAACTAATAATTACTATTTAATATCATCCCTTATAACTTATAAGGATGACAACTTTATTTTTTTCTCAATGTTATTCATAGGCAGGAGGAATAGTATGACTCATAGATGATAAATAATAAAAATAGAAGGTCCCATTCCCCATCTCCAGTCATAACTTTATATTGTTAATAACTTCTGAAAGACTGGTCCAAAAATTGTTAAAAAGCAGTCAATTTCTTTTAAAAATGTTTCTATTTGAAAAAATAAAGATGACACCATAAATTATAAGGGATTAACATGCAACTAAAAAAAAAAAAAAAATTATTTTTTTTTTGTGTTAATTGATTGGTCTATGATAATATATATATTCATATACGAATTAAAAATTTAATGTAATATTAATTTATATTTTCAGATTTATGAACCTATAAGTTTAATAGATTTGCAAGGAAAATATTGTTTAGCAACTTTAAACAATGGTCAATGGTTTAGAGCATATGTAAAAAATATATCTGATGAATCTATTATTGTAAAATTGTTTGACATTGGCTTATTAACAGATGTTACTATTTCCCAGGTATGCAATATTGTGGAACAATTGTTATCAATTTATATTATTTGAATTTAAATTACTAAATTTACCATTATATTTTAATAGTAGAAATATTTTTGGCCACCAAATTTTATATTTTACATTAAACTTTTATTTAAACATATTTTAAGATTTTTTTTTGTTCTATAATATATATATTCAGAGTGATTTTTTTAATACTAGCGACTCAATATCTTTTAAAATAATAAGTTTTTGTGAATTTTCTTTTTTTGGTTTTTGTTAGTTACACATCTATTTCCATTTATTATATAATATTTTTTAGGTCCATCTCTTATNCTTATCTATTATATAATATTTTTTAGGTCCATCTCTTATATTTTATTGGGATGTCAACATTATTTTTTTAATGTAACATAGATATTTATAAAGCTTATAAAAAAGAAAATGACAAGTCTATAATGACTTTTGGACCAGTGCTTTAGATGTTATTAGCATTTTAAAATAAGACTAGAGATGAAGCAAATATGTTGCTGGTTATATCTTGGCCACTTTCTTTCACTCACCACGATGCAAAAATGTGAATATTTCCAAAGCACTGGTTCAAAAGTTATTATCGACCAGTTATTTTCTTAATTAGATAATTTTTTATTGTATAAGCTAGATAAATAATTGTATTTCCATTTTAAAATATTAATATGTTACCCTTATAAGATATGAGGGATGAACCTAAAAAGTATTTTATAGCAGATAACAATAATATACATATAACTAACAAAACCAAAAAAAATCACAAAAAAATGATTATATATAAGAAATTGAGTGGCTAGTGTTAAAAAAATGACCATATATATACTACAAGAATTATTTTCAAAAATATTGGAATTTAGCTAATTTATTACTTGTGCTAGGTTTTCTTATTTTCTTTTTAGGTAAGACCAATAACAAAAGATCTCATGAAAAAACCACAGTTATGTTTAATATGTGATATGGAAACAAAAGAATTAAGTTTCAAAATAGCTGAAAAAACATTATATAATGTAACTGTTACATCTATAAAACCAAATGGACTGTAAGTATTATATTTTTAAAATATAATGATAACTTAAATTACTAACAATAAGAATTATATTATTTAAATCCATAGATAATCTTTAAAATTTTGTTTAAAAAATATATTTGCAGCCTAGAGTTTCACAAATTTAATAAAAATTTTAAAAATATCATGAATATTGTTTTTTGCAAGGTACATTAATTTTAGAAATTAAAATGTTTGAAAGTTGTTCATTATTATATTAATATGTGCAGAGTGTTTAACATTTTATATAAATTAAAAATAAATTGAACATCATGACTTAGGTAATATAACCTGAATTCATAAAAAAAAAATGAAATCGGTAAAATAAGATTTTTTTCCCTTAATATATGTCATGTATATACCATCTACACTCAATTTTGATATTTTTGGGCAGAAACATTTTTTAATGTAAAATAAAACAAAATACTTTTTAAAAAATATTTAAATAATATTCATTAGACTTAATAAATTTCTAGACAGTTAGAAGATTTAATTAAAATTAATAGTTTAATTAATACTTTTAAATTATTCATAGTTATATTTATTATGTATACATATAATTTTTTAATATATATATTTCAGCTTGAGCGTTAAAATTAGTGAACATTTTTCTTCTCCATTGCCTATACCTGTTGTACGTGGAATAGAAAAAATATCTAAAGTCCATGTTGATGGCGATGTAGCTTATTTACAAAGAGTTGAAGACCACTGTAAACTTCTAAAAATGTCTGAAACTTTATCTAAAATAAATAGCAAATTATGCATAACTTCTATAATGAATTCTGGGGATCTGTATATGTTTGAAAATCATGGTTTATATTACAGATGTGTAATTAAATCAGTTAACTTAAAAATGGCTAATGTTCATTGTATTGATTATGGATATGAAAAGCAATTGGAAAAGAAAAAACTACAATTTATTGGATCCAATAAAGTTGCAAAACTACCAGGGCTTGCTATACCAGTTAAAACATTTCCTGGGGCTATTAACATTACAAATATATTTTTAACTAATTTGTTTATAAATGATGATAAAAGTATTAGCGCTGCGCCTTTTAAAATAAATTTAATTTTACCTCATGGAGATATAATTGAAAATCTTAAAAACAAGTGTTTAGTTAAAATTAGTTGTATGTATTCATATCAAGACTGTTGGATTGTTCCTGATATGCAATATACAAAAGAGAAATTAATATCTGAAGCACTAGACCAGATACAGACTAAAACAATTTTTTCAGTTTCTGAAGTTGGCGCTTTGTGTGCTGCTTTACATCCACTTGATAAAAAATGGTACAGAGCTTTAGTTCTAAGTGTAGCCAATGATTCTTTAAATGTATTAGCTATTGACACTGGAGAACATTTTAAAACATATAAAACTACAAAATTAGCTAGTGGATTACAGAGTATTCCTAATTTAGCTATTAATTGTAGAATAAAATCAAATGTTGATGCTAAAAAATTTGTTAATAAAATGGTGTTCTGTAAATTAATATCATGTGAAAAACCATTGATTGAAGTTGAATTATTCATTAATGATGATTTGGAAGATGATACTCCTTTACATAATAATTTGACTGTAAATATCTCAAAATTTGAATCATTTAATGAGTTTTATGTTGTAAAAGTTGAAAATTGTGAAAACACAAATGGCGATAGTATCAATATTAGTTCAGTTAATAAACTATTTTACCACTGTTGGATGGAAGAAACTGATGATATTTATATAAATGATCCAAAAAATTATGATCAAATTTCCGAAATTATGACTTCTCGAGAATGGGTTATGCAAATTAAAAATGATAAAGAACCTTTTTTGGTGAAACTAACAAATAATGGTCAAGACTGCGTTGATGTGATACTCGATAACCTTGTTTGTGTTTATTCAGATTATGAAACTCCTGAAGGTACAAACAAACACGAAGATTCCAGTTCTGACAATATAGAGCAAGCTGTAACTACAGAATCTGGTTTATGCTATGTAAAAAATGCTCAAGTTAGTGGAAACATTTCATTGGAAAACTTGATTATACCAAAATTAGAAAAAGTTGTTATAATTAAAGTTGAAACTCTTCATTGGTTTTATATACATTCAGTGAGTTTATTTGATCTCTATAAGGATCGTATAATTCATGAATTGGATATGTGTATTATAGAGTTAAAAGTAAATGCAAAATTATTGAACACTGTTGTTGTGACATTCAGTAACAAAAAAGGAACTTGGTGTAGAGCTGTGGTTGATAAAATTATTTCAGAAAGTATTGCATATTGTTATTTTATAGATTATGGAATGTATGAGAATTGTTCAGAATTTTATAAACCTACTGAATTTCTTAGTCTATGCCCATTTATTGTAAGACGTTGTGCTCTTATTGCATCAAAATTAGAAGATAAAGAAAATGAAATATGGTACCCTAATGTACTTGAAATGTTTAAAGATATATCAAGCATTAATGGACTTGTGATGGATATGATAGTACAAAAAGAAGGGTCTCCGTCTTTAGTTATATTACAAATAGAAGGAAATGATATAAGTGAAATGTTACTTCCACAGATTGTTGTGATTACGCATATTGAATCATTTTCCAATTTTATAGTTCAAACAGTATCTTCAGATCTAAATACTATAAAAGAAGAATTTAAACTTGGAAATATTACACTAGTACCAGTAGATGATCCTAAAATTGGAGATATTTATATAGCTAATATTAATTTGGAATTAAAACGAATAAGATTTGATGCACTTGGTGGCACAAAATATGTAGTAATTGATATAGATGACACATTGGATGCTATATCAGTTGATTGTTTATATGAGGTGCCTGAAAAAATTCAGGATATTCCTATTTTCACATTACGCTGTTCACTAATATTAGATGACAATGAAAAAAATTATTCATTTGACAATTTTAAAAGAATATCTAAGATTAAAAATGAAGCATTTGTCATGTGCATAATTACAGAAACTGATGGAAAATCACCAAACTTAGTGAAACTTTATTTGAATAACAAAAACATACAAGATTTTATCATAAAATCTAATTAGATATCTTCCAATATTTATTAACACAGCTATTTATTTTTAATTGTATAAATGTCTTGTTGAATAACAGTTAGAAAAAAAAAAGTATTAACAAATTTCTATTTACTTTTTTATATTACTTTTTGATTTTACATTCCTTTATGTATATTGATGTTATTGACTTTGTTTTTTTTAATGAAACCTATAAGTAAACTGATATTAATGATTATTTCTTAGTAATACTTAATGCCAAATATATTTTGCTATTTTGAAATAAAAAAATTGTATGAGACTGTTTATTTTGTTTTAACTATTTTTTATTATTATATTAAACTTCTTACTAAATTGTTTTGTAACATTTTATAAATAAGATTAATAACATTTAGGTAACTCTCATTTACAACTAATTATTAATTTGTATTAACTAATAATTGAACAATGTATTTGTTATGTTTCTTGTATCGAAGAAGAAATGTTTTATAAGGGTACTCGTTTTGTATTTAATGAGTGTTTTATGATAATTTGAAAAATTATTGGGCAAACCTAAAAATTTTCTTATCGAGTTTAAAGTATAAGAAAAAGATCAAGTCTTAAGGTTCTGAACTGTAGTCAACAACTACGTTTAATATAATGAAATTATACAAAGATCATATTGGATTAGCACAAATTAAAGGAGTTTGGTGAGACTTAGCTCTTTGAAAATTTCAAAAACACTACTACTACTATACTAGAAATAAAAAATGTTTAATCCACCGCATGGTAATAGATTAATATGTGTAGGTAACGCTCTTTAATATTGAGATTCGCCTTTAAGAATTTTTGGGATACTATTTAATTCCCTGAATACAGCCTTGATAATAATTTCAGGTAAATATATATTTATTAGATTAACCTAATAATTGTTTATTAAAACTTTAATTATAGTATATAAAAATGATCAAATATGTAGTTATTTTTATTAAAAATTATACACCTTATAATAGTATATTATTCACAATGTTGATGAGCCATTTACCTGTGAGGTATACGGTAATAATGCTTAATACAAGTCAAAAATAATTAACTACTACAAAAGTTAAATTAGAGTACAGTGAACGACCAGATCTTTAATTCTCAACTGTCGCTTGTATTTGTTATCAGCACAAAAAAAGAAAAATATGCTACGATTAAATTTAATTAAATATTAAAAATAGATTATTACTTATAATATAATTTATTATTGTCTACAATAAAAACGTAAGAAACTAAAATTAATTTACTATACATAGCAAATGTACTTAATTATAATTTTTAATTTTGGATTCAAACTAGGCATTAAACGTTAGCGTTTTAAGTAATACTATCGCTCCAATGCTTTTAAACAATTATAAACCTTGTTTTAGTTTAATTATGTAGTACATTTTGTTTAATAAGGCTGAAATTATTAATAAAGAAATTACATAACAATTGAGTTTTAATAATCAAGATATATTATAAATATTCTTTTTTCTTTACTAGAGAGAGAGAGAATACTGTAACATTTATTACAACCTGATTGTATAGTTGGAAGACTAAATATTAGTTAATAGATTCGGTGAAATTCGATTCATCGGATTGACGCTGTTGAGGTTGGAATGACTTAATCACACCAGGCGTGTGTACCATTTGCAGGAATCTATAATAAAACATGTTACTGGTAAATTTTTGACACGAGCTAGGGCCGCCAACTTATGATCTCAACTTACGGTAAATGAGGTTTACGGATGCGTCGACACCGCCCCATTGGATCTCTAAAGTATCCAGGTCCGCACTTGCGGTTAGACGTATTTGAAGACGATTGGGCACCTGGAGTTACAGCGGTAGTCATAGCAGAGGTTGTCGTCGCCGGGCTGGATTCGTACGTCTCGCTGGCAGATGCATTGCCGTTGCTGGCGATCAACGCCTCGACCATTTGTACGATTTTTTCGCTGTTGGCCGGCCCGAAAAGATCTGTTGCAGAAGTGAATGTTGTGGTAGGAGAAGTAGTCGAGTATGAGTTTTGCGTTGATGACGTCACTGGTGTTGACGACGTCGAGTTCGGTTTGGACGGTCCTAAACTCGATGGATCAGTGTAGTCCGGTAAATCGGCATACTAATCACAAATAATTATATTTCAGCCATATAAATTTACGTCAAATCGACTTCAAACATACTTCTTGTACATAATTACAATACATTATCGTTGTAGTTATGTATGAATTTTCAAGTACCCAAATTACTACTTTTTATGTATATCAACATTTTTTTTAAAAAACATAATTGAGTGCAAACATTTTTAAATGTTTAGTCTAACTGTTTATAATAAACTATTAATAATGATATTTTAAAAAATATATAAATGTAGAAAATGTGTTATTATTTTATCTTTATTATTCCGTTAATTTTATTTGTACCAGTTTTATAAACTTATTTAAAAAATTGTTTTTTTTATCAGGGCTGTTAGAGCGCCTGCTCCTCAAGAAAAAACGTTTGAATTCAACACAAATATGTATACAAATAAATGAACAATTTTCCGAATATTTTTTATGATGTTTTTGAAAAAATAATTGAAACTTTTTGAAATCTATCACAAATTAATTATTGTGAATCTTAATATAACTTTTTTTTTAAATTTAAAATGAATTTTCATATACTTTACTAAAACAGTACTTAGGATACAACCTGAATATTGAAAAAAATAATCAAATATTTTCAATTGAAGACTTACAATTCAAAACGTACTTTTTCAATTTTTATCAAATTTGAGTTAAGCATCAATTGTAATTTGGACGCGGCGTCAAATGGTATGATTAATTTTTTTTTTGTATGCGTCTATTCCTACAGAAAATTGATTTAAAAATAACGATTTTGTGCATAATGTACTTTTTTGATTTTAGAAAATCGCCTCTCTTGAAAATTTGTACTTTTGGAAATAGTACGTTTTGCATTGTTACCCCTTAGTTACTTTTTTTGGAGTACTTAACAAGGAAATCGTATTACCGTTACAGTGACATCAGAGTCTTATACGGACCAATAAATAATGTTGGTTTGAAATGTTTGATGAATAATTTGTATAGATTTATATTTTGAATGGTATAACGGGTTTTATACAAAAACGTTTTCGAGATAAATGTGCACTATATCAATCTGTAGGTAATAGTTTTTTTAACGATTTTGTGATTTTTCTTTTCAATATTCTACAAATTATGCTGAAAAAATTACAATATCTAACTGAAAATTCCGTTTGATCTCATACTCGGAGTAATTGAAGTTATTGGCGCGTGTCGCCCAAATAACGAAACAAAAAACAAACAATCGTGTTGTTTAAAAACGAGTAAAAATTTTAAAAAATGTTATCGACAGAACTTGATCATTAGTTTTGATATCACGATTCTAATGTTTAATTACATTATCAAAAGAACAAAATAGTATATAGTTAAACTATTTAATAATAGTTTTTTGTTTAATTAAACATAATTTTTTCTATAAAAGATATCACAATTGTTTATATGTAAATATTTAATTTCAACATCAACTAAATTATTGTCGACATCGATCATCAAGAAATCAAAATTTCCTGGTCAAAGTACTCATAATCGCGAAATACTGGGGTAACTATTCTAACGGTGTCTTAAAGTAAGAAAAAAATAGATCTAATGCATTTTTATTTGCATAACCGGCATATTTTTCCGTGTAAAATTTCAAATCACCACGAAAAATATTTATACTTTTGTGATATATTTAAAGGACATATTGAAAGATAAATATTTCAAATTTCTACGCTCAAAAAAATATTTAAGTGAATTATCGGAGATAGCTGACGTCTTGTGTTAGACGACATGGCGAATGCAAAATAATAGTTATACTTACGTCTTCGTCACCTGCAGCCGAATCGTCAAACACAGCGTACAATTCTATATTTTTTAGGTGTATTTGCAAGTTGTAATCACCAGTTTGGCTCTGGTCGAACTTGATGGTGGCAGTATGACAAGGCCGCGTTGCGACTGCGGCTACGAAAAATACGGACAAAATGACGCACCACCACCGCCGAAAGCTTGTCATTGTGTTCAAACTGCGGCTAGTATTGTTAATTAGAAAATTATTGATTTTAATTATTTTACTGGAAAAATAACGCCTGGAGAGCATTAACGAGAAACAAAATGTCCTGAGTCGGTTAGAATCGCGGCTGTAATCTAGTCTGCACCGCATCAACGAGCCGACTGTGCGCGGTCCATCAGTTGCATCCGTTCTGATCAACGGACCAGTTTCCAGTGGTCCACTAAGAACCGCGTTTTCCCATACGGCCAACAAGGACAATTTCCGTAGGATAGTTATTTTTCTGGGACTTCGTTAACAGTTAACGTGCAATTCTGGTCAATACGAATTTTCCATCATCATCTAATTACACAATAGGCCGTTAGAAATAAATCAATTTTGATGTTGAGTTTACAGTAAGAATAATCAAATAAAAAACGTCATCTTGAAATAGCCGACTTAATTGATGTCGGATTAAGCAAATTACTTGAGAAATCTTTTATTAGGCGTTTTGATGTTTGTACAGACATATTAAAATTATATTTATACACAGAAAAGCTCGTCGAATTTAAACTATAAAAACGGTATCTAAATAAAAAATCGTATTTTAACGTTTTAGGGTTAAATTACTTTTGCTTTAGTTTAACTCGAATAAAATTGTAAAGATAACAAAAGTCATCAGCCGTTTATTTGCGAAAATTCTTTGTTGATTTTGGAAGTAAATGAATCCGCGTGGTACATCCGTGTACTATTAGAAAATTGTTTCAAACTGCGTTGTTCTTAATTAATGAAATATGAAGAATTTTTGGCCAACCGAGATAATTTCTCTCCCAAGATTATTTCTTCGGGCTACGTTTAAACGACAAAAATATGTATGAATGAAACACATTTTTTACACTGATCAATGGTATGTTATCACTCTCACAATCGTTTTTGATGTTCATCTATAACAGTATATACTGTTTTTTTCGTTGAGCCCCCCCTAGAATTGTTTAATTTTATTGTATTCGCGTTCGTTAACTTACGATGTGTAGTCGTAAAGAATGGTTCAGGTTTTTTACGAGCACTAATATTCATTACACATTATAGTTTATAACGTTTAATTAAATCAATGGCTGCAACAATTTGTAGATTGTTTTTGCGTATAAGCTCTGGTCTGCCAATGATGTCCATTTCAGCCATAGATTAAACAACAAGTTTAGGATAACTGACATATTAAATACAATTTTTCTGTCAAACTTCTAACATTATTAAGATACCATGATATTACGTGTATAAAAAAATATATATTATACGATAATCATGATTAATTTTAATTATTTACATTTTCGAATAAAAAATAAATAAAAATATTAAAAACTGATGTATTCATCATACTTTTTTAGATATATTTTAATTAAAACTTGAAACAATATTTAAATTATTCAATTTTTGGTTGAAATGCAACGAATACAATTTGCCATGCTAAGAATAGACTTATTTAGAAAATTCAAAATGGAGATGGGGATAAAAAAAATTTTCCAATTGACAAAGTAACTTGAAAATGTTTTAACTCATTTTGAGCTGATTACGAGCAAAAAAAAAAAAGTCAAAAATCATTACCACTGATCAATGAGAGAAGCACGTGCATCTGTGCTCACCTATATATACACCCCTGATGTCACGTAAAGGTATGCAACTCAGAAAATTTGATAAAAAAAAACTTATAATTTATATCATTGAAGTATAACAGTACACTTAATCAGTAGTCGGTAAATAAGATGTAATATGAACAATATAGTCGTATTAAATTTATCCGTGTATATTTGTAATGTACGCATCTGCTGAATTTTTTAAATTATTTAACATTTAATTAAAACAAACTGGTCGAATATCAAAATAATATACGTCGAAATCAAATATATGTAACGTATAAATGCATCGTATTGTTCATGTATACAAATTATCCTAGTAGAAGTAAAAAAATATCGAGGACAAAAAAGTAAATAAATCCATGAAAGTGTACAACACGTGAGGGTGTTATTTGTGATAGCCAAAAAGTATTATATTGCTCATTGGATATTGTCAATCGTATTACGTAGACACATTGATCTGTTGTATATTTAGAGAAATTGCATGACATCCTATAAGTTGTCAAAAAATTATAATATCAGTATTGCGATAGTACTACTGTCTTTAAAATACATAGTTAACTAGAATAAATCATTTTTCACAGTGTTTATTTCGATATTTCATTTTCACATTCAATTTAAATATATCTTCAAAACTCATTTTTGAACTTTACTTGAGTATAAAAAACGTTAAATGTATAAATGCACTTGAATGATATGTGTATCACACAAAAATATTACTTTTGGCAGTATTTAAAAAAGTTTATAATAATGTTGACTTGTGATCCAATGAATAATCGCAATGTGTTTTACTTCTATTTTTGTATTATTATTATCACTGAATAAAAAAATAATGACTGTGCCGAAAGGTCTTAATAAAATGATTTAAGATAGTGTAACTGCATTATAATGAACAATTTTTACGATAGTTATTGCTGACGTGCATCTACGTATTTCGGCGAAAAAAATACATAAAAATGTATACATCAATTGTGAGATGAACATAATTTCATATGAATATGAATCAAATTCCATGCTTTCAAAAAGTGATTAACACTAAAAAACATATGTTAGTATGTAATTCCGCAACTCGTTTATGACTGTTTTATAATAGTGAACAAAGGGGTTCAGTACAAGACTTTTAATTTTCAAACTACAATCTAATAATGAGTCGTTATAAATACCAAATGTTAAAAACAATACACTTCCTATATGTCAATATATTTATAAGTACTGACACTTCATATACATATAGACATTTATTATGGCTACAATAATAATAAGAAGTAGATTAGTATTTCATGGACGTGACTGACCACCCCCGTGACGAAGAATGCTTTTAAAAATCGAAATTGATCTGTAAGTACCATTGAACCACTTTAACTGTACCAAAAAAATCCACATTAGTATAGAGGAAAATAAACGAATTCTATTATGTTTCTTGAAGTCGGACAATATTAAATCAAGTATGTTTAAGTCTTTACAAACAATCAATAGACAATCGTTAAAATTGTAACCATACGACGCGAAAAGTAATTCATCTTAAAAATCCGCATTAATAGGTTATATTGAATTGATGTGCTACATTCAAATTTTCAATTATAAAAAATATACTTCATAGAACAATATTTATATTGAAAGAACACACTTTAATAACATAAATCTTCAGTTGTAGATGAACTATATTGAATCATTTTAGAAACGTATCATGCAAGTGTCCCTCATTCGTTATGCATAAACCTTAAGAACATCTATAAATGTAAATTATACACCTCTAAACATTTTATACAATGCAATTGTTGTTAAATGGTCCAACTATTTACCATGAGTCGACACCTAAAACTTAAAATGCTTATAAGAATATCGAGATCTTGATCATTTTTTATTTTTAAATAAAACAGCGATGAATGATGACGATAAATGCTTCAATAAATCTGAATTATCAATGTAAAATTACTATTATTCTATATTGTAGACTATGGCGACACACCAGGACTCCACCGAACTCAATAGTTAACAATAAATATACTTAGGTCGTAATATTTAGTGGGACACTATTTGTATTGTATAGATTTCTGGCGACTCATTTTATACAGAGATTGATGAACTTCCTTATTGTATGCCTTCTAAATTGCATGTGTGACCTCCTCCTTCATCCCAAACGTGCAATTAATTTTATTCAACATTTAACTTTAATTTTTAATTATAGTGCCCCAAATATTTATCCAAAAATGTATTAGACAAATTTTTACTTCATTTATTAGTTAATTCCTGTACAATATTACAGCATGATGCATGTATAAAAGAAATAACAATCATTATAGTAAGTACATACATTTAACAAAAATGTGTTTGTTAAACAACATTCCTAAATATTACAAAAAAAAAAAAAAAAAAACATACTGAAGATGTGATATAGTTGGGATAAGTATAGATGATTAAAATCATGTATAGGCATAAATAATTGAAAACAGAAAATTATAACAACACAAAAAAAATGTACTTTAAACTTCGGTTGAAAAGATTAACTTTTCATACGAAAGTTACTATTTTGAGCTCCGTGCACGCAAATAAAGGGTCAAACTTTCAAAAAAGTTGTACCAAATAAAAGGGATTGATAATTTTTTTTCTTACTTCTAAGAGAGACAAAGAAAAAACAACTAGCCTCAGGGTTAAATAACTATCTACTATTATAAATTATAATACTATTACCAGTTCGCCACTCGCTAATATATGTTCAAATAAAAATTTAAGAACGCATTAGTGTCAACATATATGATGATGTCCTATTAATAATTTTGAGCTTAAAAAAATTCATAAGCCTACATTATCAGCAAAATATAACAAGTACTTATTGTTTCTAGAATCAATATAAATATCATAGGACACCAATAATTGATATATTTAATATATCTAAATATACTTGTATATTTAAGAGAAATATTTTTTCAGTCAAAGAAGAACATTTAAAAACATTTTATTATTACTTTTTTGGAAGGTTGATTTTTAAAATATTTTTTTATTGAAAACATAAATTACATTAATAATTGATTAACAAGTAATTAATTTATTCATTAATTAATCATAGTTAATGAGTAACGAACATTAAAATGTATCAATATTCATAAAATACATAAAATAATTTTTAAGGATTAACTTTATTTTTAAAAATATAGAAGATGATTAAATATTTAGATTATTTAAACTATCCCTGAATTGTATTCTAGCCTAGTTTTGAAAATTAATTAAACATTTGCGAATTGATAAAAACGCAAAGTCAATGACTTGGGAAAAACAAGTTTGCTTCCTAATTGATCCACACATGTATTCCAAAGTGAAGTATATTTTATAGCGTACAGTGATAAGGTCAAGATCGTGATGATGTAAGTTCATTGACCGTTAGCAGATTAATATTTAAAAATATGTTTATAATAAACGTTGTCGAGAGTATTTTGAGTGTGCATATTAATAATTATATGGAAACTGTAGGAACACATACACTAAGTGATATGCGTGTTAGCTAACGGTATTAGCTGAACTCGTATAAACAAATTTCAAATTATGTTGTACGGGTTTTTTCCACACGGCTATAATTTACAAACGGTCATCATCTATACTACCGGTTATGAACATCATCGGCGACGAAGCGTATGGCAAGAAACTCTAACCCAATACCCAAGTCAACTCCAGTGCATTTACTGAACGGCAACGATGACGGTCGCTCTGCGAATTGTTATTTTTTTGGTCGTCGCGGCGGTATGTTGCACTTTGACATTTGGCATCCCAATACCTGGCAAAACTATTACTTACGATCAACGGCAGAATGGTGAATTCAACTTACAGGTAGACTTGAAAGACATTGCACTTTTATTTTTGGGAGGATCTGAATTTTTAGGTGAAAGATCTTCAGGTACCAAATTGTTTAACACATTCGAACGCCGTCACCATGACAGTGAACATTCAAGGAAAAAAACTAAAAAATGTCCTTCGCACATTACTTCTACTACAACCACTACCACTGAAAACAATGTAAGCGATCAAGTTACTATTGCTACATACACACCGAATATGATAACTGAAAATAACTACAATCATGAAACTTCTAATACACTAATAGAAGAATCAAATTTAACACCATCACAAGCAAAAAAAGAATTATTGCAACAGAATCCAGTACTTCACCACAAACTAAGTGTTACTACAATTAATCCAGAATCCTCAAATTATCCAACTTCCAATGCAAATGAAATCTTAAATTTAGAATCTGGAAGCACTAATAATCCACTAGAAGTCAATGTTCAAAAATACTCGCAAATGATCACTAAAACAAACAAACCAGAAGAAAACTCTACCGAAGAAAATATGATCGCAGTGAAAACGTTAGACAGATCATCTATGAATGATATTGTATCTTCTCAAGTTTCTTCAGCCATAAAGGAAGAATACGAAAAATTGGTCGCAATAAATATGGCGACTAAATCTTCTCCTCATTTAAATAATGTGGAAAAGCCGGTAGATGTAAAATCTCAATCAAAAATAGAAAAAGTACAAGATTCTATAACTGAACGTTCTAGTATACCAGTAGGAGTTATAAAAACATCCTCATTAGATACTAAGCAGCCAACACAAAATAAACAAGTTGAAACTGAAAAATCTCCTGATATGGTTATTGTAAAAACTGTAGATAAACCAGTAGATGTCAAATCTGTGGTAAAGTCTGGTTCAGTTATTGACGTGAAGAGTGCAAGTGAAAATAATATTAAAAAAACTCAGGAGAATCCACAAACAAGTAATGAAAATTTAACCAAAAATACAGGAGATTCCTTGTTAAAGTTATCAGAAAGCGTCGTTAAACCTCAAGAAACAATTGTTTTAAAAACGGCAATAAAAGAAATAGTGGCCGAAAATCACGAAACTAGAGATAATTTAAATAAACCAGTAAAGTCAGGGGAAGTAGTAGGAACAAAAGTCAATCGAGAAAACTCAGTAAAACATACAGAAAATGCCAAAAAAGACATGGTTGTAGTAAAAACTGTGGAAAAACCTTCTGTGGCCGTACATCCTAAACCGGTAGAAATCAAAGCTCCTAATAATAGAGGATCTGAAAAATCAGTTGTTACCAGCTCTAAAACAACAGAAACGCAATCAAATGTAGGCAATAATAATACACAAGAAAAACCCGTTTCCAGTGAAAATATGATTTTTTTTAAGACTGTTGAAACTCCAACTACTCCTTCTGTAGTACAACTAAGCGCTACGACACAAACAAAGATAAATGCAAGCCCTTCGAAGACATTGCCATTGACTACAATCGGTACATCAGATTCAAGGAAAATAGGTGACCGTAAACCAATACCCTCTGTATCTCTAGGTGTAGCTCCTCCAACGATTGTTACAGCTTAACTGGGAAATATCCAAGAGAAATATGAATTACGACTGAAAAGTATTTGCCATGTTTTAAATGTTTAGTCATTTCATTTATGTATGTATTCGAAAATCAAATAACATTATTTAAAGTCAATTAATTAAGTTAATTAGGACGCTACAAGTTTATTATTATATTATACGTATTAAGTAAATTTGTTTGTGTGTCATTTTTAAATTGTATATTTCATTATGTAATATAAAATGACATAATAGATATAAATAAAAAAATATTGAAAAAATTATAAAAATGATTCACGATTATTTTAAGTTAAACTGTTACTTATTTATTAATTAATAACGACTGAATTTGAATTTTTATTAAAATAATCACTTAAACATAATCAAAACAATTTATTTTAAGTCGATTAGCTACTTAAATATGAACATAAATTTTAATATGGATGTTTACAAACGTATACTAGTAGTAATAATGCAATCTGTCTCCTGTTGAAAATTACACCACAAATCAATTATCAATAGATAATCGTTATTTTTTATCATAATTATATCTGCTGACCTTTTGTATCCCTCCTTACATTTTAATGATCTTATATTTGAGCCGCTTAGAATTCAAGGGGTATAAGGTACATTAAAAAGAAATTGAATTACGTGAAGTCAGACTAAAAATTAGAAGTTTTCTTTTAGGAAAAAAAAAATTTTATAAAACACATGAAAATAAATTTTATTTCATATGAAAAACAAATACTTAAAACTCGTTCTTCTCAAATTAAAAAAAAAATAATTTACAACTCTTAAATGTTACATGCCTCATTTATATCAATTTTATTCGAATCAAATACATTTGTTTTTATTAACAATTAAAATTGTTTAATTATAAAAAACACTATTTTTAATAGGTGTATAATAACTTTGACATTAAATAGTTTTATTAATAGTTAATTGTTAATTTATAAATCAAAAAAATTTTATGACATTTTAATTATAAGTTTTACATGGTCACAACTAAAATTGTTAGAATACAATACATTCAACATAATTATTCTAAAGAATAATATTTAAAAATATTCATTAATACGTATATTTTAATATGACTAACTTAAACGATGCACCTACGCTTTTACCATCTAAACCAATTTTATTTTTCTTTGAAGTTTTATTAGGTATAATACTTATTATACCAGCCATCATGTGGGCAATATTAAAAAAATTAGTTGAAACTCCAAAAAAAAATGTAAGAGGTCAAGTAATAGTGGTAAGTACATTATTATTTTGAAATATTGTCACTATTGAATATTACCCCATTATTACAATCGTGGTTATTATTATTTTTTGTTTTACTTTTTATAAATTTCTTACCTTATAATTTAATTTTAATTTAAGAATATACATGGTATTATTCGGTAAATAATATATAAACAATTAACCTAAAGCTAAGAAAATATTTTTGAAAAATATCAATTACATTTTTATAAATAAACCCTTAGAATAGTTCAAAATCATAAAATATATAACATTATCCCTGATTTTCAGGTTTATAGCTAACTTTTTAAGTCAAATCAACAGTTTTAACTATCTATTAATTGTAGACATAAGAACGATATGCAATAAACTAGATTTCAAATGTTGATTGTTTATCATTCAAAGGGTTAAATGAAATCAAATTTTTTCTCTTCGCACTTTAAATAACAAAAAATATTAAAATTATTATGTAACTATAGGATATACACGTTTTATTATAACTTTATTTAATTTTATAAAATTTTAGATCACAGGAGGTGGTCGTGGTTTAGGTCGAGAACTTTGCTTGAGATTTCACAGATTAGGTGCTAAAGTTGCTTGTGTGGACATTGATATCAAATGTGCCCGCAAAACAGCAGACATTATTAATGAAGGAGGTGGGGTAGCTAAAAGTTATTGTGTGGATATCACTAACAGAGAACAAATAAAATGTATGCACGCGGATATCGTTAAAGATTTAGGCCCAGTCGACATAATAGTGAACAGTGCGGGAATCGTTATGAGTCATGCTTATGTTAACCCTGATTCCGATAAGCTAATAGAGGACATCATAAATGTAAATTTATTGGGACAATTTTGGGTAAGATAAAATTAAAAGTACTTTAACTTCTTAGAAAAATGTTAAAATATATTCAATGTTTTTATTTAATTAATCTTGAACATTTTTACTTGCAAAATACAATTAAAAGACCTACGAAAGACTTCGGTTAATGTTACAAATACTTCAAAAATTGTATTTTTTTTTATTAATCGATAAATTCTTGTTATCGTCACAATATTGAGGTACACATTTTAATAGGTGATTTTTATTAACTCTAACCCCACTCGAAATTTCTTAAAATAATTATTCTAAGAAATATATTTTTTGAATTTTTTAGTTTTATATATTTTTTTATTTATCAATTGTTAATTATTTTTTTAATTTATCCCTTATATCTTATAAGAATGAAATTCATTTTTTTTAATAGTTATACTAATAGTATAACTTGTAATAGTATACATCTTTAACTAGCTGATAAAATAAAAAACGATAGCACAGAGAGAACGTGACATAGTTGGAACCAGACAAGTTAAACTAATATAATGTTTATAAGTTCAACATTTTTTAATTTTAAACTTTGATAAAAATCAACTTTAAATGATGAAATATTAGGTTGAAAATGACATTTTGAATTGTAATTTCGTACGGATTATTTTTATCATTAAATATCAATAACTTAATAAAAAAAATTTTTTTTTAATTATTTCTTTCATGCGTTTAGTAGTAAACTCTCGAAAAAGAGGTGATATAAAAAATCTAATTTCAAACTTGAAATCAGCGTAAAAATTTGGTTCAGTAAAGTATATATTGGTCTATAATCATTAAAAACTATTTTATTTTACTGTGTAATTTAGTATAAAAACGAATTTTATACTCCTATTAATTTGGAAATATTTAATTAAAAAAGGATTTTTTGAAGTGGCCATTTCTTAGAATAACGTAATAACGTAATCTACCTTTTCTTTTTTCAACATTTATTTCTATAACTCTTTTTACGGATTCTGTTTCATCTCTCCTCATAACATGGCCGTGAATTACACGAATATTAGCTAAAAATGACAATTTTAAGCTAGTTTTAAAATTCAAAGCAGTTTTTCTTAACTTTGAGGAGACAAAATAATTATAAATTTATATTTAATGTAAGTTAGATTCATATAAATTTTATAAAATTTGGTGGACTCATTCTTTGTTAAATACTTATAAGGTATTTTAAAACAAAAAAAANAGTTAGATTATAAGAAGTTAGATTCATATAAATTTTATAAAATTTGGTGGACTCATTCTTTGTTAAATACTTATAAGGTATTTTAAAACAAAAAAAAAAACAAAATAAAATTTGAACACAAAAATAACATGTTTTTTAACTAAGGCAATAATTTGCACATAAAAGATCGGGAAAATTTTTTTTTTTTAATTTATAGTTCGTAACATTGCTTTAATTTAACATATGTTTAAGGACGCAATATTTCCGGAAAATTTTCAAAAGTTAAGTTGAAAAAGCTGACTTTTATAAAAAAGTGTTTATTTTGAATCCCTCCCTTTTAACAGGTAAACGATCAGATTATCAAAAATATATACCAAATAAAAGGAAAGTTTAAAAAATGTTGAAATTTACTGATTTTAAAAATCGTAATTTTTTGGGTTATTTCCCCTATTTACAGGTAACAAGGAAATATTTTTTAATTTTTTAGGGTAATGTCTTCAACTAGATACGATTTATGATTTTGACGTATCGTTGAGAAAAAGTGGTGACAGACACAAAAAAAATATAAATAAATGTCATAGTAAAATTATTACCTTTTCAAATTCGCATTCAAGATAAAAATAAAGGTGAATTGGGATGAAAAGGTAGAGTAAAAAGTACTTATATTTTGTATTGTTCATTAGTTCGAATAATTTACTATAGCTATGGTTTGAACAGCGGCGGGTCTATAATTTTTTTATTACCTCTGAGAAAAAAACACAACGACTTTTGATCGTTTAGCGTGTCGTTGAGAAAAATCGGTCGAGTAAGAGCTAAGTAAAAAGTAGTGACAGACACAAAAAAAAAAATGGAAAATAAACACATCGTGGTAAAATTAATACCTTCTTAGCTTTGCATCGAAGCTAATATATAAACTATAAGATATAATTGTATTGAGTTCTGAATATTAAAATTGTAGCATCTATTTAAACACCAAGAGTTTCATAGAAATGATATATTTGAAGCTCCGAGTATTTCTGAACGTCTCCTCTGGCCTAGGTATAAAAATATCAATAACTTTTGAAGTACTGTTTCAAACATTGTTATCGACCAGTCATTTTCTTAAAAAGATATTTTTTACTTTAAAAGCTAGATGTATCAAAAAATATATAAAACTAAAAAAATACCAAAAATAATTTTCTTAATACAATTATTATTCTAGCCTTATTGATTAAATAATCATAATATATTTATGAACTAAAATATTTTATTATGGAATAATTGATATGACATTAATGTAGGTGAACAGAGAAATACTACCATCAATGCTAGAAAGAAATAGTGGACAAATCGTTGCCATATCTTCAATGTCCTCGATGAGTGGCTTATCCGGCATATCATCTTACGCCGCTACTAAATGGGCAACAAATGGTAAACAGAAAATTATGTATAAAAAAAAAAAATATTATGCAGGGTAATTTAATTAGACTTTCATTCTGTTTTATACTTTTGTAAAGGTATGATGGAATGTTTACACAACGAATTAAAAGCTCTAAACTCAAATGTAGTATCTACAACTGTATGCCCATATTTCATAGATACTAATCCAGAACTTTCAGACTATTTTGATCTCAGGTAAACACAATTAATAGTATAAAAAAAAACAATTGTAATAACAATTACTTGTATCAAATAAGATAATTATTTTATTTGATAATAAAAATTTTAATTATTAACACCTTTAACAAAACAGTATCATTTTAATATATTTTATTGTTATGATATGTAATAACATTACATCACGTTAGCTATAAATTACTTTATTATTGAACTATATTTATATTTATTTTAGAATTGAAAAAATGTCAACGTCTTATGCTGGTGAAATCATTATGTCAGGAATACTTAAAAACTGTCGAATTTTTTCGGTGCCAAATCATTTTATGGGAATAGTGGCATTAGCAAGGTAATATGTTTTAAAATAAACCTTTTATGTGATACCGTATTTTTACCTAAAACGCGAAATTAATTATTATAGTTAACTAAGCAAGTTTTATACTTTATAGAAATAATTGAAGTATTTTAATGTAAAACTAATCAATTAACTAACAAAATAATTGAATATGTACTGAGAACTATATTTATTTAAATATAATGTATTTTATTTGACACAGAGAGAGATACATTAATTAATACGCGTATATTGTGTATTTCGCTTAAATAGATGTCATCAATTAAATATTTTGGCTAAAATTAAGGCATTTTTTTTTAGGTTATTACCCGATAACTTACAAAATTATTTAAACAAAGTTTTTTATGTGAATATTTTACCACAACCGACGGATTTAAAAATTATATCGAAATACAAAGAAAAAATTTCAGAAAATTAATTTAATAAAATTAAATATACATAGAAAATATCATGAAATCTAAAAAAAAATTATGAATTATTGTATCCAAAAATAGTGTTACTACAAATAATTATTAATTTACTAGAATAACATATCAATATCTTCGCAATACTCTTATTTTATAGTATTAATATAAATATTTATAGAGGTGTTCTCAGGGTTTTGACTTTGGTTAGGGGATATATACACCTTCCCCAAGAGAATACCTCTGTATTTATATGTATGTATGTGTATAATTAAATTAGATCTATTTTAATTGAAAATCATTAATGTATGTAATTTTTTTTTCTTTTTTTCTTTATTTATAATTGTGTCTAAACAATGTTGCAATATTGAAATTTTCACGGTTGAGTATAATATTCAAAAACAATAAATATATTTATCACTAGAGTTTTTTTAAGTTTTTCATTCTATCCTAAATATTTTCTTATATAATTGAAGATATCTCTCATTCCTAGTTTGATGTTTAGTTGTAGAAAATAGTTATGTACAGTTTTTCAGTTATAGTCCAAGAATAATGATTTTCATTCGGAATCTCAAAAGCCTGAAATCTTTAATACATTCATAAAAATGATCTTTATTAAAATATTAATTTAAAACTAAAAAGTATAAAAATCGCTTATACGTATTTCGGAAAAAATGTTACCGCGATTAACGCTAACATATACATTAACACCCTGACGAAAAATATTCCCTTATATATAACCCTAGTGATCTTTTAACTTCGTGATGTTATCACCAGTTAATTATTCACACTTTTCCAGTTTTCACAATTTTAAAAGTGATTTTTGTAGTTATGAGATCCCAATTAATTAAATTATTTTTAATTTTGAACATTTCTATTGCCTCCCTCATATTAAGTTCCGTGTAATTATTTATTGACATAAATGATTGATTTTATAATATTTAATTTCAACATTAAGACGCTAAAATTAACTTATTGAGATTACCCCGATATCACAAGGCAATAAAACTGCAAGACATTTAAAATTAAACTCTTTTGTTCTTATTAATAAAATAAGTTTTTAGTTATTTAATTATCACTATGATGCACATCACAATTTAAATTAAGTAAGAATATTCAATTACATTTAAATTAAAATATTATGATAAGTTTAAAAATCATTTTCTAAATTTGTTCAGTATTACCTTACTTGACCCCTCTACACAATATTAATACAATAATAATGTATCTCGAAATTTTTAATTGTGAGATAATCGATTTCTATCTACCATAAAAGTTACATGTGAATGACTGTTTGTATTTAAAATAATAGACATACCAATGCATTTAGTTAAAGTTTTTGCATAATTAAATAGTATAATTTAGTTTATTATTTTAACATATTGGTGTAATGTCAAAAATAATTTTTTTTAGATAAACTTATACTGTATTGATAGTGCAATATGATAAAAATAATTTTGTTATCATGTATGTCTAAATTGTAAATTATTATCAGGAATATTTGCGGTTGTAATTAATTATTCCTTAAAATTATGCTTCATTAATTTTAATTATTTATTTCATTTAAATTAAATATTTTAATCATTTTTATAGTATTCGGTCAAAAACTAAATAATCAATATCGTTGCAACGATAAAATATATTTTTATTGTTATTTATAAAGTTAGAATAATTAAGTGATATTAATTTATAATGTCACTTAGTAATATTATACACAGAACATTGCAGTGAGTTATTTTTTATTTTTTATACAGTAAATCGTATTAATATATTTGGTAATAAAATTATTACTTGGATTTTAGTCAATTTATTGGGCTCCCATCTCTTGGTCCTAAAGTTACAAGCTTCTTAAATCCAGAGGTTTTAAGTCCTTGGTCAGTTGATTTAATTCGTACAAAAACAAGAAAACATTTCCCTAGGCCGAATGAAACATCTCGTATTAGAAAACATGGTTGGTTTACAAGAATGGCAACTAAAGATGGGCGTAGAGTATTGCAACGAAGGATACTCAAAGGCCGTTTTGTTTTAAGTCATTAATATTTTTTTAGTAAAAATAGTTTGGTTTTTTAATGTAATTTGTAAATTTTAAATTAACAATAATAAAAGATGTTATTAAATATACTATTTGTTGTTCATTATAGTTTTTAAAAACCTTACCATGTGCTAATTCTTATAATAATTTTTATACTAGTGTTAATGATCTCTGGGTGTCGTTCATTTCAATCGGTTCAGTTTTACAGTGATTTACAAGGAAAAATAAAAGTGAATTCTAAATCTGTTCGAAATGTTAATTATTGTATACCAGTACTTACAGAAGAAAGAAAAAAGGTAAATAGATAAGCTATTCCTCTCAAAGTTCTATTAAATTGAAATGACATGATTTTTAGACAATTAATAAAATTGTTACTTTACAAATCTCTGGTCACTATTTAAATTGTACTTCATTTATACGAGATGGTAACATTTTGGCTAACTGGAAAATGATTAATCTTCCAGAAGATATCTTTAAATTCAACTTAGATGATGTTTATAATACAGTAAGTATTATTTGACCTATTCTAGCTTGTTTTGTTAAAAATGTTAACAAAGAAATAATGTGCATAAAAATTGAAATTAGGTAGTTGAAGTTATGAAAGATTTACCTGAAGGTGATGTTTATCTAATAGAAAATTATGTAAAAATGCCCAGTAATGTAAATGTTGCTGGTGCCAATCTTTTTTACATCAAGCTACAAATGCTGGCTATGCTTATTGCACTAATCAATAGTAAATCAAATTTCGGTAATTAAACTTAAAAAAAAATAAGGTTAATGATTTTAAGTACCTGTATTTTATTAAATAGATCAGACAAATAACAAAGTACTTTTGTTAAAAGCACGCTTACATGCTAGGTTATTTAGAATAATTGTTGGTACTGAAATCATTTCTTCACAGACAATAACTGAATCAATGTTAAAGGGTAATTTTCCAGAGTATATAACTCCCATTTTCCCATCAATTGATGCAGTTTTAATGTATAACTCAATCAAAAATCCTGCAATAAAAGAATTGATGTCTAATGGACTTATGATAACTATTGCATTTGTTGATTTAATTTTGAATTCCAATCCGAATAGTTTACAAGCACTTACAAGAAGTACAAGAAAAAAACAAAAAAATAATGATTTGTAGGTATAATAATTTTTTAATTATTAATCAATTTTCTTTATATATATAAAAAAAAAATAATTACATAATAATTAATAGAATGATAATAATAATGTTAATTACATCAAACCTATAGAACTTGAAAAACAAAAGTTATATTATTTGGTATAGTGAATGAAGTAATACTGTTTTACGCAACTGATCATATTTTAAAATTTATCCTTAAATATATTAAATTCCTTATTTAAACTTTAATATAAAAAAATATGTAAATAAAATTTAGAAGAAAGAAAAAGTAATATTAAAAAAATCTTGTTTCCATATGTTTCTTTTTAACATGTCTGTTTAAATCATTTTTTTGTTGATATTTCTTATTACATACTTCACATTTATAAGGCTTTTCACCAGTATGTACTCTCATATGTATTCTAACTTTTTCGGGTCGACTGAACTTTCTCATACAGACTTCACAACAATATTTTTTTTCAGTATGTATAGCTTCATGTTGACGTAATGTTGATAAGCACTTAAATGATGAATCACAAATAAAACATTGATATGGTCTTTCACCTGTATGTTGTCGTTGATGTACACCTAATTGAGATTTATTAGGAAGCTGTTTACCGCATATTTCACACATAAAATTCATATAGTGAGTTCTTTCATGATAAAGTTTAGATACTTCTGACATAAAATTCTTGTTACAATATTGACAGGTATATTCTTCTGTATTATTTGCAAAATTGTAGGCATAGGCCCAACCTTTAATGCCAGGTAAGTTATGGGCTTTTATATGATGTACTAAATTGTGTAGGCTATCAAAACAAAACATACATAAATCACAGGGAAAATAATGTTCTGGGTAGTGTAGCTTTACATGATTTTCAAATTCAGATGTATTAGAACAACGACGGAAACAGTGATGACAATCTAATTTTTTTAAATTATGACTCATGAGAATGTGTTGTCTTAAATTTTTACCTTAATAAACAAATAGACAAATTTTAATCTTCTAAGCTTAAAATATTTATTGTACTAATACTTTACCATCATTAAATGTTAGTGTACAGCGCAAACATTGAGTCTTATTTTTTTTGTCAAAAGATTCACGTGTCATGTGACAGAAGTTTTTCTTTGCATATGGTCTTCCATTTCTGACATAAGTTTCTAGTTTAAAGTTATAATTTTCTTTATTTTCCTTAAATAAAATTAATTTGAATTAATAAAAAAAAAATTGTTTTCAGATCAACAAAAAATACCTGATCAAAAATGTTATTTTTATTGCATCTTTTGTTGACTTTCATTGTTGTCATCTATAATATCAATATAAAAATTTAGACATTACTTATTATATAATTATTTATTATATTATAAAAATAAAAATATAATATGACAATAAAAAAAATAAATAAAATCCTTGTACATATAAATTTCAATTATTATGAATATAGTGTACAATCAACTTGTTCTTTTTTTTTGTTTTTTTTTTTTTAATTATTTTGTAACATTGTTATTTTTTTTTTTTATCAAAATTTTAGTCAGTGAACTAATAAAATAATAACTATTGAATAAAATTTATACCAAAATATTATTTCTAAACTTTTAAAAATTTTATAATTAATAATGAAAAAAAAAACTATATCTACAATTAATTTTTTTCAATAAAAAAGTATTGATATTGTATAAAGGGTAAAGGGGAAAACAGTAATATTCTATTTTTTTCGATTTAGATTTTATGGTTGGATTCAATAGCCCATTAGCAGTAGTATTAAATAATGAAATCTATTTGATGAAAATTAATTAATTTTTTTTTATTATTTAAGTGTCTATTTTTGTTTTATCATAAAAGAATATTTTACACATTAGGAATTTATAGCATATTTATTTATTTCTTGCTATTTGAAAGATGTGCAGAAAAAGACAATTACTGTTTTTTCCCTTTATTCTTCATATTGATTTTATGTTTTTATTTTAACATAAATAACCTTTGTTAAAACATCATTTTTAAGTAGTTCTACTTCAGAATTTCCTATTATTGCTGACATAAGTTTAGTTGTGTTGTAGCAAAATTCAAACACTGGATAAACATCTTCTATTTGACTAACACATTTTTGACAAATTTTCAATGATAATTCATCATCAGGTGAAACCTAATAATAAAAACCCATATAAAATTCAATGTGATTATAAAAAAGTAATATTTACTTAAACTCTAATCAACTTTTTCAAAGTCTAAAAAATATGTTTATAAATTAACACTTGCAACCAGTGTTGAATTTAAATAAGAAAAAGTAGGGTCAGATTAAGATCTAATGAGCGCCAGGGTGGTACCTTGAGATGGACTCCCCCTATGAAAAATACTGTTCCCATAAAAATGTTATGAGCAAAAAAAAAACCAGAAAACCTCTGTCAGTTATCATGTCTAGGCTAGTAAAATTCTAGAAGGTTTTTTTTAAGCCCGTGGCTTTTGGACCCTATGGTGTTCGCTCCCCTTGTCCCCTTAATCAAGATCTGTGAAAAATTATGAAATTTTAGGGTCACAATAAATTTTTTTTACTTATTTGCATTAATCAAAAAACATTTTTACGAATACCTGACCAGCCCTAGCTCTTATAAAGCCAGGATAAAGTAATTTATTTTCGTGAAAAAAGTGTTGAACGAAAAAAAGTGTATACACCATTATAAACATTTTTAATGGCTTTTAATCAAAAAGTTACTACTATCCACTGAATATGTGTATTACAATCACAATTCATATGTACAGAGATAGGTGCTGTTAAAATATACCAAATGTAACAAGATATGGATTAAACGTGTTTTTATAAAGGAAGTGATTTTTTTTAAGAAACACAAAATATAGCTATTTTCCATTAAAAATTTAATTAATACATAAATATACCGTCTACGGACCAATTAGATTATCTCTCTCTTTCAATCTGCATTTAAATGTCACCTACAAATAACTTACATGTAGCAACAAAAAAGCATTTATTTTATCAGCCAACAGATTTGATTTTTGTCGAGTATTGTATTCAAATATATTTATCGATCCAGGATTACCACAGATACGACATAATGCCTTTATTTTTTCCAGAAGTGCCTGAAAACCAAACTTATATAACATTTTTGGAAAAGTAAATATTTTTTAACTATTCTAAAAATAAATATTTTTATGTCTTGTATAACATCAAAATAAATAAACAATTAATTTTTAAAGTTTTTAATCTATTGATAATTTGTGTATATCAAAACTTTTAATATCTTTCTTTATATTTTTAATTTTTTTACGACTAATAATAATTCATTACCAAATAAAATATTAGTATTAAAATAATACTTTATATCAAATATTTTACTTTATGAAAGTTTCACTAAACTTTGTACAATACTTTAAAAGATTATTTTTGAAGAAATTTTGTTTTTTTTTTTAAATGTAAAACTCAATTTTAAACTATTTCTTGAAAAATCATAGTATTATTAAAAAAAATATACTAGTTATTGATCAGTTAAAATTTTACTTAGACCATTTTCCATTTAATAGTAAAAAATTATTGGTTCCCATTTAACTTTCAAAAATTACTCCTAAAATATACGCTTAGGAATAATTTTTTCTTGCAATAAACTTTATATTTATAATGGTCTTCTATATAAATAAAATTTTAATCTATACATTTTTATGAAAAAAATATTATTTAACGAAAATATGGACGCTAGTATACTTAATAAATCAAACTGTTTATATTTTTTTTTATCAGTTTCTATTTTTAGGAAAAAATAAAAGACAAATGATTGATCGTTGGACTGAATACTAGTGTGCGTTCACTCTTTATTTGTAATATTATACAGAGTGTTCAGAGCAATAGAAACCCGTTTCCTGACTTACTGAACACTCTGTATAAAATTATTTATGAACAATAAAAACATAATATTAGCCTCAAAACTAAAACAAGCAGCAAATACTATAATAAAGCCAATGGGAGGTACCCCTACTGATCCCCAAAACCCGTTATATGTTATACTTGATGTAGCGATTTTATTTTTTCCTTAAATTCTTATTTCTAAATTGAATGTTGTTAAATTTTACCAAATTTTCTTTATTTTTAACTTGTAAAAACTTCATCATAAGCTCATTTGTTTCAATGCCTGTTTTAACAATCCGGCTAATAGTGGTAATCTGATTTACACAGCTCTCGCATGCCATAGATGATAGACGATCATTAATTGCTACCTTAAATTAAAATTCAATAATAAAAATAGTAACTCTATTTCTTTATATCTAAAATGCATTTCAATGAATACATACTTGAATTGGTAGTAAATTATTAATTTTTTCAGCCAAATCTAACGATTGTCCAAGAGATCCAAATATATTCATCGAACCGATGTCACCACATATCCGACATAGTTTTTTAATTCTTTCACAAAATGACATTGTAAAGTAGAAATACTTTTTTGTATTTAAATTTATATTTGTTTATATTAAACCTAAAAAAAAATTGTACGTGCATCATTTAGAGTAGAAATGTAATTAAAAAGAGTAGTGGTCTAAACTGTCGTAAAAATTGCTGATAGTTCTTTGTTCTTACTGGAATATATTTTAAGATTTATGCTTAGTTATTCTTATGCTTGACTGTAAGGACCAGCAGTTAATGATTAAGCGTTTTTTTTATTCAAGAATGTAAAAATATTTTCATATTCACATAGAAAATCAGAAAAATATTCAGATGGTTTATGGTTCAATGATACCATAGGGGCAAGTAGGAGATGATATAGCTATTTAGCACCCCAAAAAGATTTCACCATTCTTTTAAATTTCTTTTACTACTGTATAAATAATAACTGCATTATTTTAATTTAAAATTTCAAAAACTTGCTTTGTATAGTGTATTTGTTTTAGCGTGCAATGTTTTTGATGAAGTATATGAATTTCACTTAAAACATATTAATATTATTTAGTTTCGACAATTATAGTTATTTTAACTAAAATTGTTTAACTATAAACCATGCGGTATTCTATCCAGTGGTAGGAAAACAATGCATGTATATAGAATTATTGTATATTTATAAATAGTTATAAAGAAGGTTGGGTACATTACTTCGTGCGGAGCAAGAAAAAATTGTTTTGTCTTTGGAACTTCAGCATCTCAAGTTCCAAACACTATGAGCTCCTATAATTGGTCCTAAAATTAGGGTGGCGCAATACATGCGCTATAGTAAAATAAATTACATTGAAAGAAATTGTATAAATTATAACAAATTAAAAAATATTGTTTAAAAAGTCATACGACTAAATAAAAATGTATAGTTAAGGTATAAAAATCATATTACAAATTTAGTTAAAATGATTAAGAACCTCTAGTTCTAAATTTTCTCTTGGTTTCGATACTAGAGTATTTAAATTCACTATATCTTTTATATATTAATTAATGTTTAAAGAATAAAATAAACATTTTTTCCTGAAAAATATTAAATAAATATATAATATAATTATTATTTATTTATTTAATTATATTTCTCAGCGAGAAATTTTCATTTTTTAGTCTAATTTACACTACTATTTGCAAGTAAGCAAATAAGAAAAGTATTGATTAATAAACATTTTTGTTTAATATCGGTACTTACGATAGAACTTTTTTGTTTTGTTATTTTGTAGTTAGATACTGAAAAATAATAACTATTAAAAATATAAATTATCACGACAATTAATCATTAACGCATTGAACACATTATAAAAGGAGCAATTCTATAAAATGGTTTACCAATTATTTGACGTATTCAACGGACTAACTTATATGTTCATGACTAGAGAAAAAAGTCATCAGCTGCTTAATTGCAGAATATTGTAGAAGCGATAGTTGATGGAAAATAATAATAAAACCAAAAACACAGTGTGACCATTAATAATAGTAATAATATAAATACAATTATCCTCTCCGTTTTGATAAAATTAAACCTTTTTTTGTGCATACTAACAAATAATTAAAATTCTAATTGTCAAATCGACATTTAATACTTTTTTTCAATCGATATATACTTAATATCTTTTAAAGTACTTAATGCTTAAAGTATAATGATAACTGTCATATGCACGGTACGTTTTTTGGTCTAGGGTTGTGTATAGATTGACATTTCTGGAGAGGACTTAATATCCCTATAGCAAAATTTTATTTGTATTTCTATTAAAATTAATAATAAAAGTACAGATAAAATCATGTAAGCTCCCCATAACATTTTTCTTAGATTATTCTAGCTTACTAAAAATTTTACAAAATATCTTCTTTAAGGATAAAAATTATCAGTAAATAAAACGGGCAATTTTACATTTTTCAATATTGCGCTTAAAAAAACAATTTATATGTAACTTTTAAGACTTAATTATATTTATATATTAAATAAATGCAAAAGTTGGATTCATATAAATCAATCGAAATCCTAGTCCAATAAAAAATACAAATAGATCTGACTAATTTTTTGTGAATTATATATTTTGTACCAATATCGCATTTTTCATTTCAATAAAACTTCAATTTTAACTAATATAAATTATATTTTTTAAGGTTAAAATAGAACCTATTAAATGTTTAATGCAAAATTAATTCAATATTACTAGTTGTAATTGAATGAACTTGTATATATATATATATTTTTTTTTATGCTATAAGTTATAAAAATAATTGCTAAAAAATATTCAAGGAAATTCTATAAATTTAATTTATTTTACATTGTAGTATGTTTGAAAAAGTTATTTCTAAGTTAATTTCCTGAAAATCTCACAATAATCATTATCAATATACAAAATAACTATTTATGTCTCACTTGAAATTTATGTAAATCTAAAATACTAAACATTTAAAAATAAATGCAAAAAACATAATATAAATCATTGTTTTTAATAGTATTTGTTTCTTTTACACGATTATAGTACAGTTATTTTATTAAGTATTTTTAATTTTTAGTTCATAATACTAATACAAAGTTTTATATTGCTAACAAAATTGATAGGTAAAAAAATAAATAAATTTTTTTTATGTTTGAATTACATCTTAGAGAGATAAATAACTATAGGTTTCCACTATTCAACTATTTTGTATGTTTTGACTTATAATGATTGCTTCTTCCTGTATATTCAGAAGCATAAATTATATACAAAATAAATAATTTTAGTTCTTATAACTATACAATGCATTCATTGAGAATAATATTTTTATAACATACATATTATAGTATTTTTTACAATACATAAAATATAAAAATTACTCGGGAATAATAAAAATAATGATATAGTGAGAAATGTACATTTTCAGTATAGAGCTCAATATTTATGTTTAGATATAAATAAAAAAAGTTAAATTGATCATTATTTTAAATAGCACAATTGCTGTATTGAAAATATTTTAAGAATTAAAATTTTATAATTTGATTTAACAGTAAATAAAAAATTATAGCTAAACATCACTGATTTTTTAAGTATCTAGATTTTTGTATTAAATAATAAATAATATTATATACTAGTTGATATGAATGACATTGTGTGAGTAAAAAGAAGGTAAACCAATTTTAATTATTTATGATAAATTATAGTGTAGTATAACTTTTAATCTAAATAATGAACTAATTTATTTAATTTGAAGTTAATTTAAAGATGCATATAGTTAACTATTATTTAATATATTATTTAAAAAAAAAAAAAAATACAGTAAATAACAAGAAAATAAAATTTTGGAACAAAAAATAATATAAGAAACTTATAAGTAATGCATAAAATGCATTATGATTAATTGAATTATATTGTGATAATATATACATTTTATTATAACATAACATAATTGATTTAATTTATTGGTAACAAGATTTTACCATTATAATAATTGTAAGAGAATAAACTTGGTATTTGGTAACATTTATCCGTCAGTTAAGACATTATATAACCTTAATATTCTATGGGATTGAACTGCACTTTAAAACATAAAAATAACTTTTTTTTTTTGCTATAAATTCAAACAATTTTTAATATCACAATATAATATTCAATGCACTACTGCTATGGGTGCTGCAGTTGAAACATTTGTAGTAGAAGACTTAACACTGAAATCAACAGTATTTACCACAGAAGTTGAACCTTTAAACTCAGTTGGTAGAGGGGGAGGAATTTGATTAACTGGCGAAGATGATGCAAAACTCTGTTGATGATGATTGGCAAATGGCGATTGCAATGCATAACATTGAGGAAAGTAAATTTCTGGTTTGACTATTCCTGATGGCTGATTTAGTATTGTGTTCAGATGTGGAGATCGGCCTGGTTTTATAATATCTGATCTCCTTTTATTAGTATGAGGATTCACATGACTATCCATATGACGTTTAACTTCTTGTTCGGAACCAAAACGTCTACGGCAATTAGGCATTGGGCAACAAAATGGTCGTTCTCCTTGATGAGTTCTAGTATGTTGATCAAGAATTGCTTTTTGCCTGAAATCTTTACCACATTGTAAGCACTTGTAAGGTTTTTCACCAGTATGTATTCGCAAATGTTGGTTTAGAATTGTACGTTGGCGAAAGTTCCTTCCACAATAAATACAAGTAAATGGTTTTTCATTAGTATGTATACGTAAATGTTGAGTGAGATGAGACTGTTGTCTAAATCTTTTACCACATTCAACACAAGGATAAGGACGGGATTCTATATGAATACAACCATGCTGTAATAAAGTAGACTTTTGTTTAAACTCTTTGTTACATATTGGACAGCGAACATATAAAGGCATTCCAGCACTACGTCCATGTTGAATTACATCTGGCAAACTTTTACCTGATTGGCCAAAAATTTCATGTATAACTCCTGTGAATTTATGAAAAAATAGAGTAAATATAATATTTTAAATTTTTTTTGTAATATTAATACCTTTAGCATCTTTGAAATAAGCAGGGAACTGAGGTGCATTTTCAGGAGAATAACATGAATCATTTGAATCATACTGTATATTTTTAGATTGAGGCAATGGTACATCTTGTGGCCATAATTGACCATTTTTATAAACTAAATGAGGACCTATGTCTGAAAAATAAATATTCGATCTATGAATATACAAAAAAGTTAATTGTATTATTAAAATCATTTAGTACCAATGCAAATACAAGTATTTTAGTAAAAAAATTAAAATCCAATTAAACATTTTAGGGAATTTATTCATAAATAATAATTTTAATCATTTTTTATGCATTTCTTTAATATTTATTGCAGCATGGTATTAGTAAAAAAAAACATAAATGTTATTTATGTGTTATAATAAATTTATTCTATTTTTAGCTATAACTTCAAAATAACACTTTGCAAAAATATAGGAGTTGTTTTTCAGTACCACACAGGTAATAATTTTTTCAGAACATTCTTTTTATAAATTCAATTACAAAAGTGTACATGAATAAAGGGTGTTCAATTAGTAAAGAAAATGGTTTCTATTATACCATTTTTCATAACAATTGACCTGTTTCCTTACTTTTTTATAATATTCATAAAACAATTATATATATAATTCTGAAATACTTAAAAAACTAATAATATAAAAGATTTTTCATAGGAGTATTTTAAATTTGGATAAAAAGAATAGATCAGACAGATGGTGTCAATTAAATGATTAAGATAAAAAGTAAGTGTAGTAATAGATTTTTAATAAAAATAAACTGTTATCCTATTAGTTAAATTATTATGTTAATATTTTTTTTATTTTATTTTTATTTTTTAAATTAAATACAAAATAATAAAATATCAACAAATTTTAAAATTGGTTATTAATTATGGTTCATAAAATGAATATCACATTATTATCATTTTATACACAAGATCAATCAATTTTACACATATTTTTAAATAAAGTAACTATAATTATTATTATATTTAGAAAATGTTTTAAGGATATTTGATCATTCTATTTGTAAACATTTTTATTTAAAAAAAGATCAAGGGTCATTTATAAAATCAATTTATAAATTTTTATTTTAATAGAAACTTAACATTGGATTAGTTACTAGTAGGTAAAATGTTCAAACAGTAACAACAAATATTTGAACATTAGTAAATAGTTAACAAGGTAGTATAAAATATCATACGGATGTAGAGAATCATTTTAGCAAGCCATCCTGAAAACAGACTTTTATTGATATTTTTAACACACCCAATTTGACCTTACACTGGTTAATTGGTTTTTTTATCAGTGTCTAACAAAACTCTCATAGAATCACTTTTTTCTGATCTTGGATTGGCTGCTTGCGTCCTATCAACTAAGGGAAAAGGTTTTGTAGGTATGTTCAATAAATGTAAGAAAGGTTTACTACTGCTGGAAGATGAAATAGAAACAGAGGAGTTTAAAAGCTTTGCTGATTTAAGATTATTTTGAAGTAATCTCGAAGTGGCATTTTTTAAATCTGAGTTTGTTAAATGCTGTTCATCTTGTATATTGTTAAATAAACTTGGATATAATTTCATTCTGAAGGCGTCAGCTGAGGACTTCAGGAAAGCATTCAGATTATTGTGAAGTTGAGAGGGTGGAGGTGAACTTGAGGAATCACTACTATTTAATGAGGAATGAGAGTGCTCGCCTTGGTGAGTGCGGACATGCTGGTTTAGGATGGCTTTCTGACGGAATGCCTTGCCACAATCTCCACACCCGTACGGTTTCTCACCCGAATGGATGCGTAAATGTTGATTAAGAATTGCTCGTTGACGAAAAGTACGGCCACAGTAGATACATACAAATGGTTTTTCATTAGCATGTATTCGCACATGTTGTGTAAGGTGAGATTGCTGGCGAAAACGTTTCCCACAATCACTACATACAAATGGTCTAGAGTCAGTATGTATACGTTCGTGTTGCATAAGAGTGGCTTTTTGTTTAAAATCTTTACCACATGAAAGACATTTAAACATTCTCATATCTGAACATTTTTTTCCTGACATTTCTTGTTGTTGATGCAATAAATCAGGCATATTAGGAAAGTCACCAGATGCTTCAGCTGGATTTAGTGGAGTCAACATTACTCCAGGTTGTTTTAAATAAGACATAAAACTTGACGGGCTAAGCATGTGAGGAGGTCCACCTCTTACACTAGAATAATAACTTGAAGAATCCCCTGAACCATATTGTCCTGATTGAGAACGATTAGTTTCTAAAGGACTATCTTCATGAGGTGTCTCTTCATCACCTCCAGTCCCAGAACCTGTTACATTAAAATAAATTTTAGATTTTATGAATATTTAAAATTTTAAAAATAATGTGAAAATAAATTTTAACCTTAATAAGTTTTTTAAAAGGTTATTGGTATACAACAAATTTTAACTTAAAAGATCTTAAAAAGTATTTCATCACAATAAGTATAAATAGTTAATTAGTTATCACATATTTATTGCTAAATGTCTACATTACATCTTATTATAAAAAAAAAATTTGCTACATTTGAACATTTTTTTATAATATAATTTATCTAATATTAAATGAGTTCTCTTAGTAATTAATAATTATTCATAATTAACCAGCTAATTGTAATTTGTGCTACTATAAAAATAAATCATTCAAACTTTTTAAAAATTTTAGTTATTAAAATTAAAATTTGTATTACTTAATAAATTAAAATTGTATAAAGAATTTTAATATATAGATATAAGAAAATGAAAATTTTGAATTTTTTATAGGACAGTATAAAATAAGTATGCACCTTGAATTGAATGGTTGGCTGTTGGATATGGTGATGGCAGAGGTGATGAAATAGTTGATTGAGATGCCTGTTCATTAGATTGCTCAATAGATTCATGTTGAGATGATACAAGAGTCGGATACCCATTTTGAGAAGATCCTGGACCCCATTGGCTAGTACTTCCATTTAGCCCTGGTTGATGGTGTCCATCTTTATTGTATAAAACGTAGGGAGCACCGTTCTCTATAAAATGAAAGATAGAATAATAATTGATTCATTTTAATGTATAATAATCACTAGACAAAATACATAATACATGGTTCATTTTTTAAAATTTAAATCTACAATACCATCGTCTAGTTTAGGTAATTCCTGTGAATTAATGATCATTAGGATTCAACATTAGAATTAAATAATTATATATTCATATATCTTACTCATAAAATCTAAAAAATGTTAACATTAAATCATAATTTATAAATAAATTCAAAACAAATTTAACCGATAGAGTAACATATAAAATAATTGATAAAAAGCACATTTTTTTATCACATAATATTGAATACTCATACTTATTTATCATACGTAGATTTAGATACTACGTTGCCATTTTAACATATGATTATTCACAACCTGTTACAACACATTAGATATCAACTTACATTATATATTCCCGCCTAAAATGACGCTGTATTCAGCTTAATTTAAAGGAAAAAAATAATCTGTAATATAGTTTAGTTGTCTTATTAGGCTTTTAGCTTCATTTTCTTGGGTGAACTATTTTTTCTTAATTTTCAGAAAATCTAGTTCCTCCTCATTTATTTTAAAAAATAACTAATATGTAGGTATAGGTAAAAACCTAAGTTACCCAAGATCTCAAGTATATCCTAATTAGTCTTTGAAAGTATATAAAGGTACTGTTTTTTTAATTCTTGCAAATCATTACCTTGGGCAATACAGTACATAAAATTGCGTGGAACTTTGAGACCTGCCGCAAGACATGCTGCAAAAGATGCTGAGAAATTTATTGCCATACTATTCCCTTCATTACTTCCTGTAACATTAAAATAAAAATGTTTTCAGTAATAATTTTTAAACCGTATCTTTTTGAAAAAGTTAATATATAGGACAAGAAAATGAGATTAAACTGTTACTAAAAATTTACTTCTTACCTTATTGAAAACCCCTAGTATTAACACAAAATATCTATTTATATGGGTATTTTAATAAAAATAATGAGTCCCTCAATATTATTAGAAGGATTCAAAAATAGTGTGGTAATGTTTAAAATTTAATAGGTGCTTAATAAATTCAAAACAAAACAATCAAAACTAAGATCTCATATACAGAATGTTTTTAACATAATAATATTCAAAAAATTCTTTTTATTATTTTCATGTATTTCTAGATTTATTAAATATTAAGTATTTATTTAATTTATTCCTTGTAAAGATATTTAACTAGCTTTTAGATAAAAACTAATACAAACAATGACCTGTCATACCATGGTTTTATAATAAAAAAAAAGATTTAACTAAGATAATTAAGTTGGTAAAACTTTAATAAGGTATGAATTAAAAAAAATGTATAATAAATATATCAAAAATACTAAAATGAATTTTCTATTATAATTATTAATTTAGGAGTTATTGGGTGGTTATATTTAAAGAATAATGTTGTATAATGGCTCATAATAAAATTAAACAAGCTCCTCAATATTGTACATCACAAAAAATGTATTTAAAAATATTTCATACAGATATTTATAGGTAAAAATTTATAAATATTCATAACACTGTACACCAAAATATTAGGACTAAATTTTTTAACTTTCTATATAAAATTAAGCATATTTGTTGGTATTCACATATCAGATACATAAAAATCTAAGAAGTTATGTTTGATATACTGAAAATTTTATTATACCAACAATTTTTAATAAATATTAAAACAAAACACAAATAACATTTAGCTACACTAAAAAAATATCAATAAAGCTTATTTAATTTAAAGGAGTATATAAAATACAATTTATATATACACATTATAAATATTACATAACTAGAGCAAAAACAAAAATCACGTAGTTTAACAATAGCTAATTTTATAAAATAATTACCACATTATCATTAACTGTAATTTTAAATAGTCGATCTTAATATTAACTGTGTGTAAATAATTAAAATAGATGCAATTGAGAAAAATTCATAAAATAAGTTTAAACATTTTTGAAATAGTGAATATAATACAAAAATAGATGTTTGGCTATAAAATCCCTTTAATAACTGGACTTCATATATCAAGTAATAATGAGAAAGTACTTAATACATTTGAAAATAATTTTTCGCGTCTTATCACAGAGTTATAAAATACAATAATGCTATACAACAGTGTAAAAATAATTTAAATAAAAATATAATAAAGGTAGCAATATTAGGATTTTTTTAGTTTTTACACTTTTCATAAATAATATATGCTAACTATTATGCAAAATTTTCTTCACATGGAAAGGAAAAAAGAAAATTACAAATTCTATTGAAAAAAATTATGATAAATAACAAAATCAAACATTAGGTGTACTACAAGATCTTATCATTTTCCTACCAACTAATCGTTTTATTCTTTCTTTCCTAGTACGAAACAATTTAGAATTTTCATACCTTCTTATACTTGCAGTTCTAGGAGTTTGTGTTTCAACAGAATAACAAGGTGTTAAAAATTTTGAACTAAGTTTCCAAACCTCAATTTCATCTTGTTGTTGTTTAACAGCTGCCATACCTCTATCAAGTAATAGATTAACTACTGTAGAAGCAGTAGGACGATTAGTTGGATCTATGTCTACCATTTTCTTTAACATTTTTTCAAGTCCTGTGCTAAAAACAGGAGTTTGAGGAAGACAGAAGCCTCCATCTCTTAAACTATGCCACTCAGGTCCATTTTTAGGTAAATCTTTTTTAGTTGCTGCTTCATAAGCAGTAAGTGCTGTTGAAAATACATCAGCTTTTTGTAGTTGAGAATAATCATCTCTTAAAAGTTCTTTAGGTAAATATCGACAGTCTCCATCTTCAATAGTCCGTACGTCTTCAATACATATTGTATGTCCAAAATCTCCTATTTTATAAACAATATCTTTATCTACAGTTTCATCATCATCAAGATCTTCAACAAATAATAATGCACCATCAGTTCGACAAATTAATATATTTGCTGCTTTTATATCTAGATGAGCAAGTTTTTTTGAATGAATATGAGCTAAGCCTTTGCAAACATGACATAACAATCTTCGCAAAGCGCTATCACAAAATATATGATCCGATTCATGAATCATTCGTTCTAATGTACCACCATTGCAAAACTCAGTTTGAATATAAATATGGCCTCTTTCATGCCATGCAGTAAAATAAGATACTATATTAGGATGACGGCCAATGACTGAATGTGCATATACTTCTTTGCGAATAAAATACTCTTGACTTTTATAAATAGTCTTTTTTGTCTTTTTTATCGCATAAGAAATACCATCGAGTAAATTTGTACATTTGTATACTTCACCAAAAGCACCTGTGGCAATAAAATCATCCATTCTAAATTCTTCATTGAACCGTGATGTCTGTAAATCATATATACTAACATTGGTAACTTCACCTTCATTCATGAGATCCCTAATAGATGGATCAACTGCCGAGGAAGTTTTACTATCAGGTGTAGATAAGCTTCCACTTGAGTCATGGTTTTGATCATCACCACTATTGTAACTTACATTTGGTGTTTGAGATAATTTCTTACGTTGTTTATTTTTTAAAATTTCAATTCCAGTTGGAGTAAATGGATTGACTGATAAACGCGGTTTGCTGCACCGTGAGAACTCACCACTTGTATCAGATGGTGGTGATGGACCCCTGTGACGTACCTTGTATAAAATTCTAGGTTTTAAAAACGGCGTTGACGAATCCACTCCAATTTTTGGCGAGAAAGAATGACGGCCATCAGGAGAGGGTGGACAAGCTGTTATAACAGGAGCTGCTTTGTCAGCGTCAAAACTCAACCGGCGCATTTTTTGAACGAAAAACGATTCGTCGTCACAAACCATTTGGTCGTCGCTTCCATCCATACCTTACAAATGTCTCTTGCTATGTTTATAGCACTATTTGTATTGATTAAAAGAAATAATCAATTTTGTTAAAACCAATTTCACACATCAGTAAATAAACAAAAAAAAAACCCGACATAAAAAATAATTTTTCATAATATAGTAGATAAGTAAAGTAAGATCGTTACACACGTTACTGCTCTACTAATGTACAGTGCTATGCAACTGTTCACTGTTGTCAGTTAACGGGAGCGAATAAAACGGCGCGCTTTACAGTGTAGCCTGACTGATAATGTCTCGTTGACACTGAAAATGGGAATTTAAAAAAGCTTTCCATCCATATAAAATTTTGTTCTCAACAGAACAATTCTACAACATAGAATTATAATTAATTCGCTAAATTTTTAAAGTAAAAAAAAAAAAAAATAAAGAAAAAAAGAATACAATGCTATACTGTGTATAATCCAACTAACACCAATTTACCAATATTTTGTTGTGCGTCTGTCTGTACCACGGTCATAGACCGCCCTCATGACCCGAAAAGAACGATTAAACACACATTTTTGTAAAAAAAAATTTTAATTTTAATTTATTGTAGCTCAAACACATTTTGTACTAAAGTTACGTCACTTTACCGCCACCACAAATGCGTAATGAAACTTTTGAGAATAATAGGGAATACAAATTCAATTTTATATGATTTTTGATCAAATTTTTAATTATTTCATTTGGAATTCGAACTTATTAATAAGCTGGCGAGACACCGGTTCCTCGTCGTTGTTCCAATCGAGATGAACATTAAGGGAAGACGACAGTGCGTGTGCGACTGGCTGGTGGACGTTGTGTATGACAAACGCCGCCACGCTAGGGGAGTAGAGAGCAGGGGCGGTCGCGACGGCGGTGGTGATAAAAAAAAACCCGGTAACCGCGCGCGCGTAGAAAACCGGAATGAGCGGTGGCGGACGGTAAAGACGGACAAAAAAAAAATACCAGTGCGAGACGACGAGATGATCATACTAGAAGGAGCACCGCCAAACAACCCGGCAGCGTTGCCAAGTGTATACCTACGTCCCAGACGAACCTGTATCTGTGTGTGTAGGAGAATATTGCTTAAAAAAGTGCGTCCTACACTTTACTCTCTCACTACCACCGTGCACAACACGGTTCTCAGTATGGTAAAAGAGAGAGAGAATAAGAGCTATCTGACAATCAATATTTTAGCAACCCAAACGTTGGTTGAAGGGAATGGAGAGGAAGTAAAAAAAGGGGTCCAAAAATTATAATTTTTTTATTATATAACCGACGTTCAAGCGAGCTTTTTTTAATACATTTTTATCGTTTTTTCCCGGGCACAACTGTTTTAGAAGGACCGCCTACAGCCTCAGAAAAATAATATTATAAACTTTTTTTGTCAAGGACTGGATACTCATTTATTTGTGTGTACTCTTTACTACATCACCTCAAATTTTCTCACATTAAACTACTAGTTAGAAATTATACAATTTATCGTATTCATGTACGATTTGAATTTATTTCAAAAACATTTTCTTTTGAAAATAATTAAATGTTAAAAGGTTTTTAAAATCACAAGTTTTTTTATTTAAATTCCCTAGGTATTTCTTAATTGTAGACTCCTTTCTAACTATAATTCATGGTTTAGTAGAAAACATGTATAGAAGTATTATTTTAACATAAAATTGGATACACAATTTAAATATTTTACAATTTTGCAACCGGTTTACTAGTGTTGTCTGTTGGAAATTTTTATTTTATAAATTTATTGTAACAAAAATACAATAAAAACAATTGAAAAATGTATTATTTTATGTCTACATTTCACACTATAATAACTAATTATGAATATCAACATACAGTGGCGTCGAACCAGTGGCAGAGGCGCAGTTGTCACCAGTTAAAATTGGTTAGAGTAAAAGTACCATTTTGCTACCCCCCCACCATTGAGTCAAACAAAAAAAAATATTAAAAAATAAATATATTTTTGTTAAAGATTGATATTAATATTCATATTAATTGATTTAATATTTTGATTTAAAAAACTCGTTTATTATCAATTTCAAATTTTATGATTATCCAATAGTATAATGTTTATTGTTATTCTATTATCAATTGTGAACTAGCATATTTTATTGACTACAGTATAACTGCAACCAAGTTTTTACCAAAGACTAAATTTGTTTTTTATCCTGTATTTCATTTAATACTTCTAAATTTTAATGTAGCAAGAGTTATTTTGTTTAAAAATTTTGATTTTGAATTATCCATAAATTTAACTAAATAAATTAAAATTTGTTTATTATTTTAGTTCTAATAAATTAGAACTAAATAGTTTTCAGAGTTAATGATAAGGTAATTTTTTATTTATTATGATAATAAAAAAAAATTTATTTAATACTTTAAATTATATTTGTCTATAATATAATTCTATCAATAATTATAAATAATATAACAAATAGTAATATGCATTATCAAAAGTTAAATTTATAAACTACCGCATTTTTTTTATATGGTCACTACAATACAATGAAAAATTATTTAAACGTTTTTTTGGCTTTATATTAATAAAGGGACCTATTTTTAGCCAGTACATTTTTGTCTCCAGAGAGAGTGCAATGAAAAAAAATACCGACTCTCAATACCCCCCTATGTGCACCAGTTCGAAGTAAATCTAAAATTTCTTGATTTTGATGAAATATTTCAATATTAACCAGAAATCATTTTGTATTAGTGTGGCTTTCTATTATTATTAAAATGAAATTCACAAAATTAATTTACTTAAGTAACATTGATAAATAAAAATATAAAAATATAGGTGATAGAGACGTTTTGTGGAAACTTATTAATAGGTCTAATTTTATTTCTAAACGCATTACTGATAACATTTGTAGATATTATTCATTGAGACATAGAATTAACATTTTTTTTTCTGTAACAAATAACCAAGAAAAAAATGTGTTTATAAATAGAACATAAAAGTTTTGTGTTTTCTTAGAATAAAATCCTAGCTATGCCACTATTTATCGCCATGAAACAAAATGTAAGGATTATCTTTAAGGATTTATTTGTACCTGTTAGTAAAAACATTTTTTTCTCCTAGGAGCAACTAAAAAAGGCAATTAACCCCTAAAAATTTTAAATGCAACTTTTAAATTTTTTAGGGGTTAACTGCCATTTTTAATTGCTTCTAGGAGAAGAATAGTAAATATTGAAGAACACTGAACTTTTTTGTTAAATTTTTTTATTTCGATATTTATTAAACTATTTATTTAATTTAACATTGTCAATGCTATAAAATAAATAAAAATACAATAACTTTTTTTTATTCAGACAAAATTAATGATTATCGTTTAACTATTAATCGAAGTGTATTACTTAACATTTGAACTTAAATGATAACTAAATACTTGTTTTATCGTTTTAAGTTATTGGTTAAGTTTAAACATGCAAATAAAATATGTCGGTTATCTAGATATAATGAATATTTATCAGGGCTACAAAAACATATTTAACGTTTAATCGATTACTAATGATTTTTATTTTTTACTTACTTATTATATTAGGTAATATACTCAATCACTCATATTATATAAATATTAAGTTTTTAATCATTTTTAATATAAATGGGCCATTTTTCATACTTACTTAAATTTTTTTTTAATTCAAGCTAACTAAAAACCATTTAATGTTGAGCAACACTCGATACCGACCTTGAAACATGTGTAGACGATAGTGCCATATACATTAGTATATTGTCTGGAAAATGGAGACTGTAAAGGTGTTAGGAGTTTAAATTATTAATGTATTACACGGAGTGTTTCTTTTTATACTAGCCACTAAATTTCTTTTAAATAATATATATTTTTTTGGTTTTTCTTAGTTATACATGTTTTTTCATTTATTTGTTTTAAAATAATTATTAGGTCCATCCCTTATATCTTATAGAGATGTCAACTTAATTTTTTATAAATGCAATATACATATTTAACTAGCTTTTAAAATAAAATTTAATCTGATTAAGAAAATGAATGGTCAATAACAACTTTTGGACCAATATTTTAGAAGTTATTAACATTTCAAAATATAAACTAAAGTAAAGCGTGGATGCTGCTATTTTTATCATTAATCATTTATCAGTTACACTACTCTTGCCACCTAAGTACAAAAATCGGAATATTTTTCGAAGTACTGGTTCATATGTTGTTATCGACCAGTCCTTTTTTTAATTAGACCATTTTATAATTTATAAGCTAGTTTAATATATATGTTGCTATTAAAAAAAAAAGTTGTCTCCCCTATAAGATAAAAGGAAAGGATCTAAAAATCATTTTGTAACCGGTTAATGGAAATACATATATATATTTAACAAATACAAAAAAAAAAAATTTCATAAAACTTATTATTTTCAGAGAAATTGAGTGGCTAGCGTTAAAAGAATCATCTTTATAATTTTTCATATCAAAATTAAAATCAAAAGTCTTATTAAATCTGCTTTTCGGAAGCGTAAATTTGAAAGAAGTCAAGGTGGAATTTTGTGTTTTTTTCTGAGGTTTCTCAGTTTACATTTTGCTAAGAATTGTCAAATTATTAATTAGCATAACCAATTTCCTGGCTAACATATTGGAGTAGATAACTAATACCGTTAATAAATATTTTTTCATTATATAACCTTCTCTCTTTTCTGTCTTATTTTATAATGTTAATTTTTAAATAATGTAAAACCACTTAAAATTATATTAATTTGAGTTTAAATAGAACTTTATTTGAATTTTTTCAAAACTGTTTTATTATTATTATTATTATTATTTTTTAATTGCAAATGAATTATAATATATATATTAAAAATGATAAATTTAACAGTATTTTAGGCATATTAAATTTTATTACATAAAATTACTCGAAACAAATGATGAAGACTGCCCACAATATTATATAGTCTTACGCTACTAGTTCATGATGTCCATGATATGAATTAACGTAACACTCAATATTCATGTATAATTTATATATTATTTTGGTTTATTTTACCTATTGACATGTTTGTTATTTAGATACTGTAGAAATTATCTGCTCCAAGTTTCAACAAATTGAATCTATTAAATTTTGGTTATTACCGACAGCACCTGTCATACTTGAAATCAGTTGAGTATCATTGTCGAAAATTGTATCTTTACTATATTTAATAGTAGTTGTGATAGAAAACCTCGTGTTAGATATAAGAGAAACTTTTAAAAGCCAAAATGAAAAATATAACTATGAAGGTTGTAAAATAATGATTGAACCGGTGCTGAAAGTTTTAAAGATAACTTATATCTAATATCATTATACTGTTTTTTAAGGATTAGTATTATTTGTATTAGCTAAAAAGAAAAAAATCATTCGGCAAAAAATTTAAATGATATATGAGATATATAGTAGACGCAGAATACCGACAAATTAATAGTTAAATTCCAATTAAAGTTATGAAAAACAAGAGTCAAAATGATTCCTAAATAATTAGAAACTGATGGAATTTTTTTAATTAAATCTTTCATAGCTATAAAATAAATAAGTTTGTGTCAATTCTAGTATACCCATATCTAAATTGTTTAATTAATTTGGAAAACATGAAAATTAATTGAGCCTTTAGAGTAAAGGTCAAGTGGTAATTGAATATAAAAATTTATGTGTATAGATTGAGTCATATAAATTAAACTAAAATAAGTTCTAATTGCTGAAAACAAAGCAGACGAGGTTTATTAATCTATATATCAATAGTTACTGTTCACTACTTTGAATATGTATTACTATTTTTGAGAATTTTTGTAGCGATATCTAAAAAGCGTTTTTTTATTATACAGAATATAAAAATTAAGAAATATTTTAATTAAATTTTTTAATTTTAATTATTAAAACAATATTTTACGAAAAAGGTACATAATTCTGAACAAATAATCCCTTTTTAAGCTGTCGAACAACAGCTATTGAATAATGTTGAATTTCAATTTTTATGGTTAGTAACTCATTTTGATAAATTGTGGATTATGGCCTATAGATAATAAATAGAAACAATGGTAACAATTAATAATGAGATCAACCGCGATTAAATAAAATACATGGCTTTATATTAATTACTTATTTTATACTGAAAAATAATGCGCAATATCTAGTAGTAGAAAGGATTAAACATCGAATATTATTAAAAGTGGTTTTACGTACATTCATCACTAATAGAAGCTGAATTATCTGTACAGTAAACATTTTGATTAGAAAGAGATGACATCACTTATTGATAACGTGTAGCGTAAATATCGATAGTTTGGAATGTTTATTATTGAAACGGAATAGAAATTATTCAACTTTTCAAAAATTTTACTTAATGTATTCAAAATAAAATTTCTTTATTAAAACTTTAAAACAAAAATTTTATTGAAATTAGAGGTAAAATAATTTATAAAATCGATTTTAATATAGATGTTATAGTATCGATTAAAAATAAAATTAATTATTATCTCTCTCGCACGCTTTCCCTTTTGACCCACGTCCTGATTTAGTTGAATCATGTTGTAGTTATCTCATTCAATACATTCAGTTACTACAGGTGCGAATACAATTATTTTGAGTGTAATAATCGCTTTAACAATATGAACTGATTTTATTCAATCTATAAAAGCGCGCACGGCGTGTGCAAAAAACAATATGTTATTCGAAAAATTGAGGTGAGTTTAATGGTTCTCTAATTATACGCTGTTTGAGATGTAGTTGTTTATATATATATATATAGAGCGTTTTTCAAGTGAGGTAACATCTTATGGGCTGTTGATATAAATAATATAATTGAGAATAATTTCTTCTTTATGTATGACAAATTATTTAATTGTCTCATATTTATTAAATTAGTGTATGTATTGCTTTGAACTATTTATTATGCGAATAGTGAAATAAGTATCATCTATAAAAAGATAATACAGTAATTAATGTCCCATTCTTGTTAATAATGTTATGAAACATTAGAAATACATTATTATTATTTTTTGTTGTCGAAATTCTACAGAAATCAACTATTCTTTATCAATTTTTTTTTGAAAATTGTAAATTGTATATCTAATATTATATTAAATTAATTACAAATTTATTTGTATTTATTTCATGAAATGTAAGTTGTAAAAGTATATAACAATATTGAAAAAAATTATATAGCAGTTCAAAGAAATATATATTATTTTTTAGTTGGTTTAATTTAATTTGTCATATATATATATATTTTTGCTGCAGGACCAGATGTAGTCTTATCAGAATTTTACCAAGAGACCCAACGTAGGAAACTCTTGGTAAAATGACCTTTTTTTAAACTTGTATTCTTTATGCATATTTATATTGCAATAGTAAGCAAATATTTTTGTGTAGAAAAAAAATATATATAGAGTGATTCCCTTATTATGAACCACTTAATCAAAAAATAAAAATAATATTAATATTTAAAATTTTAAATTACATTGAATATATTAAATAAAAACTAAAAATACAGTATATGTTTAGTGTTGATAATGGAATATTGTTCCCAAAATATGTATTTGGGTTTTTAGTAATTTTTTGAGTTAAATATTTTTAATATTTTTTAGTTTTAAATTATTTTTTTTTATTCACGAGTGTTTAATTTTTATTATATAATATTAATACATTTTTTATTGGTTTCTTATAGTTCAATGTTTTTCTCAATTTATCAATCATGAAGTATTTTTTATGTTCATCCCCATCTTATAAGGGTGTCAACTTTAATTTCTCAAATGGCAACACATATAATAAACTAGCTTATTTATCAGATAATGATTTAATTAAGAAAATGACTGGTCAATAACAACTTTTGGACCTGTATTTAGAAAAGTTATTAACAATTAAAATTAATAAGTAATTTAAATGTATTTAAGTTAATACTTAATATTTATTTACTAGATAATGATTTAATTAAGAAAATTGCTTATAAGTTTAATCATAACTAAAGAAAATGTCTTCAATTTTAATATATATCTGAACACCTTGGTTTTTAAGTAGAAATTGCTTTACATATTTTCTCATGGTTGTCTAATCTCAAATGAGCTACTAAAATACTGAACTCATAACAATGTTCAATTTCAATACATTTTACGTTTGTATTAATTTTTTTCAATGAGGTTTTTAATTAAAGAAAGTTAAATATTTTTAAAAAGTTATAAAAGCTTTTGTTTATTTAGAATCTTTCATTGTATACAATTATAATAGTTAATCAAACTTTCATCTGTATGCTTTTAGTTTTTAGTTTGTTGAGATTTTTTTTAATTTAAGAATCTTCTAAATTAATAAAATAACAATAGACTATATAAGTAGAATTTTTTTTTAAATTTTAACTATAATTTAATGGTTTAATGAAAACTTTTGTTAATTACAGTAGACTCTTAATATTTTGAATTTCAAGGAGAACAGGAAAAAGTTCAAGATAATGAAACTATTAAATTTTATGATATTATAAAAATTGTATAACATAAGTTCTGTAAGATTTTAGTATAATTGGAGATAGAGAAAAATTTGATATGTAGTGTTTTTATGAGAATAATGTACTGTATTTCTATAAATAATTAAATACTGGAAAAATTCAATTGATCAGCTATGTATTACAATAAAAAGTCATTTTGGAGATATGTTGATCTTGTAAAATACCTTAGCACCAGAGATCAGATTAGGCTAGTCAAGTGTATTCCTAATTAAGAATATTTTAAAAGTTAGATAGAATCAGATCAGATCAAGCCTTAATGTGGAACTTAATAATTCATGTACGGTTAGTTTTGGATGTGATATAAATAAAAAGATTGTAATACAAATAAAAGTATAAAAAAAAAACATGTTTCTTTGCTTTATCTGTTTTGGAATATCACACTTAAAATTATTTAATTGATTAAAACTTTCTGAAATTTGTAAAAATTAAGTGTAGGATACAAAAAAAAATTCTGCTTTATTAAGTTAATAATTTGTTATTCTACTCTTATGTTTTCCATTAATAATTCTATTCTAATTTTTTAAAATTATTTTATTTTAGCGCCATCATGGCAAACTTCTACGAAGATGGTTTCTCCATCAACAATTCATTACAAGAAATCTACTTTGAAATAAATATAAATCTATTAAATTGCTTATCAGAATCGCCACAATATGGCAGTAGTATCACAAGTAGCCAAACCAAGTTGCTTGTTGCTCAAGAGCAACGAAGCAACCAGTCCATTCTCTTCTAAAGAAATATGTAAACTAAATGATACTGAATGGGATAAATTGACAAGGAGTGATATGGCTGGAAAACTGCTGGAATATTTGGATAAATTATATGATACAAATAATGGTATGTTTATTTTAAAAGAAAAAAGTTATACAATTTTGTTATATAATTTATGTTTTCAAATGTAAGGTTAATGTTAGGAAACATTTGATTAAAACTTATAATTATTATGGAAGTATTAAAGACAAAGTGTTTTATTTTAATATATTATAATAATCAAACAGTTTTTTTTTTCATTCGAACATTAAATTAAAAGTTAAATTCTAATTACTTTCTATGAAATTTCATAACTTTGACTAGTGACAACTTATGATCATAATCATAAAATTTTATTCAATTTCATGTTAGCTATAAGTATATATTATATTAAATTAATATTTCTGTTTAATGTCAATTAAAAGATATTGCTTATTCCAGATTGGACAGGAAAACATAGATAGCTATTTTTGCTCTGTTTTATTTTGACTGTTTTATCAAGAGTTTCTGAAAGAACTACTTTTTAACTAATTTTAAAAGTAACTGATTTTTTTCTTTCGAGAATTAAAACATTAATTTAAATGATGAAAGTTAGAATAATTTTTTTATTAAAACTAAGATAAAATTAACACATATTGGTATTAAAAAAGTATCTATTTAGATTATTATTTGTTCTTAAACATTATTGATACTAACTTTCACATGTTTTTAATTATTAAAAAAATAGACTATCAAGTGAATAAAATATCAGTGGCTTAGAGGTAAGGCTTACAATAAAATAATTAAAAAATCATCTAGTGCATTCCTTTTACTAATGCATCATATATAATCACCCTTTTTAATTATAACTATGTTAAGTTAATTAATTGTTTATTTTTTTTACCAATTAATTAAGTCTCTAATGCCTGTAATTTCGTTTTACTTAAATGAATTTTAATTTATTTTGCATAGTTTCTTATCAAAGAAGTTTGTTGGGTTTTTCTCAGTTGTACAATTAGTTATTATAACAATGTGTAATGAGACTTAAAATATTAATCTGAATTTTTAAGGTCATTTAGGCCTTTAGTTATCACAATTTTAATATTTGTTAATTTTTTCCCATCTGCTGTTACGTGCTCATTTACATAACAGTTTTGTTTATTTATTTGGTATTTTTAATAGTAGAAAAAATCAAATGATACTCTAATGTTACTTATTATTACTCGCCAATATTTGTGTTATTTAATTAACTACTAATTATTAAGACCCTTAGCAAACACTGTATTGTCAGAAATATTAAACAAAAGTAGTTCACCTTGCCCCTTGTTTATTTGTCTGTACGATTTAGATATATCATGTTATCTTAGTTTTTAAATAATGTATTAATTATTGACATAACAAATACTGTGTTAGTTTAATGTGTTGTAAACGCGCAATAGATACATTATTAAATTGCACGATGAAAAATTAAAGTGGTGCGAAAATACTATGAGAAGAGATAGGAAGAAGTAGGGATATATTTTTATGCAAAGAAAATTAAGGTGGCGATAGGCGACGTTCGCTGGCAGCGTGTTGGCGCCGACAGCATCAGTTTTCGTTTATCACGCGGTTCCGTCGGCACGCTAACTAGTTGTTAGTTTGAAAGTGAACTTTACGGTTATATAATAGATGTGTTTTCGTTCACATGATAGCTCGCGATTCATCACATAGTTGTGTGATTATGAAGTTCAATTATCATTACACCTGGAGCAGGCAAATTATTTTCAACTCGCAAAAATTGGTGAAAAGAAGGTGAACACAGCCAACATACATCTTTGACGAATTCTTTCCCCCTTGTAGTTCCATAATTTGTAATAGAAAATTTAAAAAAAGCTTATAACCAAAAATCAGGCCCATCGATATTCATATATTTTTTCATTTTACTCATCATTCATACTCTTAGTATTATACGAGAAAATAATTTGTTTTCACTCGCCTAATTTAATTTTTGTTTTCTAATATTAATTTAATATATATATATATATATTTTTTTTTTTTGAGATCGACATAATTGTAGATATTCGTGTTATAACTTTTATAAATTGTAGTCAATATAGAAGTTTATAATATTTGGTTTCGTGTCATAATTAATAGGAGTATAATCTATAATTTTCCTTATTGATTGCTCATGACAGCCGGAATGATTTCATCTCAATGGTGTTACAATGGTATGTGAACAACTTTTGATGTAAATAGGAAATTTTAATTACAATTAAATTAATGTAATTTAGTGTTACGGTTGCCTAATAGAAAATCACATTTTCCTTTAATTTATAAGTATTTAGATAACACTTTTTTATACCACATAATAGCCTTGGGAGCTACAATTGTGTGTATTAAATATATATTAATTAAACATTGAGTAAGTGTGTATGAGTTTAATGGTGGCAACACTATGTATTATTAGATACCTTATTCAAATAACATAATCGTTGAACTTTTTATGACTTTCGATGAATATGAAAAACAGCTTATGAAATAAGTAGATGACAATTATTAAATTTCTTTCGTTAAATTTTTACGATTATTAAACATATGATATTTCCTTTGTAAAAAATTATTTTTGAACGATAGACAATTATAAAAATTTGTCCCTCGTAAAAATATTTTTTTTTGACATGAGTCTATTTGATTACTGTAGTTGTTAAAAATATGTATTTGACAATAATAAACATTCTACACTGTGTATTTCACTTTTCAACGTAAAAATGCTAATCACTCGAGTTACAAATTCAAATCTTGAACAAATAATATTCAAAACCGGTTATCATTTTGTTGATTTGTATTTTTTGATGTTTATTTCTAATAATTTTTTATATGCTGCGTAAATACTTCTCTAACTTTAAAAAAATTTATATTAAAGAACATTTCAAAGTTTATAACAAAAAAATCAGAAGATTAGGAGATCACAGTGGAGTTTGATCACTTACAAACTGTTTAATTGATCGAATCACTTATATATAACAGCATAATATTAACAATATTTCTCATTATACAAGCATAAAATATATTGATACCGATAGTATTTTTTTTTAGTTCAGAAAAGTCTGTTGAGTTAGTCACATTTATTATAATTTAAACTAACATACTGAGACCTAATCCTTCGAAAACTGAAAGTCACAAGGTATCTTTTGATTATTTATTTGAATAAATAAACTGTATAGAAGTTGGCCCTGAAACGAAATGACGTAAGGTCGCTTCAATGATAACAGCATCACAATATAGGATTTCTCTTAAATTCATTATGAATAATTTATAATTAAATTTTCAAATATAAATACTTTAATTATTTTTGTTTGTTTTTAGATGTTAAATTAAATTATAATTTTAGAATTTAGAAAGAAGTATTATAGTTTTAAAATATACATATACATCTTATGATAAAAGAATATTAAAATTTATTACTTTCTTTAATTTTAATGGGATATTGATATAATATCATTTATATTAATATATTTACTTTGATTACTGATATACAAGTATTATATGAAAAGTTTTTAAAATATCTAACAAAAAATATTTAAATATTTTACTTTATGTACCTACATAATTAGTTTATATTAAAAATCTAGGTCATAACAATAACTAATTGTTTTTATAAAAATACATATACATAAAAACTTTAATTACTTAACTAATATTTTGTTGTGAGTATGTGTCACCCATTCTGTCTAACCACGATGTTATTGAACTCTTTTAATTGATTTTTGGTTATATTTTTACATATAACTTGGTATTTCGTTCAATTATCTTGAATAATTCATTTTTTTTATAATTTAAACTGAGATATCCTAACAGTTATTTATTTATTTTATTGATATGCAATTATATGAATTTTAATAATATATACATATAATAAATGTATTTCTAATAAATTTTTTTGATGTAATAAGTTATCGTAGATTTTTTTAGAAATACTTAGAGAGCATTATAAATAATAATACACAGACGTTTAAATAGCTTAGATAGATATAAATATGGTATTTGTTTATCAAATTTTGTTTGTTTATACATCTTTTTGAAAGAATATTTTTTCCTACAAAGACCTATCAATTAATCTTTAATTGATTTGGTTTTTTGGTTTCATTTTGATTATAATAAATATAGACCGAAAGTGTTAATAAAATTCAGTTACTAGGCATAAATACTGCTTATAGGTTTTATGCCTCTAATTTCTCGTTCTAATTAATGTTTTCGCAATGTTTGAAGACGATAATTAGGAATGAGATAAACAACTTAATACGCTGAACTATTAGATAAATTAATTAACCCAAAAGTGTTCTATTTACTACATTAGTATATAGTTCACATATAGGTAAAATGGGAGCGTAGTGTGGCGCCATTAGACATTTCAAATGCTGTCAAGTAATGAAGTAAAGCTTTACCTGCTGCTGTTAATTGTCGATGGGTTACCACATGTCAATTTCAACGGCTGCAAACACTATGTCACTAGTACAGAAAGCAAACGGGAAACTATTGTACATAGTAATTTCTTATGATACACCAGTTTAATCTTCAAAATTGGCTGGTGTAAAACAATCTAATGGTTAAAAAAAAAATTCGATAAAGTAGTTTTTATTTTTTTGTTTATTTGCTAACAATAACTTCTTTGTTTTTTTTTATATACCTTATATTTTTATATTACCTTTCTATTAAATAACAAATTATTATAAACGTAGTATAGTAATATAGCCGTGACTTCTTCAAACTATATATATTAATGTGATAACCCCATTTCGAAAAAAACCTCAATAATCTTAACCCCTGAGCTCCTACTAAAATAATTAAAACAATTACATTATTATCAATTTTGTTATTTGGCTCTTTCTTTGTTTGTTCCAAGGAAACTGTCGCATTGTAGATATTTTTTTATAATAATAATTGTTAAGAGATAAGTGTTCGTATTCTTCTCAACAGTCTATAAGCTTGCTTATTTAGGTCACTTTTATAGTTCGCGGAAGGTCAATTTTTATCATTAATAATGGAATAAGAATATTTGTTATCATGATGATTTATATACTATTGAGATTTTATATATAATATATTACCAAACTTGTTTTAAATATAGTTTTTGATATAAGTATAGATGAGTTGTCTTTTTTAAAGTGTAGGAACCACATCTAAAACTTGGGTTTAAAGGTTATCTATTTCTAAGTTTCAAAATACAGTGTATTTTGGCGACCGTTTTTTATTGTTTTAGTTCCTTTGTGTATTGAATTGATTTAACATAAACTATATAACATTGACTTTCTAAGTTAATATAGTGGTGTTGATAACAGGATATATACACTTAACTGAGGCCAGACTTGCAGTCTCAGGTAGGGTATTGGTAGTTCATAAACCAGTTCCCCTCTTGAACAACATGTTTAGAAATTTACTATAGGAGGGATTCGTATAACTTTTAGAAATTTACAATCTGAAAGTTATAGGAGCTTCATCCATTATTTTTCCCAACTACCATAATTTTATATCAAGTCCAGTTCTCGTGAAACCCTACTTGATTACTACGCCTATTTTCTTTTTGGTATATTAACAAATTTTCATGTGTCTATTCGGATAGATTAATTACTAACTAATATAATAAGATGAAAATTTTGGGCCCAAGGTAGCTGTAATACAGCACTGTACTGAATAATATCCTCTATAGTCGTTATAATTATATCATTATAGACTATAATTACTATAGTCATTTAAATATTTTTGCTACTAATTTATGGATGTGTATTTTATCAAATAAATGATTGTATATGTAATTAGATATGACTACTACCACAATTCTGTTGTGTTTATTTATTAAAGTTTATAATAATAGTTTTTTGTATCAGAAATAACTAATTATTAATTTTAATAATAACTTTTATAGGACCTGAATCTATAACAGATTGGTTGAATGAAGAAAAATTTATTGATATGCCTATGTTTGATGATATTATGACAAATACTATACCAAATCACCTCGAAATGAAATCAGTCGAGTATGATAAATTTGTACCATCAAACAAAGATTTACCATATCAACCTTATAACTCTCAGCAGTTCACCCCAATATATTGTCCTCAAACTAATATGCAAACCAAATTCAATTATATACCTCCACCTTCCCTGACTCCTCCAACATCATTAACTCCACCTGAAAGCCCTAAAGATACTGATGTTCTTATGTCAATGTTAGATGATATGCAACCTGAAGAACTTACTCAATTAGTAGTTGATGATGATACTCTATCTGATTTCATGTCGTCTTCTGATACTAGCAGTTATACTGATTCTTACAGTGAATTTGTACCTACTAAAAGAATTAGACCATCTTCAGTTTCAACACCAACTGAAGAAAAACGCCAACGTAAAAAAGAGCAAAATAAGAATGCGGCTACTAGGTACAGAATGAAAAAAAAAGCAGAGATAAAAGAATCGGTTATGGAAGAAAAAGAGCTAGTTCAAAAAAATGATAACTTGAAAGAAGAAGCAAAAGAACTAGCTAGAGAAATAAAATATTTGAAATCATTGTTGCGGGATGTCTACAAAGCTAAAGGTCTTTTAGATTAAATTCAAACTTTTATAACTTTCAAGATCTGATCAAAATTTTTCACTGACTTTTACAATAGTTAAAAGTTGTTAAATAAATTCACATAATTTTCTTTTTTTAATGGAGCTTTAATTATAATTAAAACCTCTAAATCATTTATATGATGTGGATAAGCTATATAATCAGTGTTCAGCCATTATCTTTTTGTAAATATATCCTTATTTTATTTTAAAATAAAAACTATCATATTATGAATAAAAGTTTTTAAATTAACAATTATTTGATTAATAATAATTAAGTATAAAATTAAGTTTTTTTTTTGTTTTTTTTATTATAGTTTTATTATTGATTAAACTAAACATTAGTAACAATTTACATATGTGGTATATATTTATACGGATTTAATTAATTTTATTTACCACTTCATATTATTCATTTTTATTAAATATATTTCAAATTTAAATGAAAACATAAAGTTGATATTTTTTATTGTACATTTATATTTTTAAAAACTATTAATGTACATTCAAATCCTTTATTAATTACGAAACATTGAAAAATAAATATATAAATTTAAGTAATGGACTATTTTTTTCTTTTAACATCATAATTTACTTTATTTTGGTAATTGTTATTAAATTAAGTATTTTCATCTAATATTTAGTTGTATTAATTTTTAGTATTTTCAATTGTATTTTAATAGAGTTTTGTTTTTAAAATATTCTCACTTAAAATAAAATGAAGGTATTCAGAAATGTTTATCGTTTTTCAATTTTATTTAAAATCTGTAGTTTCAGAGAAATATTGTATTGTATTTAAAATAATGTAAAATGTGTTTGGTTTATTTTCATATTTATTACGAATGTAGTGTAATATTTTATTAAATACTCCTTGTATTTGACACGAAACTTAAATATACTTTTAAATTAAAAATTTTAAAATGTGTAGTTCTTTCTTTTCTTATTTGTGATTGATTTTCATAAAAGCCTTAACAATTATTTCAATCGATTAATATCAGCAACACACAAACATAATATTCAATGTGGAAATTTATGATATTAATTACATAAGTAATCAAAGGTGTTATGTTGTTCTAAAAATACTTCAGACCATGTTATTACATAGTTTTTACAATTGTAATGTTTTTGTACATTATTTTTCGCATTATTTAAAACTCGGTTATAATATTCTTTCTTTATGTATTTTAAGTTGCTATATATGAAAGCTTTGCATTACATATCCTGAATATTTAAATCAATAACACACTCAAGTTAGATATTTATTGAGTATACGCTATAGTTTAAAAAATATTAAATTTTGTATATTTTAAACTAACACATAAATATAACTGTGAAATGGAGGGAAACCCTTAGCTATGGATAATAATTTTAATATCCTAAGAGTAGGCTATTATGAAGTTCATGTTACAAAAATGTAATTTTAATAAAAGTTTAAGTTTTATTTAAAATTAAAATTATATTAAAAATAATTCAAAAAGCCATAAAAAAATTATCAAAAAATCGCGGATACGTATTTCGGGAATACTGTTACCATTATCAACGTTAAACACATACTTTTTGCTTCTTTTTGTTGAGGTCAGACTCATAGTAATGTGCGTGCTCGGTATAGAAATCCCATTTTAATATGTTTAAACTGCCGTATTCAGGCAGTTTAAAAATATTACCGTACGTTATTGATAATTCAATACTTATTTATTGATTAAAATATAATATCTAGTAATTAATTCATGCAATTATAAAAATAAATTATTGTATTTTTATGTCTATGTAATTACTCAGCTTCATTGTTGCATGATACTTATTAAAATCATTTCTAGCTAGGCCTTAAAATCTTAATGTCCTTAGACAATTGTCAAATAAGGGCCTAGTTTTGGTATTTTTATTAAATGTAAAAATATTAGTTGTTGATTTGATGACGCATAGAGAAAATTTGTTAAATTATTGGTTCTCAAGCAGCCGCCTTGTTTTTCAAAACTAAAATACGACCTTGGTTTCAGTACACATCTAAAAAGCTCTCCAAATGTAATTTTTTTTGTACTTTTTTCAGAATGAAGTGTCAATGATTTCGCTATTTGTTGACGATTAATTAATTGTCATTATTATGTAATAATTTTTCTTTTAAACTATTAGATTTAGTTTAATAAATAAAAAATATTTTATTGTATTTAATATTAAGTGCTCCACGGTTCTCTAAAGATTAGGGTTTATTAAGAAAAAATATAATAGACACGAACATTATAGGTCGTAAATCGATAAGCGCTATTCTGACTACGTGCGTTGACACAGTAAACCAGTAGATCTTATCGCTACATAAAATAATAATGTGACCGTGTTGGAAAAACTACTGAATTTCTTCATCAAATATCATAAATTTTAAAGTAGCGTATTTAGTTTAAAATTCCTAGTTTTTTATTTATTTTTTTTTATGACTAACAAAAATATATAAAAATAATATTGGGTTGCTATTTGAAAATTTGAAGTTGATACACGTTCTAAGCATGGTTCTAAGGGATGATGGTCGAAATTTTAATTTTCTCATGAAACACCTCATCAAAGATCCATAATGATTAAAAAAATGGATTTCTTTAAAACACTTATATTTTTAAAGATATTATGTGAGACATAGCCAATCACTCTGTATACTCTGTCTTACTCCTACTTATTCTTAAACCCTTTTCTTCGAGAGCTGATCTCCACACTTCTAGCCTTTGTTTAATTTTCTGCTATTAACACTATATCGTCAGAAAACAACATTTACCACGGCACCTCTCCTTGTATTTCTCTAGTAATTCCATCCATCACTATAGAAAATAAGTAAGGGCTTAATGCAGAACTTTGGTGCGCTCCTACTTTTACCCTAAAATTTTCTGTTACTCCTCCTACACTTTTTACCCAGGTACAAGTGCCATCATACATATCTTCAATTATATTAATGTACCTTTTCGGGACTCCTTTTCTCATTAATGCCCAAATTTAAAACCTCTCTCGGTACTCTCATAGGCTTTCTCCAAATCTATAAATACCATACACAGCTTTTACTTCTTCTCCTTAAACTTTTCTGTTAGTTGCCTCACACAAAATAATGGCTCCATTGTTGACTTACATTGGTAACGTTATAAAAATATTATTTTGAAAATAATGCTGTCTGGGGTACTCGACTTTTTTAACAAAAAAATACTTACTAATATAACGTAGCTTAGAATATATAAATCATTTATATCCTAAAGAATCCTAAAAGCTCAAAACGTGCCTATGAACTACTAAAAGTATATTTGCGGTCTGTTTTAAATTGGAACTGTCAAGAAAAATGTTGAAAATTATATTTTTTTAACTTGTACGATTTTGTTTTTGCAAAATAACATTTTTTTTTTTGTGCTTTACAACTACTCAGTGGGAAAGTTGGCCAATTAATACTTTTGTAAACCCAAGGTTTTATTTTCTAAAAAGTCAATATAAGGAAATAATTACTTAAAAAAAAGTTATAACAATTTATAAAGAGATAGAAAAGATATATAAACTTAGTATATATGTATGTATATACATTTATAACATTAAAGAATATCAATAAAAACTTAATAGAACATTTGTTAAAGTGTCAGGTAACCATAAATACATGAACAACATATTTATAAATTATAAATTGTTTTATTTTATACACTTTGTAATATGTTAAAATGGTATAAATGTAATTTAGTTAAATAATGCATTTAGTAGTAAATTTCACTAAACTTAGTGATTTAAACTTTAAAAATAAATCGAATTGAAACAAGATAATTGTAATTTAGTTTCTAGGCCTATTTGGATCTGAGGAATTTCTTAAAAATAGGTTTTTTTACTAGCAAGATTGGGTTGGGAGACATTAAAATGGTAGAAAGTTCATTAATAGTATCATTGGAGTATTAATAATAATAATTAAAATATTGCATTATTATTGTAATAATTTTAATTATGATTACAATCATCATTTTCTAATTATTTGCAGTTGACTTTGTCTTAACGCTTTGACGGAATGTTTTATCTGCTATGAATGTGTTAAAACTTTCATGGATTGTCTTGTTGCTTGAAGTGCTTGAGGATATATCCATGTTTACAGTTGAGTTCTGATGTTTCGGACTCATTGCAGAGTCCATCTTCAGAGTGATGGTTGCTAGTCGGTGGCTGCAACTATACTGTTTTATCTGCTGTCGAACTGTTACAGTGTCATTATAACTGAGGGAATCAGTATGGGGCAAGAGTGTGTCACTGAATAAGTTTCCGTATGGTCACTCATCTGGAAACCAATAGCAGACAGTGCAGCTCAACATAAGCGCTAAGACCCCGATTGAATGATCCATTGAGCCCCCTATCAAGTCCCTATTAAATTGTTATTATTATAATAATGTAATATTATAATTAAATAAAAAACAAAATACACTTTTTTTCACTAAAATCGAAAAAATTACAGTTGACATGTATTATTGTGCGAAGAGGTAATTTTTTTATTTTATTTAAAAGACGGCTAAAAAAATGCTTTCTTAATTCCTGTGGAAATGTAAATTTAATAACCTTTCTTTCATAAGTTAATTTTTCAATGTTAATTCATGTTTTGGAATTGAAAAATATGAGTAGATACAGAATAATTTATAGTTCATAACTTAAATACATTTTTTCTGATGTTTCATCAAATTTATAGTGTAAAGTATGAAAGTCTGAATGAATATATTAATTAAAATTATTAAGTTGTGTGAGTTTTTATAATATAAAATTAAACAATAAACAAATGTATTTTCCTTGACTGTTATTTTTTAGGTCAGTAAGAGATATGTTTAAACTGTTACTTAGAGTAACTACAAAATATATGGGAGTGAATGATCTATCGGATAGATCTTATATGTAACTTTTCTAAAAAAATTGTTTATTTTTATAGTAAATGTATAAAACTAAATACTTTTGAACATTAATGAAAAAAAAAAAAAACCCAGCACAGGGGGGTCGCGGCACAGTGGTCACGTGGTATAGATGGATCAAGTATAATGATATCTGACAGTGATTAAAATCACTATAAAAAAAAAACGCTTTGATGCAAATCATTAGATACTGTTTAATTTTAAAAAATTGGTGGATTATTCCAAAAGCTACATTATCTACTAGTTCATTATTAATATCCTAATTAAGATAAAGTATGTAGAATGAAAAAGGGATTATTAAAAAATATTATTTCTCATAAAAAAATAATGTTGTTCCATACACTTTTCAATATGTCATAGCATTATAAAGTTAAAAATGTAAAAAATAAAATCGAGAATTTTCACACAATAATAGCATTCGGTAGCCATTTTCACCGTGAAGATAAAATAAAGTCCGAAATTTTTTTTTCGCATAATAAAGTAAATTACATTAGCTTTAATTTAAGATATATATAAAAGTGTCAGACTTTCCGGAACACTTTCAAAATTTAAGTTGAAAAAGTTAATTTTTTGTGAAAAAGTGGTCATTTTAAATCCCCCCTGTGGGCAGGTAAAGGGTCAGATATAAAAAAAATATATACCAAATGATAGGTAAAGACATCATGCATCTATAAAAAAAAATTTATATTGATCCATACATCTTTCAAAAAGTTATAGCATTATAAAGTTAAAAATATAAAAATGAATTTTTTTACAAAAATCGTATTTTTTTTATAAACTTTGATGTCTGTTTTCACCATGAAGATAAAATAAAGTCCGCAATTTTTTTTTCGCATAATAAAGTATATTACATTAGCTATAATTTAAGATATATATAAAAGTGTCAGACTTTCCGGAACACTTTCAACATTTAAGTTGAAGAAGTTCTACTTTCTACATGCATTTTTTAGATTTGAACCCACCTCGTATATAGGGAAATGGTCGGATTTAAAAAAACAGTATGTCAAATGAAAGATGTATATAAATACTACTCCTCATGAAAAAATTGTACTGATCCATACATTTTTCAAAAAGTTATAGCATAATAAAGTTAAAAATGTAAAATACAAAATCGAAAATTTTCACACAAAAATAGCATTCGGTAGCCATTTTCACCATGAAGATAAGATAAAGTCCGAAATTTTTTTTTTTCATGATAAAGCATATTACATTAGCTTTAATTTAAGATATATATAAAAGTGTCAGACCTTCCGGAACATTTTCAAAATTTAAGTTAAAAAAATTAATTTTTTGTGAAAAAGTTGTCATTTTAAATCCCCCCTTGTGGGCAGGTTAAGGGTTAAATTTATGAAAAAAATATACCAAACGAAAGGTAATGATATTACACATCTATATAAAAAAGAATTATATTGATATGTTCATTTTTGAAAAAGTTATGGCACTTTTAAGTAAAAGAAATTGAAAAAATTTCGAAAATTAGCGATTTTTAAATTTGTAATTTTTTTTGGAGGTTTCCCCTTTTTACGGGGAACGAGGGAATTTTTTTCAATTTTTAAGGGTAATGTCTTCGACTAGATACGATTTGTGATCTTTTGACGTATCATTGAAAGAAATTGGTTCGGTGAGAGCTGAGAAAAAGTGGTAACAGTCACAAAAAAAAAAAAAAAAAAACACATCTTAGTAAAACCAATACCTTCTCAGCTTCGCATCGAAGCTAAAATTGCGTGTTAGGAGTACGCGCGGATGAAGTGAAACTTCTTTCGTTATGAAGGATGTCGCTTAAAAATTTCATTTATTGTAATTCTTTAAAATTTTTTTATGCACAATCAAAATTATTTAATGCATTTTAAATAAAATTATTTTAATTTTCGAAAATACGGTGCTAAATTATAATATGAAATATACTTTATAGCTGACCGTAAAGCTCGGTAATCTTTTTTTTTTGTCGAACTCTCTGAATAGAAGTTTCACTTTAAAAAATTAACCAAAAAAATCCACCATTTTATAGTATTTTGTTATAAATTTTAACTATTTTAATATTCTAAATGTTGAATGTACGTTTATTCTTATGGCAATACAACATTTTTAATGAAATTTCTAAAAAATTCTTACTAGTATATTCTATTTTTTAAATACTACATTTTTGAAAATATTTAATAAAAATTATCCAAATCATGCTATATTTATGCTCTTAAATAATACGATATCTATACATTTATAATAGATATGATACTTAAGTTTTCTACTTCATTTCTGAAAAATGATTCTATGACAAATATTTGATAAGTTACTGGATAAAGTTATTATATGTATTAAAAATAACCTTTATTGATCACATATTTAAATTTTAAAATATATTGATAAAGAAGAAAAACAACTAACTTGTTAAATACATGAAATATTTTACTTAGGTAATGTAGTTTCAAGCATTATAAATGACGTTTTTCACTTTATTTGTTTAATGTTCTATTATTTTAACTCATATATACAGGAAGATAAATTTATAATATTCAATGTAACAGCAAATAAACATTTTTTTTAGTTTTTAAGAGAATGATTAACAATTTAATGATATAAAAAACTTTTCAGCTTTACTTTACAGAAAATAGTTCTTGATTATTTAAATTAATTAATTGAAATAATTATTTTTCGTAAAAAACTAATTAGTGCCAAATTAAAAAACAAATTTGCATTTACTATTTAAGTTTGAAAAACGTGAAGCAATTAATAATATTGTATGATATGTTTTCTTTTTTAGATAGATACTTACATTTTTTTAGTAAATACAGTTTTTTTTTTGTATTTTTTAAAAGTATAGTTTTTCTGTAAATATTTTATTATTAAAAAAAATTTTATAGAAGAATACATTGATTGAGTAAAACTATTATTAACATTTGATTATAATTTTACTTGATTAGCAAAAAATAATATTCATAATTATTTTATTTTTNAATTTGATTATAATTTTATTTGATTAGCAAAAAATAGTATTCATAATTATTTTATTTTTATGTTAAATCTTTTAGGTTTATACTGTAATATTTATAGACTATAGCTTATGAAATAAAGTTGTAAATTATAATTTGTTCATGCCGTATAAATGATTTAATAAAAATTACAAACAAATGATGAAATAAATCTAACAATATGTACCAATGTACATAATCCAACACTTATTAAAAGATAAGAATCATATTAATTAGGTAAGTAATAAGTAATTTAATAATAATTGTTATTGTTTGTGTCAAAATGGGCCAATGTCACTTAAAAATTTGTCTTCTCGCGTTAGAGTCCATAGAAAATTACAAATTATTGACTATTATATTTATTATGAGGCTAGAGAATAACAAGCCATAAGTTATGATTTTAATTATTTCTACTTTACAAAGTACTTTTATTTTGATAATTTACTTTATTTTTATGTAACTTGCTAATTTAAATACTTACAAACTACTCCTTAAATTTAAAGTGGAGTAGTAAATATGCTGAGTTAATCTAACAATATAGAATGATGTGTAGTTAAATTATATAAATTTTATAGTTAAAACATTTTAATTATTCTATGATTTTAATGTTTGATCTTATAACTATTTTCTTTTAGCTATACCTTTTTCTGATATTTTTAAGCTGAATAATTATTAATTTACAAGAATAAATTTCTTTCTTAATTAGTATAACTATGAATTAATTTATTTTAACGTTTATCGTTAAAATAAATTATTGTAAACTCGTGGTCAAGTATTGTGATAAAATGAATCTAATAAAATAGTAAAGATTTTTTTAAAGATCTTAACAAATTTGTGAATTCCTTATATTGATACTTAGGCTAGTATTTAAACAAATTTAACCAATAATATTTGAATCATTTTTTTTTTAGTTAGATATAATACCATCAAGCTTGAATTAAACACCACAGTGAATCTAACAGATTTTATTAATTAACTATTATCATTTGTATAAACGTTTAAAATTTTCTTGAAAAAACTACAGAATTTACCTATTAAAAATTCCATAAATATTATAATTTAGTATTTTATATTATTTTCTGTAAAAATAAAAACAAAAGAGCAATCATCGCTATAAATGATAGTAAAAGCTAAAAAAATTCTCATAATTAATATATTTTAAATCAAAGCTTTCAAATAAATTTTATCATAATTTTTTAAAAATCAATATAGCAATGAACGTATGATAGTCTATTTGGACGCCTTAAATGTTGCCTTAGAATTTATTTTAACTGTATCTTAGGGAATTCAATACTGTGTTCTATGTTGGCGACACTGACAAGACAATCTCTTGGTATCTTTCGGTATATTTACGAAGTTGAATAATGAATTTTGTCGTATTATCAAATATCAGACAGACTGTTAGATATAGTGTTAAGTAGTTGACGTTGTTTGGCTTTCTGTGAAAAATTGCTTATATTTCGACTCGAATATTAATAAATTCAGGTGAATTGTATTATTATCTGTGTAATTTTTCAAACATTTTTAGTAAGTTTTTGATTGTTTTGTGTTTAGTAATATTGCGTTTTTTTATTATTTTATGAAATTAATTTTAAGAAAAATATTTATTTTTAATTTTTTCTAGATTTGCTGGCAAGTTTTTTAAACATTATGCATCGAGTTATTCTTGTGAAATATAGATAGATGACTCGCAATTTGTTTTAATTCAATGTTAGTATTATTTTTAAATATTTAATTAATGATTAATCCTTAAAATATGATTATTATGTAAGCTTTAATCACTTTTGTAATAAACTAGTAACACAGTAGTTTTTCCTTTTCAATATTCATTTCAATTTTTCATCTTACGATGGTTAAGCCTATTAGAAAATTGTGGAGGTTTTAACATAATACCATCATATGCTTATATAAAGAACATTTATATTTATACTTCTAGAATGGTTTCTATTATATATTTTTATTGTTCGTTTCTTGATTTTAAATATAAAATAAGTATAATTTGATCAATCTTAAATAAATTTAACTACAAAAAATAATTTTTTTTCACATAAATTTCTAACAATAGATCTATTTTCACATGTTTATTTACAAAGAGTTGTAAATTCCCTATGTCTTTTAAATCATTGCAAACATTTTTTAAAAGATAGAATTGTATTTATAAAAAATAATTATAAATTCAAGTTGTATATCAAATAAAATGGGAGTATCTTTTATAAAAATATTTACATTTTTAATACTGCCATAAAAATGATAAAAGTTTGATCCAATTTAGTTGTGTATAAATATATAAAATCAATAAAAAAGGCAAATATCTGCTTACTATTTTATTGCTTTAATTTTAATGTAAAAAATTGGTTTAAATCTAAAACTCTGCTAGTTATTTGATCAACAGTTTAAAATAAATTATAAATGTCTTTTTAAGGTTTAATTACTGGAATATATCTACATTAATTTTGGTGAACAGGTGTATAAGCACCTGCTATTTTTAAAAATTAATCATAGGAATTTATTAAATAAGGAGCCTTTTGATTTATTTATGAGTATAGTATTATAATAAAATCATCAGACATTTTAATATATCTATCAACTAATTTTGAATATTTTAACATGTATTAGTTTATGCAAGTGAATGCTATTAGTAATATTCACTACTATTATTATAAAGACTTTTTTAGTAACCAATGTCAGCAATGTTATAATTAAACATTTTTAATTATTGAATCTCAATTTTATTTTTTTTTATCTTTATATGCTATAGTTTTCAATTAAAATGTTTTTAAGTATATTTCAATTGATATTTTAAATATTTAATCATATTTCTTAACATAATATTTAATTGTAATTTATTTAATGTTATTTATACAAATTAATAAAATATATCAGGTTTATTTTGGCCTAACAACAAAATTTATATGATACTACTAAGTCGAAGAAAACAAGATTTAATTATACTAACCAAACCTTGTATTTTTAATCAAATTCTATTAAATATTCCACTTTTACAAATATAATAATAATATACTTAATAGATATAGTTCTATTTATTCTAAAAGAGTACATTTATTTTTATTTTTGCACTTTATGAAAACATTGCCTAAAAATTAATAAAAAAACAAATCTCACAGGTGTAAGTTAAAGTTTAGTATAGCATTCTATTTTATCTGTGACCCTTGCAAATTATAACATTATTAGTGTTAGGACACTGGCTTTGAAACAAAAATATTCTAAAAATGACGTTCACTAGCTATAATGAATTTTTAATCTTCAAAAAAATGTTTTTTATTTTAAATATTAATTTTTAATAATCTATCTTATTCTTTCTTGAATAATTACTAGGTTAACTAATAATTAATAAAGTATATGACAATTTATTATTATTAGTATTAAAATGACATTTTACAAATTTTAAAATTACTTGTATTTTGAAATATTTATAATATGATAAGAAAATGTGATGTTGCTAATAATAAAATAATTTTTTTAAATATTATTAGAATGAAGCTAAAAGAGTTGCATAAAATTCAAATATTTGACTATCTCAAAAGTGTGAACATTTTTCAATAAAATTAATTCAGGTAAGCAACTTTATTGTATTTAATTGCTTTAAAGAATTAAAATGTCATTTATTTAATATGTCTTTAATATATTTTTAACCAATTTAAATATTATTAAAACAAAATAATCAACTAAATAAATTTAATTTTAGCTTAGACCTTATTAAGTTGGCATTTAAAATCTAAATTTTGTAATATAGTCACCTTAGAGAATAAACGCCATATTATGACAAATTGGCTCACTAAAATTTTCGCTTTAAGGCACGCTTGCACTTAATTTGAGAGCACTGAAAACTTTTTTTCCTCATCACTTTTCTTTCTGTATATACATTAAATTGGTTTGCTATCTTAAAAATTAGAAAAATTAACATCAGGAAAAAAGTAGTCATCATATTTTATAGTATTATATAATAGGTTTAAATAGTTGTAATTAGTCTCTAATTATAAAAGCACATAGAGATTTTCTTGATAGATTGCCTTAAACAATTTAGGTGTGAAAAGTATAATCGTATTATTTATTTAATTTAAGTGAAATTCTAATTTTAAGTTCTCAATTATAACAATTTATCAAAGCATTTATGCAGTATCAATGAAGAAAAACTGCTTTAATTGTTTCTCGAATTAGCCAAAAGATAAGACTCTTTGATTAGCATGTTCATGTATGTTATTTAAGTTTTATACATTAGTCTGAGTTTTAATATGAGTAAAATAATTATACAGGGTGTAGCATTAGATAGATAATGGTATTATATTTAATATTGTATTTATTGTCATAGAGTTATATGATATATTTTTATTGTATATTTCTATTTATTCATTTTTTTTTATACTTTTATAAAAAAATGTTTAGACTTCTCTTTAAAACTTCAATTTATTCATGTTTAAAGAACATTTATAAGTATTTTTCATAATTTTTATTAAAAGGTGTACTAGATTACTTTTTTTATCACAAAATTTTCATTTAAGAAATATTATTTAGCTATTATCTAATAAACAAATATTGATAAATTTTTGATCTAACTTTATATATTTTCGTACTTAATGATTTATCATATCAGTAGTTTAATAATTTATGTTTTAGTATTATGAAAAAAAACATTTATCATTACTGAAAGGTGATCTTAGTATGCTACTATATGTGTTTATTTATTTCGAGTAAATGTATTTAATTCAACTTTTTAGCTGTAACTGATATATTTATTGCATTATTTGGTATATTCATTTTTAAGGTTTACAATTTATAATCTACCAAAAACAAATATTTTTTACTGAATATTATTATTAATATCCCACTGCAAAGTTTTGTATTGTGGTCGGATTCTTATTGTAAAATGATAGCATGTTGAGTTCAATTAATTTTGGTATTATTTAGCTCCTATGTGAAGCGGAGAAGGTATTATTAATTTTACTATGATGTGTTTATTTATGTTTTTTTATTGAAGTATATTGATTCTTATTTGTGTTACATTTATAATAATATGTATGAAGGCGTTTTTGTCTATTAGCAATATTTATTTATGGACAATTTATCATTGTAATATGAAAAATATTATTAATCTGTTTTTTCTTTTTATAAGTTACGGCATTATTTTTATTTTTCTTAAAACTCGTAACAATTAGCAGATGCACCATCAATTGATGCATATCTCAATTCAATTAAGATTTAAAGTCAGTTAAAACAGTAGTGTTTCTACATATTAAGCAAAGACTGATTTAAGGTTTTTGTAAAATTTTAAGTAACATGAAACGAAATATTTTATTTGTATTATAATTTGTATTATAAAACAAATTTTTTGATAAATTCCAAAATCAGCTCAATTTTATTTAAAGGCGTAATATAATTCTTTTTAAATTCAACTTTCTAAATGTAATATTTAAACAAAACTTGCTAATTTGTAGTTTTTACATGACTTAATAGTTGGCGGCTACTTATTTAATTACCTTGATGAAAAGTTATTACTTTTTTAAACTCTTGTGTACTTTCAGAGCTGTTAGTTAAAGACATTCTATGTAGACTATACGAATATAGTCAGAATATCACAGCTCCTTCAAAATAATATTTAAATTAGGACGCGAAGATCCTTGAGAATAGTTTTATTGATAATATCATAATATGGAAATTAAATTAGCCCCCCTCCGTAATAGAATTGAATATCTTTTTATCTGAGAATAAAATTGATATTAAAAAAAAAAACTATCGTCAAGATCAATGTTTTAATTAAAAATTAAAAATATTAGCCATAAGGGATCCTTTTTTATTATGTTGATATGTTAAATTATTATTATAATAGTTAGAAGAAAAAAGATCAAATTTCAATTGCCTTGTGCACTAAATGTGAGGATTATTCTAACATAGAGATTATACATATATTCTATAATGTATTATGAGGTTTCTGGATATTAAAACCAAAATGATAAAATTCAATTATTATTATTTTGTTAATGTTTTTGATGTTGTACAATACATTTTTTAACATTAAAACGACTTTATTTATAAAAGAAATTTGATTGTACAATATCGATTTTCAAATATCCGATCTGTCAATTGTTTGTTCATTTGAAAACTGTCTATAATAGATGACAGACTGATGATAGACATACCGACAGATTCAATGATAAATGATTTAACGTGTGTAGTATGTTGGTGTTTGTTAGTCTATCTGGTCAGTGGACGGTTGATTGATTAACTAAAACGCCGTATTGTATTCACTGTTTTTTATCTACATTGAGAATGTAGTGTGATAACCTCAGACATCGGCGTGTTTTATACGATTATAACATCCACGGGAGGTCTGTCTTATCTTTCTGTTCTCTCTAAACTCTGACTAGTAATACATACGTACATTGTCAGAATTAATGCTCTACCTCAGCGTTTTTGTATCTTTCAAAATATATTATTGTCATAAATTTTTCAGAAAATTTTTGTTTTATCTACATATTACACATATTTAGATTAAATGTAATATGATGTATTTAGATTAAATATATATTTTAGAAGAGTCAAGCGGATTTGTTGGTTCTTCTGTTCAGTCCCGAATTATATTCATTTCGGTCACTAATTTGTAATGCGTTCCAAGAAAAGTTTTTTCATAAAATCTATAAACAATGATTTTATTTCAATATAATTAAAAATTACAGGTGATATAAAAATAAATAATTATAATATAACTGATTTTTTTTTAAGTTATTTTACCAATTAGATGGAAAAATAATGATTTTACGGGTAATCGTGAAATAAACACGGTAACACGTTTAATAACAAAAAGAAACGCAAGATTATACGAAATTTATATACAAAACTTCATTTTGGTCAAAAGTGAAGATGCGATTTACTGTAAATTATTTAAATATTTACTTTTTGTGTATTTCATTGACACAATCATAGGAATATTGTTAAGCAATTTTTTTTGTTATTCAATAGCCTAATGTCTAAAAAAAAAAAAAAAACTTTGGTTGTATAATAATTATTTATACCACTAGTGTTCAAAAACTAATTAGTCATAAAGCTGAGTGCATTATAGTAAAATTTATTTTTATATAGTTTAAAATCTAAAGAAGGTGTTGAATAGTTTAAAATATTTATTTTATTTCAAGATTTTTTTTTTAATAACATTAAAGTTCTATAAATATTTCGTATAAATGCATATGTAGTATATCTAGTGCATAATGAAAAACACATACTGAATAACTACATTGGTGATGATTCCATGTACATATATTACTTATTATGCTGGTAGGTAATTAAGAGGATACGTTATTGTCTGTGTTAAACTTTTCTCGTGCCCCTTTTATATTGTACAATTATATAAGTCTTTTATGCCGTTGATAATTCAGTATAAAATGTGTAACGAAATATCACCGAGAAAATAAACGATTGTAAATCTGGTTGCAGTTTTCAGTAAACTAAATGGTTGAAATATTATTTAAATTGTGATTATTTTCAATCAATAACTTTATGTTTGAGAGTCAAGAATATTTTAGTATTATTTCAAAATACAAAAGATATAAGATAATAACCTGGTATTTGGCTAAATTATATTACCAATTCCATTTTTATAATTCTATTAATTTAGTAGTTTTTTTTATTATATAAATTATTTTCGAGCTCTGTATGATATAGATATAGATATATTTAGTTAAAGGTGTTATATACGTCTCTACTTAACAAAAATTTCTGCTATTACATGGTTGCTGTGTATACTACTTAATAATTAATAAAAGATAATTGCTCAGATATAATAATACTATGTATTAAAAGTTATATAAGAATAAGAAATAAAAACTTCATTTTTGGCATTAGTTGATTTATTTACTGACTGAATCAATACGCGTTATATTGTCTCACAATAAAAAGATTTTACTAGTATCCAAAAATTAAATATACTAACGAAAACGTACGAATAAAAATGGGGAACTTATATATCCAGAGATGTTCTTTGATAGATATTTGTACCTTTAAATGTATAATGTGAAATAATTTACAACAAATATTTATTTGTAAAGTATATGGCACCATACTTAACTTTCTAACTCTACTGATATTAATGTTCGAGAAACAGAATTAGAGAAAAAGCCAGAAGCCTGTACTTGAGTTTCTTTAATAAATTTTAATAAACATTGAACATGAATAGGCAAAAATTTTGTCTATTTAAGACTATATTGACATTAAATATTAATAGTTATTAAATAGCGATAGTAGTAATTTATAGTGTAAACCAAATGTCATTGATCCAAAGAGAAAATGTTTTTTTTTTATTGTAGACATAAAAGTAGTAGATGATTACTGTCAAACTTATCTTAAGATTAAATCAGCGAAATTATCGGTTATACATTGTTATGTAATATTCAGCTTTTGTATCATTTTTTTTATTATTTGGATGATTCCTTATATTCATTTTTTATTTAATATGAAATATATAGCAAATATTTAGCTGATAAGTAACTCTTAATTTTATGTAAAAGTTACATCATTCCAAATATTATTCAACTGTTTTGTTACAAGTTAATTGTTACAAGTTGCAAGTATAAGATGATTTGACGGTAAAAGAAAATCATTTACATTTAAATTCAGTCACTACTTAAGAATACATATATTTATTAATATTATGCTATTGGAACAATGCATTCAATATTTCGTAGTCAGTGTATTGTATCCGACGCTGTGTTGTGATGTATTGTATTGATGACCGGTTAGAGACGTCGACAATAACTTAAAAAGTATAATAATGTAAATTGTAAAATTCCTCCGTTTTCTCAAGACTATATAAATGATGTATATTTATTTTTTTGTTATAATTTTAAATGTAAGCTTACTTTATGCTAATCTAGTAAATTGAAAAAACGATCAATTAATGGACATAAATTGGAATATTTAAATTTACTATAACACTTTTATTGTAATTTTTCCATTAATAATTAAATAATAAGCGGCGATATTTGTTCATCTAGTATACTGATGGAATAATTTTAATATACCTACCACTTTCTACTATCAAGACTACTAAAATTAAACATTTTTCATCCATCCATCTGTAGTAACTTGAATTAACAAATAAATGAAATATAGTCAAACATTTTCCATAAAAAGTGTTAAAATAAAATATGATTATCTTTTATATTATTGAGCATCCTTCTACTTTTAATTTTCTTTTTTTATCAAATCTTGACTATTTTTAATTTTAAGTTATTTATTATTTTAAACTTCTATTAAACGTCACAACTTGTTAAAAAAATTCCTGTCCTTAATCTCATTGAATTTAAGTTTTCTTGTTAGTGTTGTACTTCAATATAGATTTATTAGTTGATTATTTATTAGAAATGAAAAAATAGATTTCAAAAAAAAAATTTTTTTTAAATGTATGTAGAAATTTTTTGAACTTTTAATGAATATGATGTTCTATTTTGTATTTCAGTTTTCATATTATTTCATTTTTTTTTTATCGAAATTCTAACACTTCGTAAAACTTGTGATGTATTACCAAATTTATTTCGCTAAATTATCATCTACAGTTTATATTTATGGTTTTGATAAAAAAAATTATAGCCTAAAGGATAACTTTTTTAATTCGTGAATAGTTTAAAACTCTATTTAAATATTTTTGTAGACGAATTTTTAGATTATAATTGAACTAAACGAAGCTTGTAATTTAATAATTACAAACAATATACTGACTGTATAAAATTGTGTGTCATTTGAAATGCGTTATAATTAATATTAAACACTTATAGAAGCTACAATAACCTGACTGGTTATAGTATCGCCTTTATTTTACACACCATTAGGTGTATTTCCGTTACATGTAGTAACATGTCCAAGTATCACGACAACGTTTATAATGAGCAGGTGATTGTAATATATGAGCGGCATTTTCTTGCTATTTTATTCTTTTTATATTTATAATTGCGTACAGGAAAGTCTTAGTACAAATACTTACTCCGTCTTCGGCAAACGGGTAAACAGATACCTATATTCTCGCAGGTCTAGAAGAAGAGAGTATAGAGAAATATGCACTCTCTAGCAAACAGAACGGTACTTTCTAATAATAATAAAAAATAAAGATCCGTATGTGTGCGGGTGGATAGAGGTCGACCGTCAACTCGGGTAAACCACGTACAACCGGTTTATGTATTTTGTCGACGGTCAGCTCTTCGACATTCTCTCCGTGTCTTTGCAAGCGAATTTATTATTATAATAATACATCTTCTGTTAGTGGGAAGTGTCGATAGTTAACGAGATTGCTTTTGGTGACGAAAGGGAGAAAACCATATTTTTATGGTAAGATACTTATTGGATTTTCATTAATTATAGACAAGATATTTGTTTTTGTTTATAATAAATATTTAGTCGTTACAAATATTACTCTTTTTCAAAATGAACATCATGTTCATATTGACTGTGCCAATGATTTAATTATTAAAATAAATTAACGTTGATTAATTTATAAAAATAATGAAAATAGTATTTTTTATATTTGGAAAATTTGCACTTAAATTAATATAAAAAATCATGATAGTTCAACTATCTTAATTATTGTAAAATTAGAAGGGGCGATTTTTATTGTGTAATCTATTAATTGCTTGGTTATATTACACAACTGTTTATATGTTTGATTAAAGTAAGAAGTATATAAAATAATTTTGATTATTGACTTACTTTTATTTTGACGTTTATTATTAATTTAGTATAAACTTAATTTTATAAAATTCACAAATAATTAAGTTTCATTGACTTGATTATATATATATTTTTTTTAAAACTTTAATAAAGTTTAAAAAACAGCTAAACAGCAGTTAAAAAAAAAATGATTCTATGAAAACATTTTTATAATGTTAAAATTATATAATATTATAACGTTTTAAAAACATTATTGTAACTTTAAAAAATAAAAAAAATTTTATTAAAGAAATATACGTCTAAGTAATAAAAATGATTCTTAACTAATTTATTGTTTCAGCATACCAGGTTTGTACAACTGTAACAGTTAGTAATAGGTTTTCATATAATGAATTCCACTAAGTTGCAATAATAAAGTAGTTAAAATGCTCCAAAACAATTCTTTTAATAATAATACTTTACATGATACTGTCATAATTTTTTTAAAAATAAAAGAATCAAAACAAATTTTTTATTATGAATACCTCTGGTAGTTCCCTTTTATTTTATATAAACTTTTTGAAAATATACCCACAAAAAGGATATTCAAAGTATCAACTATTTCAGGAATAGTCAACTTTTACTACTTAATTTTTGAAAATATTCCGGAAATACTGAATCCATTAAACACATGTTAAATTAAAGCTTATGTTATATATTAAAAATTAGAAAAAAAATTAATTTTATATACTATTTTGTGTTAAAATTTTCGATATTTGATTTTATATTGTCTACTTTAAATTGATATATCTTTTTGAAAAATGTATGGTTCAATACAATTTTTTCTTTTAAAAGTACTTTATGTACCTCTTTGTATACCCCTTTCATCTGATTTTTTTTTTTAAATCGAATTTTTTCCCTATACAAAGGGGATCAAAACTTAACTTACGAGTAAAAGTTTGCAACTTTTAAAAATGTTTCAGAAATACTGCATTCTTTTATACAAATCCTTTTTATCCGACATTTTTTTTTTAAATTAAAATACTGTACAAAGAGTAGTTACAGTGATGTGGTCACCTTTTTTTCATTAATCTTTTTTTTTTTTTTTTTAACAACTGTTAGGTTGGTTAATACCAATTGGATTGGTATGTCCTGGGGAAATTTAAGTGCAATGGTTTCCCGTTGCCTTCTGCACTGGGAACATGGTGCTTTTTTCGCCACCGTAGAAGCGCACGCATGGTCACCCATCCGTTCACCTACGGCGGTAGGCGCGACTTAACACTAGAGTTTTAATTTCATTAATCTTATATGAATGAAATTTATATTTAAATAAAGTTAAACTTTTTAAAAAATTTTTGCCAATGCCTACATTCTATGTCGAGAAAAATAGCTTAGATAATTTGAACTACTTTAAATTCTCCTTTTTATTATTTTGAAAGTGCATTGTATAATTACCGTAACTAGAGGGAAATTATCCTATTTATTATTTGAAAATATTTATTTTGATTTTTAACATAAATTTAAATTATATCTAACTTAAAAAATGAATTTTTGTTTTTTTTTATACATGTTTGTCATAATAGTTACGAAATATACAACTACTTTAAAATGGTTTATAATTTCTCCGTAAAGATTACAATACTAAATTATTAAATATCAATTTCATACTATATTTAATTGCTATTATAAATATGTATTCATATATTTATATGTCATAGACTTATAATGAGGATATAAATAAGGACCCCCAAAAAACTTCCTTATTTACACCTAGTGACGTTATCACTAATTAATATTACCACATTTTGACAGCTTACTGTTAAATAATGATTTTTTCCCAATTTAATTGTATCGTAATTATTTTTAAATATTTCTATTGCTTTCATGTATTAAATTATTTGTAATTATATTTTAAATTAGTTTTATGGTTTTAATAGAGTGATTATGTGTCAATAAATAAATGTTTAGCCCAGGGGATTTATTATCTTCTTGATTTTTAATATTTCTTTATTATACTGTATTATGGCTCGACAATTCATATTATTGTTATTCTATAACATTTTCATTGTATTTTTATTTTTATTTTTTTATGTCAAGTTTGTATCATGGCTTCATATTTTAAAATTTAGTTTTTATTTTTGAATATGATTTTCTATAATCACATATTTGATTACAGAATGGTGTTGGTAGTGCAAGGTGTTATTCAGGGTGAACCGCCTCCAGATACAAGGACACTGTATCTAAATCATCCTATTTTACGGGATTCTGCGTCTCAACTACTTACAATTCCTACAAAAGTCATTGGACCTATTGGTTTATTGTATGTAAGTCAAAGGGAAATGGCTGTGACTGTACCTCATGACAGTAAGTTAACACTGACAGGAACATTATAGTTTTTAAATTTTTCTTTAGATAAAAATAGATTGCTAAAATTTTTTTAAATTTTTATAGAAAATGTATCAATAATTGGTTCTGATGATGTAACCACATGCATCATTTTAGTGCTTCGACATACTGGTAATATTTTTTTAATTCTATACTATAAACTGTATAAGTTAATTTTTTTTTTTATTTTAGGGTCAGGTGCTGTAGGGTTTGCTCATCTGGATGGTTCTTGTACTGAAGAATGTGTTGTGAATATGGTACATAGAATTCAAGAGCTCTCAATTGGATTTCCAGATGGTCAGATAGAAATGTCAATAATTGGTGGATTCACTCATGTTTTACGATATGGAGAGCAAGTATTTTACAGTTTAATGGGTAAATCATAATTTGAAAATACAATTCTTTGTTCAAATAATTATCATATTTTTCTATTAACAGTTGCTATTCATAAACAACAAGTCGAGATTGAACTTGTACTCGCTTGTGTTGGTGAGTTAAATACTATAATGAGAAACAATGTGCACTGGCCATTACTGTATGGAGCTGGTAATGAAAATCAATATATTTTGTAATAACATTTGGAATAATAATATTTCATACATTTATGAAATGTTATTATTATATATAAATTTATTAATTTTGAAATTTATAGGTGTAATGGTTAAAAGCGGTGAAGTTTTCCCTGCAAATTTTCCAGATAAAGGTCCAGAACAACCACTCAGATTAGCAAGATTATTTACTGGTCTTCAACCTGTATGTTTTAATATTTAAACAACTTTATTTCATTGAACTAATAATATAAAGTAAAATTTGCTAGGTTTTGGACGTGTATGACTGCAGTTTGGGTCTTTTGAGAATTGGTCCTTTTAATTATGAGCCAATGCGCAGTGTGGATTTGTGGCTTCAACAATCTGATGAATTTATTTTACAAGCTTTATCAACTACACCAGATGTTGAACCCCCTCACACTGTTATGGCTGTAAGTATTATTATATTAATCTTAAATCATATAATACTTTCAGCTAGAAGTTTTTATATCATATCAACATTCTAAATAATACTAAGGAGCATAAAATAGAGTAATTGTTTGATATTAAATGTATTTTAGGTAAAACTTATAATTATAATTAATCAATATAACTCAATAACAATATTAGTAATTCTATTTATTTAAATTTTTGAGACTTACTACATCTTAATCATTTTACAAATTATATATTCTAGATACGAGCATCCTTAAAGTATGTTCAAGACCATCCATTTCCTGCAGTGACTGTTTTTAGGGATAATCGTCCATTATATTACAGACGTGATGAACATTCAGGTACATGGACTCCATTTCGATATTGATATTCTTAAAAATCAAGTCATTTCAAGAAAAATCATATCAAAATGATTCTGTTTAATAGATTAAAAAGAATCAAAGTTATTTACATTGACTATACACTTATTATTGATGTTAAATTTTGTAAGAGTTTTTACAAATAATTTACTAATTTATATTTAAAAACATTCCATTTTGTTGACCGAATTTAGTAAAAAGGTAATTAGGGGTCTTTTTATTTTGTTATTTAAGTGCCTTTTTAGTTAAATTTTATTTTTATAAACTGTTTTTATAAATTAAACTTAAAAATAACTTTTATATTATAAGATAGTTTATAGGTAATGATAAATAAAAAATGAATTATATATTTTATTTTATGTTGTATGTTTAAGAATCAAAAGAATATACTGTTATATATGATAGATCAATTATTTCTTGTAACTAAATTATAATCAAAATTAATGTTATTTGTATAATAATTATATTTTTTATTATTATGTTTTGTGCAATTTAATTATTAATTTTATGAGTTTTTTTGTTCATAAAATATGGATGCTTCAATAATTAAAACTAAATTTACTAGAATTTACTATCAAGGTTTTAGAGATACTTTAAAAATTCTTATTGTGTCTGTAAAATTTTATAATAAATTTTTTAAAGTTACAGGTGATATTTAGGTTTATATATAGATTTTTTTTAATGTTAACCACTCGATTTCTTCTATTATAATAACGTACTTGAAGTTTTTTCTGACTTTTTTTAATCTTTTTAGTACTTTTTAAGTTCATTATTTTTCTATATAATAGCATAGGAGTATTTAGAACTCATATTAACGAGAGCGAATTAATTTATTTACTTGGTAAGTATGCTAAAGAAATTTTTTTTGCTAAAAAGGAAAGTAACGACCATGTAAAAAAAGGTTTTTAGTGCTATATTTTATAAATATTGGTTTTAAAAAATTTTGATAGCACTAGTTCTGGGTGGAGGCGATCCTCTATCATTATCACTTCTATATCAGGAAACTTTATTTTATTAAATAGTAAGAAACATATTTAAGTAGTTTATATAACAGGAAAAGGTTTTAGTTTTAATAATGACTGGGGTTGATTACAACTTTTAACACATTATTTCAAAATTTATTATCATTTCTAAAAATAGATTGAAGTGAGGCGCACATATGAATACCTATGATAACTGAAGTTTCATGTAGTAATTATCTAGAAAATATGTTTAATATAATTGAAACATAATTTATATGTTAGAAGGATGTAAGAGTAAATGTTTGGTTCAGTGTAATGATAATGAGATAACAAGAAATTTTGTATTGTATGATAAATTTTGTTTTAAAACACCTAATTTTCATGTTCTATAAAATTTGATTAACAAATCCACTATTCAGTTTGGCTATTTATAAAGTAGGTTGTCTCAAATTTGATTCCGAAATTGAAGGCGATAAATATTTTCGATTAAGCAACGGATCTATAGTTATGATAGAAAATTTTGCTTTTAATAAAAATGATCACTATTATAAAATAATAGGAATTCCTAAAAAAAGTTTGTATTCTATTTCATGTGAATCATATATAAAGTGTCTAAACTATACATGAGATCATTTTGGCCAATTCAAATATTTATGTGTAAATACTTTGTTTATAAAATAGCAAGTGCAGCTCATTATTATGCATTTCACTTCTACGTGTTGATGAAGAAGATAATATTCCAATTTAATTGTTATCGTGGTGGGCAAGTACTGCCTATGTAATCAGACCGTAAGTCCATTGTTCATCATATTCCAATTTAATAATATTTTTAATTGTATGCGTTTTATTTCTGCATAACTGTGTAATCATTGAAATGATTTGACTATTTATTTAGTCATAATATTTATTATTTAAATAGTTAATTTTTTTTAGGTCATTTGTGCTAGTCAAATTTGAAGATGGTGTCCAAATTTACACAAAAATTTGTTGACAGAGAATAAAAGAATTTAATATTACTCCAATGATACTTTAAATCTGAGTCAAAAAAAATATGACAAACTTCAATTGAATGTTAAAAATCCTAACCTAGAGACCTGGAATACTCATGTTGTAAGAAATATATTATTATCAACCAGTATGTGTGAATGATATTATTCACAATTAAGTGTTTCTACTTTTTAAATTTGTATTTATTATTGCTTTTTTATAGGATAATTTTTAAAAATGTAAAGAGAAATCGAGACGTTTTTGATTTAAATCAATTGTGTAACACTGACCATGATGCAGAAAATTTCAAGAAAAAAATAATTATTAAAAAAAAAATTGTCATCATATTGCGAAGACGAGAATGTTTCTTCAAAATATTCATATGTTTCAAAATCACTCTCTTTTCCTATTTCATCATTTCAAAATTTCATTCATATTTACTTGTATTAAAAGTTTAATTAAATATAAATATTTTTGAATCTTGTTTTGGCCAGGCCAGAGGAAGATTTAAAAAATATTGTTGTCAATGTCTCAATAAAATATATTCTCTCTCTAAAAAAAAAAAAAAATACTTGTTTAACAATAATAAAAAATTAAATAAGGACAAATTATAAAATTATATTTCTATTATAGTGTTTAGAATCTTTTACAAATAAAATCAGTAACAGATTTTGTGTAATTAATTCGTATCACATAAAATTTAAATATTTTTCGTAAATTAATAGACTTTATAACGTGTAGTGTGAATTATATACGTAGTGTATTTAATATCAGAATCAATTTTGGTTTACTTAAAGTATTCTTGCGTGACATAAGGTAAGTACAACTTAACCTATGCGTTCGAACCTCACAATCTATTGCGTAATAACATCATTCATTCAATATTATTCATCCCCGAGATGCCGATATTTATACATTCTACAATTTTATCCCTTGCATCCATTTTCCCTTTTACCACCATTAAATATTCTACTTATTTTTATTGTACACCTTTATACTTTTTTTTGGTTTATTACATTGATCAATTCATTAATATTTTATAGTTTATTTCTAAATTATGTTAAGATTTTATATTTATTCTAAAAAAAATATATATTTCGGTTTTTTTCAACAGAATACTTAGTTTTGTAAATGTTTTTAAATGCTAAAATGCATTTATATTTTGAATTAGCTGAAGAATTTAATATTTGTATTAATAAATTTGATATAAAAACCAAATTCAACCGTTTTTGTTTTGCTTATAAACAGCTCAATATTAATAAAAACATTTATGGTTGGGTTGTCAAATTAAAAAATTATATTTGTACATTTCCCTATTAAGAATTTTTAGATACGTCCCCGCCCGAGTTTAAAATGTGTTTATTATCTTTATAGAGGTGTAAGACAATTAGTATATAAATTATAAATTTTAATTTTAAATGAATATTGTTAAAATATGTTCTTAATAAGCATTTGTCAATATATAAAATATTTATCAAGTTTCTTTTTTGTTTCTGTGTATAGATTATGTTTTGTTAAATAAGAAAAGAAGAATGTTGCTTAAAGTGCAAAAAAAAGTGACATTGTTTTAATTTAAAAAAAATCAAGTTCAAAAATATAATTTTAGATACGATGCAAAACTGAGTAGATATTGGACCATTTTTTCTCAGTTCTAAAAGGACCGATTTTTTAAAATAAAACAAATCTATTTAAATACATTACTCTCAATTTTTTGAGAGTAATGAAATTGAAAAAATTTCCCTAGTTCCCCGCTTTTTATTAGCTTCGGTGCGAAGCTGAGAAAGTATTAATTTTACTATGTTTTTTTTTTGTGTCTGTTGCTACTTTTTCTCAGCTCTCATCGGACCGATTTCATTTAAAGATACGTCAAAAGATCATAAATTGTGTCTAGCTGAAGACATTGCACTTAATATTTAAAAAAATTTCACTAAAAAATTAGATTTTTTAAATTTCTAAATTTTTACATATTTTTCACTTATTTGTACTTAAAACTGCCATTACTTTTTAAAAAATTAACAAATCTACTTAATTTTATATTATATAGAAACTTTAGATATTTTTTTTTAATATGATATCATTTTTTTGAAATTTTGACCCTTTACCTACGCTCAGGGGGAATTCAAAATAGCAAATTTTTTAACTTAACTTAATGACAAAAGTACACGAATTTAATCATGTTGAATTTATAATCACTAAATATTGGAAAAAATCCTTTAATTCTAGCAATTTAGATAAATATCTTAAAATTATGCTATTGTGAAAAATGGCCACCTCAAAAAAACTTTTATTATTAATTATTTCCAAATTAATTGGAGTATGAATTTTGTTTTTATATTGAATTATATTCTATAAAATTTTTCAATTTTTTGTACTTAAAACTGCCATATCTTTTTCAAAAATTAACAAATCAAAAACATTTCTTTTTTATATAAAAAACTTAGATATTTCCTTTTTTTTGAAATACATACTATAAGTTAAAGAAAAAAAAATTTGTCCTGATATCTTATATTCTATACCGTCGAAATTTTACAAAAAATGTTACAAATATTACACGCAAGTTTTGTAAAAAAAAGGGGTGTAATTAAATTAAACACTAAAGGTAATCAAAAAGTTATACGTATGTATCTTGTAAAAATGAAAATATTATGTTTACACATGAAAGCTTGGATAATTTTAAGGTTGACACAGACTCATGTGAAATGCGTATAACCGACTAATTTCATACAATTTCTTACAGGTTGAAAATCTATTCCTGTTGATTATCTTACTCATATACATGATTAATTTAGAACTTTTAACGATTTTTACAAAGTAGACGAATTTGACGTAGACTTTGAAAAAAACAATTAAAACAAAAACTACTGTTCTGTGTATAATAACTACTAGAAACGATTGTGGAAAAACATCAAACTATTGGAAATTATCAAGTAAAAATAAATGTAATGTTGGCGACCAAGATTTTTTTTAAATCTGTAGGTCTATTTTGGATTATTTAGGGGATGAAGAAAATTGCAATCTATGTTTTAAAATATGTGAATTACACACAGTTGGTGGAAGGGTTGATTAAAAAACTGTCGAGACAAGTGTCAACTGTTTAATTATACTGTGTATTGTGCTTATTGTAAAGGAAGCATATTCCAACATATTATTTTTATTTTTTATCCAAATTATTTTTCAGTTAATAAAATAATGTTTAAATATTTGTCACAGATTAAAATTATTTTAATTGTAATCGGTAAACAAATAGCAATATTAACCTATATTTAGTCTTATTTAGTTTTAATATTAGACGATTAAAGAAATAACACCAAACATAGCAAATATTCATTTTAAAAATGTATCAATTCTGACAATTTTTAAAAGTATTTTAGTGTTATTTTTTTCATTGATTGTTGTTAGTATTAAATTTGTTTTCATTATTTCGATACTTTTTTTAAATAGAATAATTAAAACGAAAAAAATAAAATAAATTTTTTTGCATAAAAATAATAAGCAAAAGCAACCTTCCATAAGCATATGGAAGGTTTTTTTTTGTTATTTTAGGTAAACTTTAAGTAATTTTACGATCACCGTGTAATCCACGCACAAATGTAAAGTATTCTACATTAGGATACTTTACTATATACTGTAGGTACATAAAGTACATTGTAGGTTTATAAATAAATGTTTTTTATTTTTAAAATTTTGTCACAAATTTGCTTAATTTTAGTAAAATATTTTTAAGAACTTTCCCGAACATATAGTCAAGATATATTGTCAAGGCCCTTACTTTTAGATCGTATTTATTCTGTGATGGTATTTCAATTAAATTTTAGAGATAAAAATTAGTAAATTTTTAGATTTATTGAAGATATGTTTTTCAATTTATTAATCATGATGGTTTTTTAGTTTCATCACTTACTTGGGAGACCAGTGGGGTAGGGGTACATATTTCAATACTAAAAAGTGTTGTGTATAAATTAATTTAAAATAAAATAAATCAATATATTTGTTTTAAATAATATAAAACTAATATTATTATAAGTTATGTTTTAAATTTTTAAATTCAGTAACTAATTATTTTAAATAAATTTTTTTTATCTCCTGAAGAATTTTTAAATAAAAATAATTGATGACTAAAAGAAATTTGCTCCTTTAGTGTTGCTACAAACGTTTAATCGGTAATTCGATCAAATTTAATCCGAGTTGGAAATACTTTTCTACAATTATAGTTTTGATATAGATTTTTATATTTATTTAAAAAAATTTTAAAAATACTAATTTTAATCTCCGTCAATAATAGTTTTATATTTTGAAACCCAATCATTTCATTAATAATCCTTATTATGAGGTCCAAATTCACAATAAAGTACAATTTCATTGTTTATATTTATTATTATTCTTTAAAAAAATATATCCACAGTATTTGATGCCCAAGAGTATGTAGATATATAATCATGTGATAGAGTTCGTTCGTTTAATTTGTCAAGAATATTTTCTATTATTTCTAATAATTGTTGAATGAAATAAAACAAAACCCAAACCTTTCAGCATACGAGGACACAATAACACCTAGTACGACTTTCTTCGCTTATTATTAACATCAATGAATACAATAATTGATAATGGTAGATGTAATCACTTAATCCACAAATGGGGCATGAGTGAGTTACCTCTTTGTGGTTGTGGAGATATCCAAACAACGAGACGTATAGTGTAGACCTGCCCTTTAACAATATTTAACGAGGAACTGAGAGGCTTTTATGAAAGTGGATTAAATGCGATTAAATGACTAAAAGATCTGGATATTCGCTTATGAGACAACTTAACTCAACAGTTAATAAATTCTTACTTTATAGTCTTTATATATTATAATATTATTAATTTCATATATTTAACTACTTCTTTATTGTTTATTTTAATTACTTATTTAATTATTTTTTTCGAGATCATATGCCAGTATAATAATATATACCTAAATGATACGAAGAGTATAGCCAAGAAATGTTTGATGATAAAAACACCTACCTGCATTTTACTTCTTGTATTTAAAATTTTTATAATTGTTAATATATATTGTATTAAACTTTTCCATGCGCAACCAATAAATAATTCTATGATTCACCATTCATATTTATGTTGTAATAGTAATTTATAGATTTACTAAGCATTAAAATAAATTGTAATTAATTATAAAACAAATGTAGAATAAAATTTATTTTATTACAACATTTAATGATTTTCTATTTGTATTGAAGTTGGAGGTTCTTGATCTATTGCTTTAAATTCCAATTCTAGATTTATCAAAACATTTATTAGACTATTATTATATAAAAATTTATTAATTAAGATATATTTAATTAATATTTTTTATTCTAAATACCTAGTTCAATTAGCTCCTCCCGTGTTGGTACAAACGTTTCTCCGGTGATTGGATCAAATTTAAATCCTAGTTGAAAATACTTCTCTATAGTTACTGTCTTGATATAATCTTTAATTTTTATGGTTAAAAATGTGAAAAATATTAGCTTTACGCCTTGGTTAATAATAGCATTATATTCTTGAATCCATTTATTCCATAACTCATTTTTATCATAAAGTACAAATTCACAAAATGGCTCAGTTTCATATTGTAAATCATTTATTATGCTTTTAGAAAATATATTTACAATATCAAATGTGCAAAATTTTGTAGATCTATAATTATATAATATACCTGGATCATTCAATTTATCAAGAATATTTCCTATTCTTTCTAATAAAGGACTTATCATGTAGTGATACTTATAGTTTTTTTTAAAAGTAGCCCATGGTTTATTGTGTAATAAATCTAAAGCGTCCATGGCGCTTTTCATAAATGTTGCTATTGGAACAATTAATATAGCTATTATGTTAATGAGTTCTTCGATATAAATGCTTCCATTTATTAAGACATTGTTGATAACTGTAAAAAGATTAACCATAACTTTTGCATATGTGCATCCAAGATATATAGTTAAGACTCGTATCTTTTGACCACATTTATAGAATTTTGTAGGTGTTTGAATCTGATTTTGCAGATAATGATTTATATCATAATATTTTATGAAGTGTACATCATTTAAATTTTTCCATCCTGGATACTTTAATATCTTATCTAATTGATCTATTGCTTTTATTGAAGTCGTATCTGCTTTTGTATATAAAATCACATAAAATAATAAAAAACTAAACTTGACAAATTTTAATGAAAACATTTTAAAAATAATTTAAACATATATTATTGAAATTTATTGCACAAAATATATTTTGAAGAAGTTTTAAAAGACACGTATTTATTCTGTTTTGCATTTATAAATAATAAAACAAACATTTATAATTAAACATCTGTGGTATTATAATAACCTTCTTTAAATAGAAAAGTCAATGCGGCATTAATTTTTCATTTTGAGACACAATAATTTCCGTACAGCTTAAATAAATGAAAAACGATATTTGGTATCATCTATGATTTTGTCCGCTGTTGTGTTGTTGAATTTCATTTTAATGTATATTTTACTATGATGTGATTTATTAAATTTTAATATTTTTTTTTGTGTCTGTTACCACTTTTTCTCAGCTCTCACCGAACGGATTTCTATCAACGATACGTAAATGATCACAAATCGTATCTAGTCGAAGACATTACCTTTAAAAATTGAAAAAATTTCTCTCGTTCCCCGTAAATGGGGAAAACCTACAAAAAAATTACAAATTTAAAAATCGCTTATTTTCGAAATTTTTTCAATTTTTTTTATTTAAAATTGCCATAACTTTTTTAAAAATTACTGAATCAATTTATTTATTTTTTTTTATAAATACCTTAGATATTTACCTATCATTTTATATATTTTTGTGAACATTTGACCCATTAACAACCCACAGGAAGGGTTTCAAAATGGTAACTTTTTTACAAAAAATTCACTTTTTCAACTCAACTTTTGAAAATGTTCCGGAAAGACTGACACTTTTATATATATCTTAAATTAAAGCTAATGTAATATACTTTAATTTGAAAAAAAAAAATTTGACCTCTGGACTTGTCTTCGTGGTGAAAACGGACATCAAAGTTAAAGAAAAACGTACGATTTCCGTGAAAAAAATCTCGATTTTATATGTTATATTATTTAATTTATATTTTATATAACTTTTGGAAAAATGTATGGATCTATATTATTATTTTTTTATAATAAATATTGATATACCCCTTTCATCTGGCACGCTTTTTTTGTAAATCGGATCATACCCCTTTAACAAGGGGGGTCAAAACTTTAAACATGCGTATTGTTACTACGATATTTTCAATTTAATTTTTGAAAGTATTCCGGAAATACTGACACTTTTAAATATATCTTAAATTAAAGCTTATGTAATATACTTTAATGTGAAAAAAAAAAATTTGACCTCTGGATTTGTCTTCATGGTAAAAATGACTACCGTATGCAAAAATATGCTATTTTTGTGTTAAAATTCTGGTTTTTGTATTTTATATTATTTTAAAATACATGACAAGGAGAGTACAGATTTTCATAAATATTATATAAATAAAATATTAATATAGCATAGAAAGTTAAACTTATTTAAATTTATTTGCTTCTTTTAAGTCGAGAAAAATAATTTTGAAATTTGAATTAGCTTAAATCGCCAATTTTTTCAGCCGACGGTATCAATGTACGGTTGCCGAGTTGGTAAAACTTATGTTTTACACGCTTGGGGTACGAGGTTCCAACTCGCGTATGGCATTGAATATTTTTTTGTGACTATCATTTATTTTCTCTGCTCTAACTTGATATATTTTTTTGAACGATACGTCAAATTATTACAATTCGTATCTAGTTGAAGATATNGATTACGATTCGTATCTAGTTGAAGATATTACCCTCAAAAATTGTTGAAAAAAATTTCTAATTTATCAATTAAACAGTTAGTTATTACATGTTCTCCATAAAGACAATTAAAATCATTAATTTCTAATGTNTATTACAATTCGTATCTAGTTGAAGATATTACCCTCAAAAATTGAAAAAAAATTTCTAATTTATCAATTAAACAGTTAGTTATTACATCGTCTCCATAAAGACAATTAAAATCATTAATTTCTAATGTTTTCAAAATATTTATTAACGAATGAAGTTTGTGACTCAATTATTCAACTACAAAATTAAATCATTTTACTTTGTAATTTAATCATTTTTTTACTCTATTTGTGTGTGCTACTACTAGACTTATAATATTACAAATTTTTTTGTAACATGTTGCTATATAAATCATTTCTAAAAAAAATGATTGTTTTTTCTCCTGAATTAACAATTGATTTTTACAAATATAATCAAATTTTATAATACACTCAATTGAGTAAATCTTTTTAACAACTTTGTTTTGATTGGTACATTTAGTTAAAGTAAATCATTAAAATTAATTAAGTTCTCAATATTTCAATTATAGAATCTTTTCAACAAACAACAAAAGTTCCTAGGAAATTATTACTATTACTTCTATTTAAGTTATCTATTACCATAAAAATGCAAAAAAATATTGAGCTTTTCTGATAAATTTACAATAAATAGTAATTATAAAACTTTCTGACTGCATATTGATCTTAACGATAAAATTTTTTTAATTGTCATAAAATTTTCTATTTTATGATGTCAATGTCAAACTTGCCAATTGAGCTAAAAATTATGGAAAAATAAATTATTTTTTTTTATTATAAACATTTACAACAATCAACTTTAAACGATTAAAAAAATAGGTTAAATATGTCATTTTCCTTATTTTTAACATACTTGTCTCATCTATGATGACAAGATGGGACAAGTATAGATGATATCTGACAGTGATTAAAATCACTATCATAAGAAACGCTTCGATGCAAATCTGTAGATGGTGTTTNTTTAAATTTGTAATTTTTTGGGGGATTTCCCCCGTTTACGGGGAGGTAGATAATTTTTTTCAATTTTTGAGGGTAATGTCTTCGACTAGATACGATTTGTGATCTTTTGACATATTGTTCATCAAAATTGGTCCAGCGAGAGCTGAGATTGAGCGTTCACAGACACAAAAAAAAAAANTATTGTTCATCAAAATTGGTCCAGTGAGAGCTAAGATTGAGCGTTCCCAGACACAAAAAAAAAAAAAAACACATCATAGTAAAATTAATACCTTCTCAGCTTCGCATCGAAGCTAAAAATTGAAAAAATTTCGAAAACTAGCGATTTTTAAATTTGTAATTTTTTTGTAGGTTTTCTCCATTTACGGGGAACGATGGAAATTTTTTCAATTTTTAAGGGTAATGTCTTCGACTAGATACGATTTGTGATCATTTACGTATCGTTGATAGAAATCCGTTCGGTGAGAGCTGAGAAAAAGTGGTAACAGACACAGAAAAAAAAAAACACTTTATAGTAAAACCAATACCTTCTCAGCTTCGCATCGAAGCTAAAATAGTAACAATAAATGGATGAATGCATATTAATCTTAACAATACTATTTTTTAAATTCTCATACAAGTTTCTATTTAATGATATCAATTTCAAACTTGCAAGTTTCGCTAAATAAAATTAATAAGTACAAATTTTTTAATTATTAACTTTTGTAAGAATTGAGTCTAAAGAAGCAAAAAATTGTTTAAATATGACATTTTAAATCAAAATTTTGCATATATTACTTTTAACATATTAAAATTCAAAATTAATAAAAATTTGAAAAAAATTTTTTTTAGCTTCGATGCGAAGCTGAGAAGGTATTAATTTTACTATGATGTGTTTTTTTTTTT